AGGGAATGAGGGAGCAGCAGCAAAAGCAGAAAACCAACTATATAGGCAAATCTCAATGTGCGTATACTGGGAAGGAAGCTCTGAACCTAAAAGGAATCCATGACTAGAAGTTAAAAGGAAAGCCAGAGCGGTTATGCTACAAGATTACTGATAATATTCAGAGATTTTCTCATATCATGGTGTCATGAATCTCTTGTCAAAGGTAGCATTGTAGGCTTTTGGTTATTTTGTCATATATTAGCAGGCCACTCATTATTGCAACCCTGCAAAATCAATAACAGCCCTCCATTTGTAAAATGTATTGGCAGACAATAACTCTTATTTCTAATTATAAAATGTATAATAGACCCAAGGTTATCAAGCTTTTAAAAAACATTTTACCACATGAAGCTTTATTGTTTTTTCTTCTTTTTGTATTGAGTGGAAAATCATTACAGCTTAAATGGTCATGGGAATGAATTCCAGATCACTTTCAAAAGGTGGGAAACAAACTAGCTCCCCATAGAGACCCTTCTAATACTGCACAGATAAGACCGGCTGAGCTGTCATCTGACATGTGCTGGTGTTGGGATCAGCTGAGATTGACTCTCATGCCCTGTCTGAACTAACACTGCACTCAAGTTTTTGATGGCAGAGGCTGCTATGTGTAGAGCCCATCAGTTATGACTCATCCCATTCACAGCATTGGGTAGGTCAAGTGTCTTGCCCAAGGACACTCAAGCATGGAGACAGTGGGACCTGGGATCGAACCCCCAACAGCTGTCATACATTACATATGTCTTTATGTGACATAGCATCTGGTTATGGGTCGTATTTCTTGAGAGTGTCACTGATCAGAGTGTGTTTTAACGGTCCTCAAAACCGGTGACTCACGTTGAGTTTTCTTTAATGTCATTTTCATGTTACCATGGCAGCAGACAGCCACGCAGAGTTGGGGACTGTCTGATGATGAGCTGACCGCAAACAACTCGGCTGTAAGAGACATCTGTTTTACATGAATGAAACTATGAGGAGGCATCTGGGAGCCAATAGAGCTGGTTCATGCTGAGCCAAATAATCAGGATCATAAAGAAAAGCCTGAAGAGGGGCTATCTTCCTGAAAAAAAGGAGGATCTACACCTGCTCCTAAAGGGTAGGATGGATCCGCCTTTGTAGATCTTAAGTAATCCATGGATCTTGATGGATACTAGATCTCTTACTGGACATGGATTGCGGGGATTGAGTTGACATCTTTGTTGACAGATTGACGGATAACTGCGCACAATCTCTGCACAATTCTGATGTTTTTCATGAGTGTGAATTTCTGTGGTCAGTACTCTGATTTGCTGCCCCCTCCATGTACCTGTATGTGCATTATTTTCTAGAAAAGACGCTTTTCCTGCCTCTATTTGTCTGTTTTACATACCAACTAATGTGAAATTTTGCAGAGAAATGCAAATTATGGTACTTAAGTCAGCGTGGTGTAAATCACCTCATAGGAATCTGAGCTGATTACACAGGTGACAGGCGTTCAGAATGACAGTATAAAAAACAGCTTTGATACTTTGAATGAACTCTCGGGTTTGATTCACATAAGGTGCTCTGTTTTTTTAGACATCCTTACAGAGAAGAATCTCTTTTATTCATGTGTTGAGCAGAAAATGGAATTAAAAAAACATACTCCAAAGGCCTCGGCACGCTGAAAATTACGTCCAAATAAAGTGTTCTAGCCCCTGTGTCTGAAATGCCTTTAAAGCAAGTGGGGAAGATTTGGGAATGGTTCCAGGAGAGCAACTCTCCATTTTGCTAGCTTCAGCACTCAATAGCTCCATGATTAAAGCCGGTCTATTCTATTGATTGAAAAGGAAGAAGAGAAAACCCAGAACCTTTCTGCTCTCTAGTGTCTGATTTTCCATCTGTAAAAAGTGGTGGAAAAGCCTCCCTTGACCATGTCCGGGCAATTTGAGTGGAACGAGCCTCTCCTGTTGCACTTGGTGACTGTGGCTATGCTCTGTTACCTCATCTCATCAGCTGGGAAAGTATTTGTGCTTGTAGCTCCAGAGAAGGCGGCCACGAGTTAAATTGAGTTACCTGTTCAGAGATGGTTTCATTTTCCACGGATGGCCCCGGAGATCCTTGATGGAACTGCTAACTGCTCATCACACCCCATGTCCCCGGGTGTCTGTCTAAGCAGGGAGGGGAGAGCAGCAACACAGCGAGAGCGGCGTGGCTCAGGTGCTGAAGACAGCTGGCTGCAGGATCACACTATTTCAACTGTGAAGTGCAGTCAGACAAAGCTGTGCTGGGCTGGATTAGACACTGCTGTTTTTCATCTCCCACCTATGTCTATTTTTCACTTGCCCTCTCATTTTTAGCACGCATTGGGATCACAAACTAACACAAAGTCTGTCTTCCTGGGCTGATTCACACAACTTCACCCGCTTTTTAAAGAACAGCAAGGGTTAGGTAAATTAAACTGTCAACGTTCGGACACACACACACACACAATCAAGGATTTGAGGTGATAAATGAGCAAAAGATCCTATGAGTAATGAGATTATGATGAATTTTCTGGCTGTGATTTATGTCAAATCTCTATATTATGTACATTAATGCTTATTGATTAGAGCATAATGGATTTTCTAAAATATGTCAATCTAGCGTAAGTGATTTGGAAAGGGAGGCAGGCTCCGCTTCATGTCCCGTCTGTCTCTGTTGATAATCATAGGGGCTTGAGATGAAAGTCACAGAGGAGAGGTGTTGAAAAAAAAAATGTGATTGGAGCGATAAGAATTGAGAGGCTAAATGAAAGTAAAAGAGCAGAGGATGAAGGGGAGAGCGGGCAGGAAGCGAAAAAAGGAGCAGGGAAGGGGTTGAGTATGAAAGAGAAGATCTGAGGGCAGAGGAGAGAAACAAGAGATGACAAAAAGGTGGGAAAAAGACGAGGAAGGAGATGAGATGACAACAGATAAGAGAGCAGACAGGCTGCCACCCCACAGTCACGTCATACAATTTACTATGTTCTGGCCCATAATGTTTTATAGCACAATCACTGATAGCACAGTAGTCAGTAGTGATCTCATTTCACAACCCATATCCCTCAGTAATGTGAACACAAAGGGAGAGGCAGGGCCATTAGCAGCGTCCAGCACTCATCGACTGCTACTCGTGCATAATTGGCTTCCATGGACGGAAGCAGAAAAAGAAGTAAACAGCAAGCAATCATATTAACTCCTGTGAGTCCTAATTGAAATCCACTGACAATCAGTGCGGATGACAGAGGCTGAGGAGACATGGGGCTTTTCATAACCCAAGCCCTCTTTCTTGCATGCCTCACTTTGTATTGACAGGTTTGAAGACGTGAGTTTGCATTTTAATCATCGGTTATGTCTGATTACTCATAGGTAGCAAAAAACCGCAGCGGATAAACATTCCCACAAGTGAGCGTCTGTCTGAGAACATACTTAACTCACACAATTTATTTTTCCAGCACTTTAATCTTCAATCTAATCTATGAAATCTTCAAGAAATAAATCCTACAGGAAAAGTTTGGCACTGTGGGAAATACTTAGATTCCCTCTCGAAGAGAAGCAGACGAGAGGATCGATATTACACATATTTGATCTAAATGGATAGCAATCAGTCAGTAAAGTGAGATTGCTCTAAGTGTGCGGATATCCTCTTTTCTACATATGAACTTCTTGCTACTTTGGCACAATACAAATAATGGGTCTTTGATGTATATATGCTGTAGTGTAACCAGCTGCCTCTAGCCTGGACTGTAGCTCTGCTGTCAAAATTCTCTACTACCAAAATGATATGATATAAGAAAAATGGGATGGTTTTGGGAAACAAATGTGTTAATTTTCTTGCCTTGCCAACTTATCTACCCGTCTTATTTTTAGTTAATTTATTTTCAGATTTTTTTATTCCATTTAATTTCTTTTATTTCTTATTTTCTTTTGTTTATTTATTTATTTTATTATTATTTCTATTTTTGACCTCCATTCTGTCTGTTTTGTTTTTGTTTTGTTTGTTTGTCCGTTGCAACATTGAAAAAATAATAAACTCTGAATTATTTAAAAAAAAAAAAAATATATATATATATATATATATATATACTGTATATTCTACTACCTGGATGTAAAAAAGTACAGACTAGTGATGGGAAGAACAGTTCTTTTGACTGTACTGAATCTTTAGAATCTGTTCATTAAAACGATTCGTTCGAAAGATTTGTGTACTGCCAGTGCAGTACACGAGTGAGTGACACAGCAATGAGTTCGTTCATTGAACGAGCCCCTCCCCTCCCCTCCCCTGCTGCTGAAGTAACGGCATTGTTCACTGACTGAAACATTCTGTTCACTGACTGAAACATGTCGTTCACAGATGTTTTGTTCACCGACTGATACATATCGTTCATTCGCTGTGATTGAATCACGAGACTCTTCCGCCCGCTTGCTGGCTGGCTGGTTGGCTGTCGTTTAAGAGTCAAGAGTCGGCATGCCAGTCTCACAGCTGAGCTCAACTGAACTGAAAAAGGAACGAATCAGGTCTCGGAGTGATTCGGTTCACGTCCTTCACTCAGCAATAACGTTATTTTGAATGAAACATTCATGAACGACACAACACTAGCACAGACGACAGATGGCATCTTGCAGCACCGAACAGAGTAAAAGCAGTATGTGAGCTGTATCAGGTTAAACCCACCTATAACCATTCAACAGACATGAGACGTTGACCCACAAGGCTCACAATATCAAACAACTTTATAGAATAATGAGCCTCGAGTTCTGAACAATTTGTATCTAGAACAGTACTTCCTAAACCACAGTGGGGCTCCTTATCATTGTAAAAAAAATCTGTGCTCCCCAGTCCCTCACTGTCCCCAAAAAATGTTCCTACCAAAAAGTACAGAGGAAAAAAAATTACTTTTGACAGTTTTATCGACAGACAGATCCGTTCAAACTATTCAGCAAGTTTGTAAAAGTGCCGAAAAGGTGAAAATTGAATTTTGATAACCTCTGAGCAGACAACACAATTTCTTGTAGAAATCATCTTTTTCATTTGATTTGTGTTTATTTATTTTACACAAATGATGGAGTGAGAGAAAAAGTGGGTAGGCATTTACCATTCCAGTTGAGTAACCACTAGATGGTGTGCTTGCCTCTTTACGCTCGCACAGCAACCCATCCACCAGATGGATAGAGAGCAGAAAAGCTCCTACAGGAAAAAGATAAAGTCAGATTGTTTTGGAGCATGCTGTGTGTGCGACTCCCATTATGTAACATACAAAAAACACCATCACACTAGGTTTCTGGGGTTTTAGATTAAGACGTTCTCAAATAATGCACCGCAATCACAGTGAATACACAGCGTATGGAGCCGCTGTGCAGCTCCTCGTGACAAGCAAACAGTCTGAAACTCCTTTTCAACAGAGAGCTCATCTCCACTGCAAATTCACCCGGGGAGGGAAAAGAAATAAAACTCAATCCTCCGAATCTTTATGCCGGCACTGGCTCATTCATATTTGAGAGTCTGCATGTCAGCCGTGCTCACAAAGAGCTGTTGAGAGGCTGAATAAATACTGAACAAGGGTGTGTGTATGTTCAGGTTCAAGGGTTCATAATTGGCAGGCAGAGACTGTGGAAACACTTGGTGCTGCAGGGTCTACGGAGTCACTTTTAGAAATGTTGGATGTTTTAGAGCATGAGTTTGTCAGCCAGGCTTGCTCTTATGTCTCCTGTCAGATATTTATTCAATAATTAACATAGAGCTTGACATTGTTTGTTTCATTTTATCTTTCTTTTCTGGGTACAGCGTGTTATTTCGAAACAAATAAAGCAGCTAGTTGGTGTGAAGCCAATCTGGGTGCTGTCAACACAATTTCGAGACTTCTTTTTGAGCTCTGAATTAATTTAAAGCATTAAAAAAGAATGAAGGCAGAGGAAGTCTTAAAAGTATGTCCACATTTTTTTGCATTCTTGTGCTTAAATGTTCAAAGAAAAACTTCGTCCTACATCTGAGAAAATAAAGCTTTATGTTATTGACTTTGGGTGAGCTTCACTGCTTCTCAAGGGCAAGATAAGAGCAGACATTTCCCTGCGCTGTTGTCTGCTGCTTCTTCTTCTTTTTTTTTTTTTCTTCTTCTCATCTGCAGCAGATGGTGGAAAGAAAATCGCTTTCTGCTGGGGGCAGGATGCATCAGGGTCAGGGTTTAAGCTTTGAGGTCCACTCTGAACCTGGCTGATTTGACGGTGCTGTTTTGCATACGCCGAGTCCAATCAAATATATGCGCGGAGCGGAAGGCGGGATTTGCAAAGCAGCTTGATAGAAAGATACTGATCAGATTAGGGATTGTTTGGAGCGGCAGGATAGAGTAGCGCACAGTACACTCTGACTCCAGATACGTACAGGAACATGCAGGAACACAGAGAGATTAAGAGAAAGATTTTCAATCAACCGCAGGACGAAAAGTTGAGGATAAAGATATTACCATTGGTATTCCAGCGGAGCTAATTCTGTCGAAATTTCGCATGTTATTTGAAGTCAGATGAAAGACAATCAGCAGAAAAAAAACACAAATAATTGGCTTCCCAATTAAGGTTAAAAAGTCTGCGTCGAAACCTCTCTTTCTCTTCATCCTGTTTACCTGGTCATACCCTGATTGGATAGATCTCCGAGGACAATGACTAATGGTTACACTTGAAAACACGGATCCTTCACAGAATGATCAATACTGCAAATAATGAAAGCGCTCAAATGTTCAAGTTGAGTCAACAGAGGCAAAACGAGAAGAAAAAGAACATGTTCCCTGCACAATTATACTGTAGCTAAAAACAAACGCAACCACTGACATCACTCTGGCACACAGAGACACGCTTATTTAAATGCCTCATATGCTCATTTTCTTCTGAGCTCACCAAACCATGAATCATTACCAGCTTATGCAGATGAACACACTGGTTTATAGGTCTTATGTGATCCGTTTACAATTAGGGACTTAGGGAAACGCTACACATGATTGGAACAGCCAGTTGAACAAATAGGAGTGTTACATAATACCTTAAAACAATCAATGCAGCATGAATATTTAAGAAGCGGTTCGGACAAAGGTTCTCTGTACAGTGGGATAAAGTTCAATATGCAGAAAAACAGAGGAGGCCATTTGAGCCCTGATACGAGCCCACATAAACACAGCACCTACAAGGACGGCCTGCTTGAAATCCTTCTTCTAACATATCTCAGATGTAAGTGTGTGGGCGTATATATTTCTTACATGTTCCAGCCAAGCTGATGACTAGCCTTGGGACAAGATTGTGTGTGATGCCACAATGCCAAAGATGGAAATGGCTTTTCTCATTTCAGCACAAGCACATCCCAAATCAAATGTGTTTTCTTACCCTTCTTTTCTGTCCTTAGACACTGATCTTAGACTCAAACCTTCAACTCCACGTTTCCAAAGACTCAGCTTCAGCTCCCGTCAAGCCCACCTTTAGAGACGTGAGCCCCATGCAGCCAGCATGAATCCACGCGGGAATCAGCCTCTGCAAAGTGAGTGAGTGAGTGGGAGTCACTCAAAGCCCCGAGCACTTTTAAAAAGGGGAGGGTGGGGGGGGGGGGTTGACGGGAGGGGGTAGCGGTGAGGAGGTGGCTGCTGGGAGGCAAAGCTAATTCACTGTGACAGAAATCAGAGCTGTCAGGACCACCATGACCAAGCAGCATGGACAGCATATATCCAGTCAAACCCACAGCCGAAGGGAAGGGAAGGAGGGATGTCAGGGGCTCAGAAAAAAAGGAGGGGATGCGCTGATTAAGGCACTTAGAGAAGGGAGATTGTGTGTGTCTGTGTGTATGTGTGCGCAAGGCAGGAAGCGGGATACATCCATCCAGTTTAAAAGAGAAACGACAAGGTGAGGAGGCTACGCAGGTAAGAAGAGACCGACACACTCAGAGAGGCTTCAAGCATAGCTGCTCACAAAAACACAAAAAGACGGAGGGGGACGGGAGCTGAATTTACCAAATCTAAACACTCACTTGAGCAGGTGTTTCAACAATGATAAGTCAAAAAATAATAACCAAGAAGGAAAAGTGAAGTTTCAGTCAAGTAGGTGAAAGGTAGCCTGCTAAACCCTATGATATAATATTCACGAGAAAAGCTCGAGAGGATCTTCTAATCTGCGAGTGAAAACATTAAATCTTTAATGGAATAGGATATCAATCCAATACTGGAAGAAAACTGATATTGTGCAGAGAGGCAGGAAGTGCGGCTGGGAGCGGGAAGGGCAACCACCAGCATCATTACTTAATGATGAGAGCGGGAGACACAAGGCTGGTCTCTAAATGACACAGAGGAGGAGGAGGGGATTGTGGGAGATTAAGTAAGCTCTGTGCTGTTTGCTATACGCCGCAAAAGCACTGCAGGATGTTTGTTGGACGGCGCACTCATTTGGGGCGAGGAGAAAGCTGGGAGAGGGACCTTAAACTTGGCTGGGAAGAAGAAGAAGAAGAAGAGGCTGGAGTATTGTTCCTGTAGCGCCTGGGGAGGAGGATCTGAGGAGGAGATAAGGATTAGACAGCAATGTTGTGGGTTTTCACTGATGGGGGTACAACTTCGAAGAGGGAGGAAAAAAAAAACAGGAAAGTTGGAGTCTAAGCACTTTTGGATAAGAGTTTTTTTTCCCCTCTCTCTTTTTGGAGGGGGAGAATGGGATTAACTAAGTGAGCCAAATTGTTCAGTTGTCTGGAAGTGGTGTGAACTTTTCCCCTTTTGCCAAACAGTCTTATGAGTCAGCAGAGGGGAAAACAGTCGGAGCTGATCTCTGATGATGCTTAGCTACAAATCACCTGATAGAGAGAAGTGAGAGGAGACAATTTTCGAGGTAACGTATTTTCATCTGTGTGAAAAAACTTTTATAAATGATCAAAACTTTATTGACAGTGATCGGGAGTGTAACTTGCATAGATGAAAAGATTTTGGGAAAAAGTAAGTGGCATCTTTTTCTTATTTTTTGCACATCCTAAAAGATAAAACCCTACAAAGATTATTACATGAAAGTAAGAGTATTATTTCTGTATATAGACGGTACATCTCCTCATACTCGGAGGTCATGCAATAGATGAAAAGATTTTCTGGGGCAAAAGGGATTTGTCGCCTCCACGTTTGAACCATTTGTTATCTCCAGCCGTTGATTCAGAGAGTTCTGGTACAGCATTAACCTTGAAGTCATATTATATGTCTGTTGAAGAGCTCAAAGCAGCAGGTGGGTGGAAAAGAATAGGTTTTTAATATATCACGCTGTTTCTCATTTGATTCTTATCTGACCAGGGAGCGCCCGAGGGATTAGAAACCTCGAAGGATCCGACTTCAAGAAACATGACCTCTGGACTGTATCCAGGCCTTCTCCTGTTGCTGCTCCGAATCCTCCCCTCTGATGAGACATGTCCGTCTGTTTGTCTCTGCGTGGCTGACACGGTTAGCTGCAGCTCCACAGGTCTTTCCAAGCTGCCGGTGCCTCTGCCTTCCTTCTCCTCCACTCTCGACATTAGTCACAACTACCTGTCCTGGCTGGGTCCCGGCAGCTTCAAACGGATGCCCAGACTGGAAAACCTCAGAATGTCTCACAACCAGCTCAGCTCCTTGGGCGTCGGGGTGTTTCACAATGCCTCCAGCCTTAGGCATCTTGACCTGTCCTCAAACAAGCTGCAGGTGGTGGAGCAGCATTACTTCCAGGGGCTGTGGAGACTCGAGGAGCTTCTTCTCTACAACAATAAGATTGCACAGGTGGAAGCCGGCACACTTATCGGCCTGAGCAGCTTAAAGAAGGTCTACTTCAGCCTCAACCAAATCACAGACTTCCCATTCTTCTCTATCCAGGACCACAGCCACCCTTTCCTGACTATGCTGGACCTCTCATCCAATCGGATGTCTCGCCTGCCATGGGAGGACGTGAAAGCTCTGCCCAGGTTGGTGCAACGAGGATTGTACCTCCACAACAACTCTCTGATCTGCGACTGCTCCATGTACAGCGTGTTCTGGCACTGGGATCTGAGAGGTTACGACACCCTGAAGGACTTTACGGACGAGCACACCTGCTCTGTCTTTGGGGATCAGCGAGCGTCCATTCGGTTTCTCCGACATTCACGTTTTTTCCACAATTGCTCGGTGGAAAAAGCCCACTCGCAGCCAGTGACTGTGCTCCTCTCCAACGTCTTGGTTTCTGAGGGAGGGAGAGTGCGTCTAGACTGCCAAACATCCCTGAGCAGCAGCACAGAGCTCTCATTTACATGGCTCTCCCCCAGCAAGGGGTACATCACCGAAGACAGCATTAATGACACACTAATTAGCCTGTTTCCTAATGGCACCTTGGAGATTCTAGCAGCCAAGGTCAATGACTCAGGCCTGTACGTGTGCACAGCTATGGATATTAAACAGGCACTGAACGCAACTCGTGAGGTGAATGTGACTGTGCTGCTGCCTCCACCCGAGTCCTTCAACACGGGCTACACCACACTGCTGGGCTGTGTGGTGACCATGATCTTCATCCTCATCTACCTCTATCTGACTCCCTGCCGCTGCAGCTGCTGCAAACAACCCAAACCTCCAGTTATTCCTGTAGCGACCTACGATCCCAGCCCCCTGACTTCTGTCTTCTGCCCATCAGCGAGAGATCAAGCCAAAGTCCAAGCCGACAAGCGAGTGGCGTTCATGGAGCCGATGTTAAGTGGAGAAGGAACAGAGTGGACACTGGAAAGCTGATGTGAAAGAAGAAGTTGTTTCTTGAGGACAGATGACCTTTCCTTAGTCAGGAATCAGCATCGAATGCATCAGGAGAAAATGTTAATGCAGAACTTAAAAAAAAGGACATCTTGTCACTCTCTTGTCTGCAAGCTGATAGTTTAAAGGCTTTCCGAACAAAATAAGGAAAAATGATATGTACTGTTCTGTTCTGCTCTCCTCTGACCCCGTAATGGAAATGAAAGTTTCAACGTTGGTTTATCATCCTCTGTGTTCAGACTTTGCTGTGCTCACAGTCGAGCCATTATCAGCCCCTAAAATCAGCTAATAACTTCTCTGTGTACTAAGGTACAGAAATGGAAGAGGGGAATAATTCTCATGGGATAAGGAGAGACAAATGTGACTCACTTTTCTCTGCAAGTGTTTTGTGAGGATAGAGAGCTCCAGAAAAACACCAAGTTTATGACTGTTAGACTGCAAGCGCAGGATCAGCCTGTATATCTTTGGAGAGATACTCGTTTGTTTACGTTTTGTTTAGTGGTTTGTTTGGTAGTGCTAGCACCGCGTTGAGATAGCTTCAAACAGAACATATCTGTTATAATAATGAGCAGAAAGAACCTAAAACTCACTCCAACTCCTCAAAAACTTCTGTACCTTTTTTTTCCCCAGACGTTTGTTCAGATCAAATACCGCCTCTGCTGATAAACCTTTGCTTTTGAAGAGAATTCACTCAATTTTTATTTCTATCACACACAAATAGAGGAATTAAGATGCAGCAAGAAAGAAGCGGATGTGTTTATCCAGGAGCTGTAGCTTTAAACAATCATTTAAAATTCTTATCAAACGGAGAACAGAGGTGTGTCCTGAAGTAATCCATCATTCATATACATATCTGACCGAAAAACCTGTTGCGTTAATCTAACAGACGAAATACAGCAGCTCTCCATCGGCTTGTCGCTTATCAGGCAAACGGTGAAGTACAGAAATCAGAAGTGTCAACAAACCCAAAACAAACAGCAATTTCACCGCTCTTCAAAGACAGCATCTCTTTGATCAAACAGCACATAGCACTGTGAGCAATGTGGAACAAACAAAAACACTAAAATTTGAACTGAAGCGACAAACACTTCAAGCAGCTCGGCGCAAGCCCCCAAGGGGGTACGTTTCTGTGTATAGCCGTTTTTTTATTTTAATTGAGTATAACATGCTTCGAATAGCAGAATTAGGCGGTGAAAACAGCTGAGATGAAAGTCAATGGTGAGGGAGGACGTGCTCAGAACATAATTGAGTGGGATCAGAACATTAAGTCGATGACATGAAAGACCGAGGAGATCATACGGGTGGTCGGGGGAAGAGGGATATTTAAAACCTGATGAGATCAACACTAACCTCAAAAGAAATAAATCAATTTCTTAAGTCCATGAGTCCATAATGTTTTGAGTTGCTGTTTAATCTGAATTCAAACATTGAGTGGGACTATGGATTGCAATAAGATTGCATTGGATTAGATTTAATCCTTTATGAAATGTCAAAGACAAGCTGCAACAGCGCATCTTACAAAGAAGAGCATGTCCTCTTTGATTATTTTTAAATGTCTTCCAGGCCTGAGGAGACTAATAATTTTGTGCAATGTTGGATGCTTATTCTCAGAACAAAAAAGGTGGAAATCTGAAATCAAATGGGCAGCCATGCATGTAATCTGGACGGACTAGCTCTTTGAGTTTCATTACCATTAAACTCTCAGGGATTAAGCAAAAATCTGCTGGACTGAGACAGCCCTGTGTAGTGCTGCAGCGCTCAGTTTAATCACGCTACTGCTGCCTTGTTATATTAAGCAAAGTTTTTAATGTTTTCACAATGCTGAGCAACATTTAAATTCCTGAACAAGGATTACATAACGTCCATGTGATGTAACATCTTATGTTCGAGTCAGTCGGGACCTGTTGTTTTTCAGGGACAGTGTACTACAGACATTACACAGTTAGTGTGATGGGTTGGGGTTAGGTTTTAGGAGATTACCACCAGGATAAAAAACAGGTACTTTCTCAATTTCACTGTTTTAAATCCCTTTAATCTGGTTCTACTCCCTGACACGACACACAGCTAGGTTGGGATTTATTGTTTCTGATATGATTAGCAGACGAGCTGAAACACTGAGGACACGATGCGAGCATTTCATTAAGGGCTTTCTATTTCACAGAGGGTGCGCAGGTGACCCTGGTTATGTAAGCACTCTGCTGATTTAGGGAATCAACCTCGGTGGAGGCGGTGTGTCGGAGTGAGAGAGAGGGAAGTTTGTGTCCTGATGCCATTTGGTATCCAGCATTTTATTTTAACCTTGTGACAGCAAGTACTTTACTGATAATGCGAGGGCTTTGCAGCGCATTTTGGAAAAAAAATAAAGGGTATAAATAGACTCTATGAAGGATACTTTTGCTTTATCAGATTGCAACACATGACTGCTTGTATGAAACTGATGAAGGATATGCACATATCTTGGAGTGTTACGATATTTTAACCTGCAGCACTTACAGAAAGACTCTAAGATTACACCTAATTTTCATGTCTGTGAAAAAGGAGCATCCAGTACGGCTCAGTCTGTCTGTAATTTACCCGAAACTGCTCTTACAAATTACCTAGATGTAAAGGAAGCACTCCTTGATGCTATAAAAGATGCCCTTCTCCAAAGCACAACACTCATCAAGCCGCAATTAAAGCATGCACTTCCCTTTCCAGATTAATTGTTTCCCCCGGTTTCCTCAATCTCAAAGGGATTCGAAATCATCTTATTCAAGAATCTAATTACCCTGAAACGAGGAGTTTTACTCTGAATAGCACAAGTTGAATTGGCTTCCACCAGTGGAGGCCTGCCTCGACTGTCAACAGGGGCTATTACTGAACTGTCACAACAGTCATCAGGCAGAAGTGGAGGCATCCAGCTGTGGCAGATACATACGCATCTTTCAGACGCCCACATACACAGGCTGAGTGGAGGCCCAGTGTCACCAAACCCACGAAAACTCTTATTTCATTCTAATTGGACACATTGCTAAGGATGTCTGCTCAAGACACTCACACACAGGATTCGTTTTAGAACAATTCTCACCCTGCACATAATACTGCAAGTTTTTTTTTTTAAGGGGTAGGCTAGTTTGCTTCCCAAAAAAGAGTGAAATAAATGTGGACCGCTGCAGCCTAGACAACAGGCTGTTCATCATACCTCTGAATTGGATATGCTCGCAGGCCATGTTCCATGATTTCTAGCAGCTGGTTGCCCAACAGGATCCTTGTCCTGGTCCTTTCACTGTGGGGTGTGTTGCATAGGACAATATCATTAATCAGAAGAGATGATCTATAAGCAAACAAAACATGGGGCATGTGTATTGTTACACCCTGATATAAACCATCCAGTTTGTTTAAGCAAGCAGAGTCCCCATTCTCTGTGTCTCTTGGGTACTTATATACTGCTGTGTGTAGAATTTAGCAGCATATTATGGGATTTGACAAGTACAATGACTCAAAATATTTCAAGTTTTACGCTGTGCTCGTGAACACTCTCCTACAACATCTTCGTCTAACTCTTCCTCACTGCCTGTGTCATTTATTCCCACCAGCTTTATTGTATCACGCTGTAATGGAGCTTCCCTTGTTATTATCTGTCACACTTTTCCGCTGAAAAGAACCAAAATGAAGTTTAATGACTTATTGCTTTATTATTTCCATTAAAAAAAGACTTTTACTGTCCAAGACATTAAAGTTACCCCTATCTTCAGTGTGTTATAGTGTCTGTGAAGCTCAATAATGTACTTTATTGTTCTATTTCTTTTTCGCCATAACAGCCACATGGCTCTAGGGAGGCAATATCAGCCACTCCAGCACTTTTGTCTAGACTGAAATGTCCTAACAACTGCTGGATGGATTGGCAAAAAATGACACTTACTGGCTTCAGCAATCTAGCAGGTATACATTTAGGGCTTCCAGTAAAATATCTCAACAGCTACTGAAAGGATGGGCACTCATTCTCACTACAGGATTGATTCAGTTGACTCCTTAATGTCCTCACTCTCAGTCTCAGCTTAAGCGTGTTGTTTTGATTTCATGTCTTAACAACTGAAAATGAATGTAAAATTTAGCGGACAGGTTACTGTGCTCCTAAGGGTAAACTGTCATAACTTCAAGAGAAACTTTGCATTGTAAAATATAATGTAAAATATAATATATGCTGATGTATCTCTGAGGTGCAGCTCTTTGAAGCTGCTAGATCTGTTGTTCCTCCAGCCTCCAGCACATTTATTTGGCACCATTGACTCAGCCTGACTCAGCTTGTGTTTCTTTTTCTTTTATTTTTTTCTTAGCTTGCATCACGAATTAGCAATATTAAGTCAAAGAAAAATTAAAAAACAAGCCATGTTATGTTGTGCATATCTGAAAACAACTCCTCCCCAAACGTACATCAAGGAAATGAACAGTATCTAAGCTTGATACACCCTGTAAGTTTACCCCAAAACTATGATTTGAGACAATGTTTTTGGCTACTTTCTATAGTTTAACTGTCTTGTTTTTAAAAGGCAAACACGTGTTCTGAGTCTCATATCTTTCTCATGGCAAAAGGCCTCAATCATACACACCTGATAGCAGGTAGCCATGCTTTGCGTAGCTATCTTGTAAAAACACACAAGGTATTTTGCATCAGCTGTGTTGAAACCTAACATATCCCCATGAGGATAGCTGACAACCTAAGAGGGGTGACTTATGAGTGAAAATTGGACTTACACTTTGTAGGTACTCAAGGATTGATTGTTGACTGATTCATGTGCAAACCGGGCCTTGTTGTCTCCATGAAGTTAACATGTGAATGGCGTGTTGGAGGAGTGGTTGTACTGCCCCCTATAGGCTAAGAAAAGATAAATCTAACCAGTTCAATTTATCAAACTGCTAGTGCATTTATTGATCTATTATACAAAATGCACAGAATATGCACAACACGCACTGACATTTATGAAAAATACTCCCTCACATGCACAAATTTCAGCACTGCAGCATGCTGACTTCACGATTTTTGCCATTCAAGGTGTTTATGTAACTCAGTGTGAAGAAAAATATCTTGCTCGGTGTTTGTGCTATGGATCTTAGCTTCAATTGAATTAAGTTCTCACAGTTTCCAAAGTTGCCATGGCGGCATATCTCTTGCACAAAGTGGACTGGGTCCTCTCTGGAGATAAACGTTAACCTATTTTCCATAATAAAGGGAAAGGGCGCCCTCTGGTGTTTGTTTCGAACTGACGCTGAGAAAATGAAACAATATAAAACCCCCATACGGAGAAGACATCAACAGTCATTATGATCCTTGAGTGGCGGTTGAGATGAGGGGTGAAAGGCACTCAGCATGCAGGCTCAAAAGAGGTTTTAGTGCTGCATATCCTCGAAATTGCTCTCCTAACACACTGCTTACCATGCCGGAGAAAATAGATTTAACCAGTTCCTGCTGCAGTCGCCTTTGTCAGGTTGTTTCCACGTGTTCGAAAGCAGTTTTTAACGCTGGGATTGTGCTATATATTTAATCCATTATTCCCCTTTACCCGCTCTTTGTAGTTAAAATCACCCATTTTCACAAAAAAACCGGGCGGCTGAATAAGATTTGAATTTCCAGTGAAGGAACAGGAAGACAGCTGTGATTTATATTTTTAATAGTTTGTTTGACACTGTCTTCAAACTGGTCACACAAACAAGATTTGAAATGTTTTCATTTTAATAGAATTTAGGACAACCAAATATGTAAAATAAAATAAAAAAGAAAAGAAAAACCAACAGCAAATTCACTAGTTGTTTTTTTTTTTTTTCCTTAAAAAAATATCAGCCTTCCCCCTTGTTCACAAACCGTTTTCAAAACCGGACAAACAGAAATTAACATGATAAAGTCCGAGAGGCTGGAAGGCCATGAACATTTGTTGGCAAATATAAATATAGTGGTTTGGACAGGGTTTGAAATAGCTCACATGGAAAGAGTGTACATACAGTTCACACAACAGTAGGACACTCGGCACTGCCTGTATCAATTTTTATTAATGTAGAAAACCAGGAGCCTCATTATTGATTTATATCAATGTTTTTATGACAGGGAAATATATACATTCAGCCAGCTCAAATAGTCTCTGTCTGTTGTATGGCGTTTGTGTTGCCCCCTTTGATCGGGTTTGATTGTCTATTCAGGGGCGTAACTGTGTGGGTATGAATAGTCTGAATAGTAATCCCGACCCCCGCCCCTGCCACCTGGGTAACCCCATGAGCAGGGTCCACCTCCAGGCCCACCCCCTCGATCATGTCCTCGCCCTGGCCGAGGCCAAAGTCCTACAGGTGGGGGTCCTCTCCCTCGAAATCCCATACCCCCCCTCATAGGTCCGTGATCCATCTGTCCATGAATGCCACCTATACTACCATAGCCCATGAGGTGAGGAGGCAGCTTAGGTCTGATTACTGATCCCCCCCTGCTGGCAATTGGGGGGACTCCAGCAGAAGGTCCAAGGTTGTCAGTGCAGTTCACCTGAGTCCTGCACCCCTGATTCAGAGGGGTGCTGCCACCAAGGATTTCTCCAGTCTTAAGGAGCCCACTGGGGTCCAATGGGCCAGATGTGACTTTACCCTGGCTGCTAGCAGTCTCACAAGTGCTGGTCCCTGCTGCCCCCCACACTCCCTCCCCAGGTCCACTAAGTGTCCTTTCCTGTAACGTGGGAGTCTGGTTAGCACTGCCAGCCATGTAACCGGGCTTGGGTGAGTCAGTATGGTCTGTGTAGGGGAGGGAAGTGGGGAGAGGAGAGTTCCCAGCGGTACCAGCTCCTCCGATGTCGGAGCCGTACGTGTGGCCAAGCATCATGAGGTGAGGGGGAGGGGGAGGTTTGACCTCCAAGGGAAGAGAAGCCAGGTTGGCGAGAGGTCCTGGTGTGGCCATGACAGGAGGCGTCGGGACTGTGTTGGAGGCGACGGGGCGATACTCCTGGTCCTGGGTGCTGCTGCAGGGTGACGCAGGATAAGCGGGGGAGGCCGCGTAGCTGGATGAACCGGTGTAGGATGACCACGAAGCTGAAGGGCACAGGAAGCTCTGATGAGGATTCACAGGGAAACCTCCAGGGGACAAGCTGCCGAGGTCTGAAGAGCTGATGCCTATCTGGTTTGAAGCTTTGAACTGAGAGATGGCTGTTTTGAGAGCGCTGTAGTCAGAGAGCGTGGGCGTTCTATCGGGAGTGGCCTGGTCTGGGAGTGGAGGACGAAACTCGTCACTCTCAGGTGGGGGCGGCTGTGGAGGTTTCCCTTTATCGCTGCCCTGTTTCCGCTCAGAGGCTTCTGACATGGTGGGTGGCTCACCATCATCCGAGTCTAATGACATGTCTTCCTCCTCCACACACTCATCATTCACTACTGAGAGAGCAGAAGAGGGTAGAGACGGAGAATGGAAAAAAAAGATATCATCAGATGTGAACAAATGTGTTACAGACACGTTAAAAGCATCAAACTGTGCGGGGAAGCACAGGCGGCTTTAACGGGAGAGAGAACTCTAAAGATCAAAAAAAAATAAAATCAGCTTTCATACTGCAGCAAAATGTCAGGAAATCCCTCATGTTTAGGGGATTTAGCTCTGCAATTAATGCTACCCACCAGTAGAAGGCGGTGTTGGAAGCTCGTTCTGATTAATTGAGCCAATCAGGCTGTGGAAACCACTCATGACATCGTCAATGCTCCCAATGACTATCCCATTCCTGGAGTATTGTAGAAACATCTCAAATGGTCTCTCTGAAAAATGAAAAAAAGATCATATTTTTAACAATCAAACGGTATAGAAAGCTGGAAACATGCGGCTTCAGTTCAGAGTGACGAGGGTGAAAATACCTGTGAGGAAGATAAGGTGCCGCTGCTGTATATTCTGCGCTTGGAGCTTGATCAGGCACTCCAGGTCTGGAGCCTGCCGCGACTGGGTGTCACACTCATGGTACGGGAGGAACTCCACAAGGTGCTTTTTCTGATAGACCGTGAGAAGATTCAGCAGCCCCATGGCGTTGGTGTTCAACCTTAAAAGAGAACGACAGATACAAATCCATCAAGTTTAAGGATGTGCGTTTACAGATGAATCAGTCAAAACACACTTCAGATTATTGTGCATGCCTTAAAGAGAAAATACCCAGTTTAAAAAGGTACAAAAAGATGGTTCTCACCAGGTACAGGGAGGAAGAAGGGCATTAACTATCGGGTGTTTTCACAAATGATTAATGTACTTATTTATTCTTATTTTTTTGATAATATAATTTAATTTAGCTGGAGACTGACTGATATTATTGAGTATAGGAGAAGTGGTAGGTTTGAAAAAAAGCATAATGCTTCATCCTACTCCTTATGGGACTCAAAACCTTCCTATTTTGGAAAGCCTACCCGGACTAATTTTATCTGATTTTATCTGCTGACTCTTCTTATTGTGTTGCCCTGTTGCTTGATTTTACTGTTATTGTTGTGTTTTTTGGGGGTTTTTTTTCTGTTTTTTGCTGTGCACTTTGAGATTTGTTTTCAAATGTTAAGTGTGTTACAAATAAAATCTATTATTATTATTATTGTTGGGTTTGCATTGTTATTATTTTTTATATATATATATATATATATATATATATATATATATATATATATATACGTATTTTTTTAAGTTTTATTTTTTTGCTTTGATTATTGTTGTTATTTTGAAAATTCTCACCTGTTATGTTTGTTTTCAGTTTACTTTTGGTGTTGCACGCACATATTCGAAAAAAAAAAAGTGAAAATGAGATGAAATAAAATCCTGACCTGCCAAGTTCTTTAAGCTTCTTTTGGGACTTGCAGTGCACCTTCCACTGCCATGGGTGTTCAGGAGTGCTCTGTTCCTCTATGAACTTGAGCAGTCCCTGCAAACGATCTGCGAAAAAAGAAAAAACGAGCAGCACAGGCTCAGAAAACTCGTCCTGCTGATGAATATTCTCAGAGAGGAGCGAAATAAAACTCACCCGTTGTAATAAGGTCAGGGTTGAGGACGAACTCATCCGACACGATGAAGCCACCGGACACAAACAGCTCGTTATAAGTGTGGTTCTTGACGTCATCCAGAGTGTCCACCCCGGCAAAGCTCACTGCCGGCAGTTTCTTCAAAGACACCAGAGCTGGAATCTGCGGAGAGAAGCGACAAGATTTCCTCTATTACTATTCAAATTGAAACTTGTCGTATTAGTTCCACTGCGCCGTAATTTCTGCTGAAGCACAGATTGAGGTATAACAATGATGCGAAGGAGTCTGCAGGAAACGCTCCTACCTTGTGCACATGTGCGGCGATGTCCTCGTTCTGAATGATGATGAGGAGCTTATCTAAACTGCCGCTGTTTTCCAGAAACGTCTGCGGGCTGCACTCGCGGTTGCCGAGACTTTTCAAGTACTCCTATGGGACCAGACAGAGGGGGAGACGTAATTGATACAGACAGACAGATGAATGTGTCGTTCTCTCTTACGAGTATGAGAACTGACTGTCTGACAGAGGCAGAAAGAGCGGAGCGCTGAGAGATGGGGACATGTAGTGACAGAGCGGAGCTGGTGTAGCACTCCACTCGAACCATAGACCTGCGTTTTCGGCTTGTAAGAGCCTGTTTTTGTTTACGACTGCAGAAAGCTGTTGTGGCTTTTTCTCCCCGAGTGAAGTGAAGTGCTCAGATGAAAGATACAAAAAAGTGCTGAAAATATAGAGGCTGTAAACCTTGTCACAAAGGTTTGATTCCCAGCTGCGACCCTTTTAGGGATGCACTGATCTGATATTTGGAAGTCGGCTCCGATGTTGACAAATTAACTGGATTGGATACTGATGAAAGACGCCGATCCAGTCTTTTTTAAAGTAATATACATACATAGCAACACAGCGATTTTGTTCGCTCTGTATTGTATGTCTGTCTATCCTTTTTGCACTAAATATATACAGTCTTACTTCGTTTTGCTGTGTGCTAATGTGCAATTTGTTAATAAATAATATAAAGTAAATTTATATCTGTGTTAATTTGTTACCTTTTTTTTTTAACAAGGCTAATGTCAAGCCTGATGCCTTCACTCACAGGGCAAGGTATACAGTTCATTCATTCATTCATTCATTCAACAGTAGTATTGGATCGGTATCAGATATCGGCCGATACGCTCAGCCCAGGTATCGGTATCAGACTCTCTAGACCCTTCGCTGCATGTCTTCTCCTCTCTCTTTAGATAATAAAAGGCGAAAACGCCCCTTAAACATGTCTTTAAAAAAACAGTTTCAACATGTGCCAGATAGGATCAGCACAGAGAAGTCCGCAATAGCTGCCAAACCAACATAACGTTAAATGCTCATCACAGTGGCTGTTTATAAATTACATGTTGGCCATTATCGATAGGACAGCTGGTGATGAAGAGGAAACCTGGGAAACAGAGACTGGGATTACATCGAGCAGATGGCTGAGGGTTGGGGACCCGAGTCCGATGTAGAAAGGATTTTTGTCTTTGTGTTCTGGACACCTGCTCTACAATCTTAGATTAAGAGGTGACCCCTGCAGGAGCTTCAATATTTTGGTAATTAAATGATTTAATTCATCCTCAGCCCCGGCGTCTCAAATATGTTTCCCCCCGCAGACGTGCACATTAAACATTTCAGGTTGAAGGCTTTTGAATGATAAGAAAGATGAAGACATCACCTGGGGCTTTGAGTGAACCGTTTCAAAGAACTGTCTGACATTTTGTAAATTTAGAGAAAGTTAATTCTACTGCTGCTTAAATGAGATCCTCCTTCTGTACCTTAATCTCCTTGCAGACAGTGCTCTCCTCGCCTTCGTCTCCAGAGTAGATGTAAAACTTGACTGTGTTCTTGGTGACGTCCTTAAAGATCTCCACCAGGCTGCTGAAGACCTCCGGCTTTAGCTGACCGATGAGGCTGCCAGCCAGCAGGCCGGACCCGCTCCCAGAAGCAGCCCCCGCGTTTTTGGAGTTACGCTCTGGAGAGTCTGTGGTGACTTGAGAGGGAGAATAGATCTCTCCGCCCAACTCTGTGGACTGGGCTTCTGTTTTGATCTTCACTGAAGGCGCCTCTTTAACGGAGGGCGCTTTGCCACTCTGAGAGGAGGAGGTGGAGGTGGTGCTCTTGGACTGGGAGGGCTCTGTTTTAACTTTTGGAGTCGGAGTAGGGGCCGGGGCCGGGGTTGGGGGTGGTGTTGTAAGATTAGACGTTGTTACAGAGGGAGGCGGAGAAGTGACCTTGGGGGGAGCAGGTGGGGACGGGATCAACTTGTCCATCTTCTCGCACAGTGCTTTGACATGCCCCTGAATGGGGACCGGGGAGACGTAGGGGACGACAAAGTCTGAGAAGCAGCTGTTGGGCAGCCAGCATTGGCGTGCGGACAACCTCCCCGGCTGCTTTGACGTGTAGCAGATGTGATGAGTCTGCATAATGTTCTTAATGTCCGAAGTAAGACTGTGGATTTCCTGGCTGAGTATCGTGTCCAAGCTGATGGAGGGCCTGAAGGGAACTTCCTCTGCAGGTACAGGTAACAAGGGCGCTGGAGTCGCCTTTTTTACTTCCACAGGTGCTGGCGCCTTCTGCTCCGGGAGGGTGTTCGCCGTGGTCACAGCCTCTGGCTCAGACTCGGGCTTTGGCTCAGGAATAGGCTGTGCTTTATCTGAAGGAAAGGAGATGGAAGAGTAATTAGTAGGGATGCACCAATCCACATTTTTTCACATCCGATGCGATCTTGATTCCTGAATTTGGATATCTGCCAATACTATTCCAATAGCAGAGCTCTGTTAGCTTTACCATCATTATTATCATTATTGTTTATTTTATATGAGGCTGTAATAAACTCCTCTCTACAGGCAAGTGTGTGTTCATATGATTTCCTGAACAGAGGTGTGTCTCATCTCTATGTCTCATTGAGACACACCTCTGTTAAGGAAGTCTATTGCGCAGTTTGCAGCCAGCTAACAGACTGACAAGTAAGAATCACTTGTACAGTCATTTCAGCAGACAACGTTAAAGCAAAGACATGACTTCTGGATTGGAAACTTTCGCAAGTTGGATCGGAAATTTCTGATCCATGAATTAATTTGAATTGGAACCCGATACCGATACTGGATCGGATCAGCTCTATCCCTAATAATTAGAGTGATGAACCAGATTCAAACCTTCATTGGTTGGGTTGACCCATGTTGGGTTGTTTGAGGTGTGAGCTTGCTCTGGTGGGGAGCCTGGACTGAGTGGACTTCCAGGGCTACAGTCCATGTCCTCCTAAAACGAGAAAACACCAGCATGTAAGGTCAGTGTACATGTTAACACGGGATAAAGTCATCTCCTCTGGATTTCTCTGCTAATATCTCACCTCTGTGTAGTTTGTTAGTGCTGCTGGCTCGTTTTGTTTTCTGAGGTCTGGTTCAGGGAAAGCAGGCTCCACCCTCCCTAAACCTGTCGACGGTTCACCGTGATTCGACGGCACGGACATCGAGCCCTGCGCCACGGCTTTGTTGAGAGTAGCGAGGAGGATCTTGAGGAGTCGCTGGGTGTCGCTGACTGCTGAGGTGTTGGTGTTGGCATTTCCTCGAGCCCTCAGGTCAGTGTCGTAGATGCCCATGCTTTCCATCACTGCCGCTAGATTGTCGTTCTGTCCGCTTTCCTCGCCCATCTCATCTGCTTGGGTACCTAGAGAGATATGCACAATTAACTTGGGCTGCATGGAGTACTTTAGTGTCCTTGGACTCAAACTTTTGTGTGCAATGTAAGGAGACAGTAAAGTTATGTCAGCGCTCAAAAGTGGAGATAAAAACTGAGATTTTAAGTGAATTAGTTTACAAACTGTGTGCAAATACAAAGCAGTGATTTCTCATTCGTCTGCGGTGGAGTTACAGAGAGCCGTGTTGTGAAGCTAAGAATAGGTTCAGTCCTTTGGAGACACTGGCTCTCGAGGCAGGAGGTGGAAATTCTCAACACACAGAAAATTAAATTACAACATAAACAGCAGCCCTCCTCACCTCGACTGGGCTCCCCGTTGCTCAGTGCGTCCGCCCGTTGGCGTTTGTTCAAGCCCAACCTCTCGTCTCCTTCTAACTTCCTCTTCAGACTGTTTTCATCCCATGCCCCGTCCTCTCCCTTCTCCTTCCCAGGATCCTTCACAAGTGCTTTTTTATGGAGCTGGATGAGCTTGAGCAGCTGTTTCATCTTGTCTTTATCGTACTCATTCTGTGATAGCCGCAGCTTCTGAGGCGGCTGAGGCTGGGACTCAACGTGGGGCTTGTGCTGCACCTGGGCCCCGTTGGAGTGTGCCGGCCCCGACCTTCGGGGCTTTTCCTGTGCTGGCCTTTCCTGAGGTGGTCTCTCTGGAGGTGGCCTCTCCTGGGGTGGCCTCTCTGGGAGTCTTTCTGCCCTGTCCGAGCCCCTGTCCGAGCCGCCCCAGTCAGAAACGGGGCTGTACTCCACTGGGGCGGGAGCAGGCGTGGGTACAGGCGTGGGGTTCCTTATTTTCTCAATGATGTCCTTGGCTTTGTTCAGAGGCAGGATGTAATTTGCAGGGTTGTGAACATACGTACGCAGCACAGCGTCCATGTTAAATTTAGGTCGGGGTACTGGGATGGTCCGTTCATCTATGTTATATTTGTAGTCAGGCAGAATGAACGGCCGCACCGTGCCTGAATCCATACGAGTCAAGTATTCTGTAGCCTGCCGCTCCACTCCAGTGCTGAGGTCCTTCCCTGGATTGGGGCGTAACTTGAAAAGGGCGTAGTGCAGCGCAGGGATGAAGGGCTCCACGGAGGAGAGGATCGCAGGCTGGGGCTCCACGGTCAGTGGCTCAGGCTCGAACAGTCTTGATGCTACAAGGGAAAGTACATCACAGTTAGTCCATATTAGTGTTTAGGGACAGGAGATGGTGTAAAAACATGGAAGACTCTTGATTTCGAAAAGAAAGAGCAATCAATAGATAACCATAACAAGAGCGCCATGATATCCACCATCTTTGTTTGAAGCTTGGAGCTTCATGCAGATGCTGCCACAAGGGCTCGGTCAAAGAAAGAGATGGAGAGATCGTGAATAATACTTACAGTACTTGACAACCATCCTTGACTCCTGAAAGATGAATAATGCTTGCAGGTTCTTCTCCACCCGCCCCCGCCGCTCTGGAAAAAAAAAACAAACAGCAAACTCTTTCTTTTAAAGCTGAACCCTCACCGAGGAGAACAAGTAGGTGTTCAACTGACACAACACCGGATCATAAGAGGAGAGTAAAAGCTTTTTGGCACCTTTGGACTCGACCATCTGAGCTGAGGACAGCAGGAAGAGAAAGCCCCTGTCGAACAAAGACTTCACGAGCACCTGAATGAGGAGGAGAGCAGACACAGCAGTTAGAGAGACCAGAGTAAACTATCCTAACATGACATCAGTCCAGTTGGGCAGGTTTGCACATATTTGTTCTCCATTAGCAAGTTTACTACGGTTGCTCACGGCAAGTAAACCAAAGCAAATAGCTGGAAAGTTTGACACATTTTCTCCTAACAGCTTTTGTTTACTCTTTTAATGATTCATAAATCTAAGTGACTTCTTGGAAATTAAGTTATCAGTTTATTCCTTCTTAAACTGAGTGAACTGATCCTGTGACTTCATGGGATTGTTTGTATAGAACCTGGTAGGTAACAGCTCCAGTGACTCACCATCCTGTCCCTCTCCAGTTTGTGGACCAGCGCTGCCAAGCTGCCGCTGGTTGCTTTGCCCTTCCCATCCACCACCTCAAACAGGCTGCAGGACATCCCACACTTCATCACTGCGCACAATAGAAAGGAAAGCGAGTTGGAAAGCTGACCCATGACCCATCTCTGGAGTCAATTTTTATTTTTCCCTCTAAGCTCACTTGTACTTCGAAAATATTGCAATTGTTCTGTTTGAAATTACGTGAGATAGCGTCTTGCAAAGCAGGGTATGCATTTATATTTACGATTTGATTTAAAATGCATTATATTCAACATCCTCAGGACATTCTTCTATTATTTAATTATGAGATAGACATATGAGTCTTGGACTGACCTTCCCGTGATGCGCTGTAGGTGTCCCAAGAGAAAAGCACAGGGTGAATCTTTCGCTTTACCTGATCCAGCTGCATGCCTCGATTCATTTCCAGCTTCTCAGGTCTGCAGGGGGATATATGGATGATTTATTAAGGAGGGTTTGAAACTATATCAACTGAAATTTACTGCTAGAACATTCTGGTTTTTTTTTCTAACTCCTTCCAGACATGTCCTAACTTCACTAAATAAATATTTCTTAAGCTAAGTCGTCTATCAATGAAATTATTTCAGCAGATTTGCAGAATTTTACAGGAGACTGTATGTTAACTTACAGTTTGAAAGGAAGGTAGGGGCGCGAGGAAGATCGTAAAGAGATGGGGAATAACTCCTGGCCCTTGTTTAGAAGCGGACCGTTCCACACAGTGTAGCAGCTTTTTCCTGCAAGAAGACCAACTGCAAACGTCAACATGATACAAAGAAAAAACAGGCTCTTAAGTTCTCAGAGCTGATTACATGTTCCTGAAACTTGTCAAATGCATAACTTTTGCAAAATGAGACAATTTAGGAGAAGCAGATCATGAGATACTCTTCTCTAATATGTGCCTAATGAGTATTATGAAACATTACACGCAAGTCTGTAATTAGTTAAACAAAGTCGTAACAGTGAGTAAAACTAATTCAAAACACAAGGCAGACTTATGTGTCCTCCTCCTCCTCCTCAAATACACAACAGAAAAGTATTTTACCTTTACTCCCTTCAGTGGAAATAGTGTTGAATCTGTCAAGGAGAGAGATACAAGTCTTGTTAACAAAAACTGAAAACTTTGAAGGTGCCAGCATCAAACCGAAACAAAGACACTCGCTGATTTTCAACATTTCCTGCAGGAATATGTGTACCTGTGTGCAGTCATAGGAGCCACCGCCGCTTCCTTGCCTTTGTACTGAAAGGAAACCACAGCGTAGGGGCAGACGTGTCGAGGCCGTGCCTTGATCTCTTCAAATGCGAACTCGAAAAAATATTGCTGAAAGACAGCGAGAACCGCACATTAAAACTCGCAGATAAACTCAAAGAAATATAAGAGCGTGTCGTGTCGCTTTGATATGAGAAAACAGGTTTATGTTTATACATGATTGAACAGCCGGTGTTTACCTGTGTGAGCTCAAAAGCTCTGTAAGAAAGCAAAGACGTAACCCTGTTGGCACTTCTGGCCAGGTGACAGTCAGACTTGGGTGTAGGCTCGATAGCGTTCTTAGGCATGTTCTCATGGATGTGCTTGATTCGACCCTGAAAGACAAAAAACAGACGAGTGAGATTTGAGTCCAGGAGGGATGAAAATTCTGTGAACATCAGAATTTGGGAGTAGAATGGTAGCCTCACCCGCATAACTTTAAAAACAATGATGTCTCCAACAGCGCCCACATCCAAAGGATTGATTTGTAACAGATCTGAGTATTTGGAGAGATAAACACCTGAAAAGACAAAAAAAGTTAGTTAGAAGAGCAGCATCCTGCGACACTTAGAACTAATTATTCTGCAAGTGCCTAGCAACATGCTGGACAGGATCTTACCGACTGATGGATTCCCTAGTGTTGTGATCCTGGAGTGTCCAACCATCAGTCCCTTCTCACAGATCAACATGAGCTATATACACACACAAAAACAAAGGCGGGTCAGAAAGATGTAAACAAACAAATAAAGAGAGAATATAACGCTAATAACTCGTTCATCATCTATACCTTTGATTTGTCTGGATAAAGGAAGCAGTAGGACTCAGTCAGTTCTTGCTCTGTCCGCCCCTCTTGCTTCATCTCTCTCCGCTTCTCAATGAACTAGAAGATAAGGATGGTAGACAGAAACTTAGACACAGCAGTCTGAACTTGATAAAACTCGTACCTCCGTGGCAAAGTATAAAAATATTCAACAATGAGACCTGTGTAGGCTACAAAGTGACGATAACAAACCTCCTTCTCCAGCAGCTCATTGTGTATAAGCCTGGCTTTGCAGTAAGAGAAAGACCCCCGAGATGATGCGTCCAGGTAAAAAGTAGAAACAAGCTTCACAAGATCCTCAAACTCCCGGCTGTCAGGGGGCAGATAGTGGTACAAGCCTGCATACACAGAGGGAAATAGGAGTTTAGCATGTAGCACCTGGTGCAGAGGAAGATATAAAGAGCAGCACACCATCCAGTGTTTACACTTGAGCTCAATAACAAAGTCACATGTTCTGTCTTACAAGACGTTGGGTAAGGAATAAAGTGGTGCTTTCAGGCAACAGTTCTTTGTGTATGTTTAGTCCAGGTCTGTGGGGTGGCAGTAAACCAGCAGCATCAAATTATTCCCCGTGTTTAAGAAGTGAAATGTGTTTTAAAATGTATTACGGTTGTTAAAACGCAGACCAAAAGCACTGTACAGGGGACTGAACCTTCTATCTGTCTTTAGCTACATAAGGTTTGTTTTGTCAATCTACAAACATTCAAAGAAGTGAAACCACCGCTAGCTGACTACAGACAACCCAGATGGAGCTTGATTAGCATTAAGCTGAGGGGTAACAAAGTAGTAAACATCCCTCGGGAGGTCAAAGCGTGAACACTGGAGAAAGGCCAATAAAGTGCACACACAGCCAAGTTTGTCTCACACTTCTTTGGGCAGAAAGACAACTTAAAGGCGACATGTGCAACCTGCTGAGGGGAAACATTGATCTCCTGGGGCTGTTTATCAGATGCTAAGGATTAAAGTCAAGCAGCTTGAGCTCATTTTGCATACATACAAAAACTTGATATAACTTAACAAGGTTTGTTGAAACTACTATCTGTGTGCCACTGTGCTGAAGGTATCATTGCCTTGTGAATACATGAGGAGGGGCTGAGTCGGGGAGTATCCTGCTCTGAGATGTATTGGGGTGAGGTGGACAAGGGATGCTCTGGGGTACCACACACTGAGACAAGAAGTGGGCAGCCTTGCTTGGACTTCACTATAGTGAGAACATTTCAGACAAGTGAGTTGGGTACATCCATGTCCTTCACTGAGGTCAATGAGAAACAAATCGCGTCAGGTGGTGGCTGCAACACACTCCTGTCAAGACAATAAAGCTACCCGCGTTAAAAGAAGGACTCAAGAGACAAACCAAGAGTGGGCTTTCACACGATGACCCTCACAGTGCTGCTTTTAGGCGCCTTCACAGCAACTATTACTTGGATACCTGGGCATTACTACTACAGCTATGTCTGCTAAAACAACTCACACCGTAGCACGAAAGACTGCTCATGTACTTCCACCGCGTTACAATGATTTAACTTGAATCCGAACCGTCGGTGAACACAGTTTTAAACTCGTTAAACTGACGGGAACAGCAAGTTGGCTAGCTAGCACGCTAGCAACATGCACAGGAGAATTAACGTATGAAAGACAGGACAGGCTCTGTTGAAAACTGCAGGGATATGGCACCACCTTTCCGTTCTCGTATCTTCCTCGGAATTTGAAAATTTTTCCGTGGCAGCTCCTCATTCAGTCTCTGGCCCGGCAAGGGAGAACTGCTAAAGCTCCGGGCGTCTGCCTGCACGCTCCTCCGCCGCTCAGGGGCTTCTTGTTCGGGCATTACACCGTCTCCACATCCAGGCTGATCGCCATTTTGGTTGGCTGTGGCCGAGGTGGCGGATGAATTCTTCGGGGGTTCGCCACCATCCGGCTGAGGATCGTCCATCTTAGCGCATTCTGAGTCCCTTTTCCCCACAGCGCTGGGGTTCAGGGCCATTTTCGGGCGCCGTGCACGTACTACGGGCAATGTAGCTCTAACGATTACAGCGCCGCTTCACACACACTCTCTCCTCCTCACCCAGCCTCCGCCATTGTGAAAATGACGTACACGTTCTTCTCCACCACTGCAAAACGCTGCCGTCACTATGTTTACATCCGAGAGAATCCGCGCCCCCTAGTGGAGACTACATGACATGCACACATTTTTAAGTGAAGCGAAACTACTACAGTATGTTCAACGACAAACCATAATGTTATAAACACCCAGGTAATCTCGCATTAGCATTTTTAATTTCCGGTTGTTGTTTTTTTTTTCTTCAAATTAATCGCAAAAGTATGAATTGCTAAAGTTTTGGATGTTGGTTGTGTATTGAAGTGCAGTACATTGAAAGAAATGACTGTTAAGTAGGCCTAATAATAAATCTCAATGAGGTTTTCTAGGTTAAATTCTTTTTCGTAAAATAAATGTCAATAAAAAAGGACATTTTGAAGCAAACATTTTGGTTTGCATTAGATTCCCCAGGCTAATTAATAATTCTAGTCTACTAATTGTTTTTTTTTACACACTAATCCTATATATTTGCTTTCTCTCTAATGTTTTTTGGACTAATACAAACATAAACTTGTGCAACCTGAGGTACATAAAGTTTGAGCACAGTCCCAAAGATGTAATACCTAATTTGTCCACCAGATGGGGGCAAAGTAGCAGGTACCCTCTCATCCTTTTATACCAGTAGTTCTCAACTCTAATTCTGTGACCCACATTTTCCCACTTTTATAGAATTCAAACCAAGCCAATTAATCTTTTTAATAAAATGAAATAAAAAAACCTTTAAAGACTCTAATCTTTAACATAAATCCACTTGTTTTCTCGAGTAAAGTGCATTTTTAGAGTACATGAAGGGGACAACATGAGGACCACTACTAAAGTTGCTTATACAGAAAATTTTGAGTATCTGATTAATATCACATTAAATATTTACTTTTTTTGACCAGCTGTTGACCCAGTATGAGACGACATTCGTTTTATTGCTTTTTTATTGTTTTTTATCATATTTTAAAACAACTATTTATTGTTGTTTTATGTTTCATGTTATGTTAAGAGGTATTATCCAGAATGTTTTATTAAATCAGAAGGACACAACAACTCAGAAAGAAAAAAAGAAAAAAAACACAGGTATCAACATACCTCCATAGCTTTTGGAGTGACAATAAAATTCATATGGTTCTTGAAAAACAATATTGCAAGGCAAAATCACATAATGCATCTTTTGGGAAAATAACAGATTTCCCAAAAGACAGAGCACGGAGGTAAATATTATCTGGATAATCATGGTCTGAGTCCCTCTTTCACAATTTGAGTATCGATGAAAAATGTATATGTGCTTTTAATGTGGGTTCATTAAGCTGCCCCTGCTGTATACATCAAACTCCTTGTAGCGTAGGTAATCCTTCAGCATGGGAGGAAGAGGAAGAAAGTTGATGAAAACTGGAGCCTTTAAGCGCAGACGACTGAAATGCTCCCTTATCCTCAGCCGACACAGGTGTTTCAGACTGCGTGCATTTCCTGCATACAAATAGAGAGTAAGTAAATGAATGCACACGTCGTCATCAGTACAAATGAGTGTGACTTTCTTACTTTGAATGTCACAGATGTCCTGCCACTGTTTTTCCTCCATCAGGGTTTCTTTAAGTTTGGTGCAAAAGGTTACGCTGTCGGTGTAGTCCAGCATGATGCGTACCACCTGAGCGGAGATGTGCTTGAGCCAGGCCACTGTTATTACCTCACAGAACTGTAGAGAGACACAGACACGCATGGCAGAGGAAGGAAACCCTGAAAGAAGTGTTTACACGGTAGAATCCATTCACATATTTCTGATCTTTACACATTTTTTTCTCCCAGACAAGCCTTGACTCACCACCATGTCTTTAATGATTGAGGTCGTCCAAGGAGCATAGTCATGGGAACTATCACCATAGGGACAGTCAAAGCAACGCTTGACATCATATCCATGGTTGAGAATCATCCTCAGCATGACCTCGTCTTTCAGAGCATACTGCAATGCTGAGGGGAAGTGGGTGGTGTTGATTCTGGAGTAGTAGTTTACATTTGCTCCAAACTTCAGTAACGTGTTTATCAGTTCATAGTTGCCCTGTCTGAGAGCCACCTGCAAACAGTTGATAGGATCCTGGTTCACCATCGCCCCCGCTTCTAACAGCGAACGGGTGCACTGGAGATCATTGTTGGACACGGCGAAAAAGAGGGCAGACCTGCGCTCGTCATCGTAGTTGCGGCGCACCCTCTGATGAAGCATAAAGTTTGGGTCGAAGCCGGCTTTGAGCAGCATCTCCACACAGTGTTGGTGTCCACCAGCAGCTGCAGAATGGAGAGGACTCATCCCACTTTCTTTTATAGCCTCCAGCTTAGTCACAGGGATGAGCCGCTCCAGAGCCCTGTCGGAAAAGAGGCCTCATGTGAAACGAAAAAAGGAGTTCAGAAACTTTTAAGAAGTAAAAGAGATAAATGTAACACAGACAGACAGAAATCCTCACAGTATGTGTCCATGGTAGGCCACTCGATGGATTGGCAGGTGTCCACTGTACAGAGGTTGATTGGGGTCTGCTCCATAATCCAGAAGAAGGGAGATTATGTCTGGGTTTCCTGATGCTGCAGCATCAAACAGGATAGTTCCAGACTCTGATTCACACCATGCATGGGCTCCTATAGAGTCAAACGCACATGAATTTTGCAGGTTTTAACAAAATCTAGAATGCAAACTGTACATTTTAATCCCTCCTCCTGCACCATGAAGTGTCATGTTGCACTAGTGAAAGGTAATTTATCTCAGACATGTTACCTTTCTCCAACAGAACCTCCACCACATTCAGATGTCCGTTTTGTGCAGACAGAGCTAGGGGAGTTTTCTTCTTTATGTCACATGCATTAGGGTTGGCACCAGAGTCCAGGAGCAGATAGACAAAGTTCTCTAAGCCTAAGAAGGAGGACTCGTGTAGAGCTGTCCTGTTCAGTGGTCCTGTCTGGTCTACGCTGGCGTTGTAACGTAGCAAGAGTGTGGCTAAGTCATACTGGTCGTTCAGAATAGCTAAGAGGAAGAGAGAGAAGAGGACAATCAGTAAATCATCCTTAGTGTGTAGGTGTAATAAAAGAGAGCAGACAGAGGCTTTGTTTCGAGATTTAGTACCTGCCACCAAAGGAGAATCCTGCTCGTCGTTCTGGAGATCCGGGCTCGAACCGTTCTGTAACAGGAATGTGGCACTCTCTCTGAGTCCATGAACCACAGCTAGAAACAACGGCGTCTCACCCTTGAGAGTGCGACACTGGACCACACCCGGGGGTGATGCTGGAACCCACACACAGAGAAAATCAGCATGTCTGCGTTTTACAGGAGCTCATGAGATCAAATATAACCTCCCTACCTGAAAAGATAATCTCCAGTATCCTCTTACTCCCCTGCACTGCAGCCTCATGCAGAGGGATCCACCCTCGGTCATCCACTCTGGACAGCATTTCTGGCTGCAGTGCCAGTCTGTGAAGTGCATTTTCATCACCTAAACATGAAGACGAGACCCTCTGAGAATCTTGGCAGGATTCATCACAATTTGCTTTAATGGTTCCCGAACCACATCTGTTTACCTTCTTTGATAGCTCTGAAAATCTCATCAGGGTCTTCACTCGGCTTTAGATCACTTTTGATGGGAAGTGAAAATCATTACACTAATCAACAACAAAAACACAACATACAAAGACAGATTGATGCCTGAGTGACTAAATATTCACCTTGGATTCAACCCTTTGAGCTTTCTATACTGAATAAGACTTTGTTCAATTATATATTGCGTCGCCTCATCTTCATCCAAGTCATCGTCTGATTGATAAAAGTCATCTTCTGTTTCTGTGGTCATCTGTTAGTCCAGAAAGGGTCAGTGTACAAGAGCTTGATCTGGTGAAACAAAAACCATAACGCAAAAAACCTCAAATAAGGATCCTGAAAAATCCATTTAAGCTTCTGATCTGTTTGTAATCATGCATTAGATGTAGAAAGTTCATAAACAAAACTTTACACTAGTTTGTCTACAGTGTCACACATGCTCAATAATAAACCCATGCAGTATATGAAAATGTAACACAACAAGGCTCTACTATTTGTAAGAACAACAAACTGCATGCTGATAAAACCAGTTTTTCTTTCCGTGCATTACTTATTTGCCTGCTGTTTACCTTCAGTCAAATGGCTGTGTGCTATCGCTGGCTTTTTTACGACAGTAACTGGGCTCCTCTGCACCAACACACATGCTGAAGCTATTCATAGCTGTCAGACTATAAATGTCAGATCACGGGGTCTTCACAGCCAGCACCTAGCTGTGACCTACTGAGCACAGCAGCAACCTACACCAATCAACTCACATCTACAGATTAATGAAAACACAGAGAGATTGAGAGACACTAAGATCACATGCACATGTTTTCACCTTTTATTTAGCTGTAAATTTTTACTGGTATTTTACAACGTGGTGTAAAAGAAAATCATGGTCTTGGGAATGAAGACAACACAGCCGGTGGTGTTGTTATGAGCAAAGAGGAATCCCTGAGCCTGTATGCAGAATCAGCTCCTGCTAGAATGAGATAAACACTGCATGACAGACAGAGGCAGAAGGACTTTGACAACAGGAGTAAAGGTTCCAACAGGCCAGAAAGATCAGGATCCTACAGAATATTTACACTGATAAGAAGCACTTTACAGCGTGATCAACAGGCTTTCACAGCAGCCAAATTTCAACATCAATTTTCCTTGTTACCAGAGTTTCTGGTTTTTATCATCTTTTATTTGGTTTATGGCTGTATCACTATAACAGTACGTGACTGTGAGTTCTTTACCCAGCGTGAGGATCCTCGTAAACTGCTGCAGAAATCCGAGGTTGGTTATGAACTCCAGGCCCACATGGGTAATAAGCAGCGAAACTGTGTACAGGGGTGAAATAAAAGTTGCTGTGTGTAATATTCTTCTAGTGTTTGTTTACAGTAATAAAACTAATTAAGTGCACACTTTTTTCTCCTGCTTTGGTTTAAGCTCCATCCATAATTATGAAACACATGAGCTGAGTCACAAACAGATTTTATGTTTCGTTCAACATCCTGAATAAATAAAACATCACAAAAGGTGTCAGTATTTATAATCTGACACAACATGCTTGAGGTTTTCAGTCATCGAGCTGGCAAAGCATGGCCACCCCACGCTTTATCCAGTGCTGAGGGCGCCTGCTGGTGGGCAACATCATGGAAATGACAAAGTTTGTTGAGTGGCCTGTCGTAGAGAGGGTTCCCTTCCTCTCGCTTGTCTTGTAGAGAGGGCAGACAAACAGGCTCTGAGGCTGATCACTGCTCTTCTTTTGTGCTGCGATAAAGACAAAGAAGCAAGTAAATAATAAGTAAGTAGTCAGGGAAACACACTTTTACAACAAACGGGTTAAACATGAATTACTTGTACGATACTTACTAGGTTTTATCCAGATGATGGGCATTAAGTCGAAAAGGACTTTGGGGTGCTGCTCTGCCAGAAATCCACTAAAAAAGTAACAAAAACAAGTTCATCTGTATAGAATATTCGTTCTCTTTACTGTTAAAATGTTTATTTTTCTTCCTGAAATTAACTCCAATTTAAACTCCTACCTGTCTTTGTCCCATCGAGCTCCGTCCAGGAACAATCCATTCACATAAACGCCATCAACAGGCGAAGTGTCTGATTCATCAATAGGAAGAACCTTCAAGTGTAACCATGAAAATAGAAACAGAGAATAAGCTCGCACAGAGGGCTCAGAGTGTATTTCTTGGAGTGGAGACAGAGGGATTATATAGTATTTCTTTTAACCTCAAAGTCAAAGCCAAGCAGGTCAATGGGGATGTGATATTTGCGGGCGTAGTTCTGCATAGCCCCAGTCAGGAAGGCTTGGGTGAAGAAGAAGCCAGACAGCCAAAACACATCAGGTTTACTGGCATCGTACCAATCCTGCAAAAGCACAAAGTAAAAGTGAACTTGAATAAATCTAAAGCTTCCATCTTTCTTCTGTTTTTTAATGGTATCGTTCCTGAGAAGTCTTACCTGCAAAAACTTGAGCCTTGAGAGAAAGTCTGTGATGTAGCTGCCCAAAGGCTTGAGGCTGGGGTAAGAGCGCTTGGCCCATTTCTCTGGGACCTTACCCACGATCAAACTGCCTGCAACCGCCTCCAGCTCTGCATCCATCACCACCAAGCCCTTGATGGCCTTCAACAGGTTCTGTAGACTCACGCGGATGGTGCTGCACAGCCTGAGAGAAAAAAAAAAAAAAACGGCAGGTAAAAACATAATATTAGTGGTGATGTGAGGTGTGAATCAAAGTCCCACACTGTGCCGTTTGTTCTTACGTGTTGTAGCGCTCCATTTCTTGGACGAGCACAGTGTTCATGCTCTCCTCGTAGAGCACCGGGAACTTCATCAAGGCTGCCTCTGTGTCAAAATTAGCTGGAAGCTGGTGGGAATAAGTTAGTCAGATGGTTAAAAATATACAACACAGAGCTGAAAGTGTATAAAATCAGAGAAAAAGGAAGCGCCTTCAAAGCCTGGTACTTCTTTATAAAAGTTCCCCTGCACTAGTGGCATGTGTCTCTTGTGGTGCACACGTCTATTCGGAGATCACTAAAAGTCTGTGGGATTCCTACTTTCGGGAACATGAGCGTCACACATTTTTTGAAATATTTAGATCTTGACCTCATTGCTTAGCAAGCAGGTAACTATCCCCCAATGCTTGAAATATGGCTAAAACTCTGCCTGAAGAAAGTTGTGGTAAGCTTGTACCTTCGTAAGGATGTCATTTGCTATATCGAAGAGCGTGTTGTCACTCCCAGAGCTCCCCCCTCCCTTAGCTCCTCCACCCTGGGTGAGCAGCAGGGAATCAAACAGCATCTTTGTCTGCTGTAGATCTTTAGAAATGTCCACATTTTCATGCATCCCAAACACCTCTGGATGCTGGCTGAATGGAAGCTCCTACGGGACAAGACAATGAGGTTAATACTGGTCAGCTGGAAGTGACAAAAACAGCCATTTGTGCACTTTGTTGTGATGTGATTAATGGCTTTTACTTTGATGAATTCAATGTAGTCCTCATATTTAGATTTGGGAGGGGCATGGTACTCGCCGCTAGGTGAGAAAGGGTAGCGAGGTGTCTCAATGATGTTCTTGTTGTAGAAGTCTGCTAATATGGTCATCAAGAGCCTCCGATCCCAGTCGTCAGTCACACGACCGCCATAGTTACATTCTCCAGTGAGGTAAGTTATGGCCTCAAAAGGTACCTCATCATACTCTTTCACAAACAGCTACAGAAAGAAAAATCATATGAATGAATTTTTGGATTTACTTTGATTTTGCTAATATGACCTCAAAGACGATGACTAAATACCTGCAGCTGCCTGATGCTGATACGTAGGTCTGATTCGTTGAAGCCATAGGGAATATTCCAGCCAAGAGGACCAAACTTTTTCCTCTCCTGAACAAGAGCATGGAAGAAGCAGAGGCCGTACAAGAGCTTCTCCCAGATCTGAAGGAGAAATTTTAGAGTCACAGGATGTCCCACATAATAAAAAAAGACGTATTTGATGATGAAACTGAAATGGAGGCAACTTACCAGCTCTTTGTTCGCACAGTTATTGAAGAAGTTTGGGTCAGAAACAGGATCTGACAGATAAGATTGCAGCAAGTTAAGACGCAGGCCTGTAGGAGGCTCATTCGTCATTTTCACTCCATTCTGCAGGATGGTCACTGGAAACTGAAACCAGAAAAGATATATTTAGGTTAATATTCATAGTTATAATCCCAACTAAGACACACATCCTAATTAACATTGGATAAACTTTACTTTGGCTGAAGGATAACTTGTGAGCCAAAGGCGGAAGTCAGGATGGCACGTCCCTGGACTGAAATCCTCACAGATTTTCTCCAGGGTGGACATCCAGGAAACAGCCAGGTGACAGTTCTGCAAACACACCCACGTCCCTTCCTGCATGGCCGTGGATATCATTTTGGCTGCAATGGGCCCCTGGCCCTGCCCCAGAGAGATGGACTGAAACTTGGCACCAGCCATGTTCTTGTCACTGGCAAACTTCAGCAAGCCTGTGGGGGGCATATTGTTATTTCTGATGATCTTCAAGGAGCTGCATCTATGACAGCCAATCATCAATCAGAGCTGTGGGACTTACTAGCCATGGGATCCGCTCCTGGAGACAGCACAAACACAAGGGGGATGGTAGAGTTGGAGTCCAAGTAGCTCTTACTCAGGTCAAAGGGAGGCGGCTGGACAAATTTCTTGCCCAATTTGCCAGTCACGTATTTAGTCACAGCTGGCACGATCTTATCCGGCCTGAGACAGCGAACAATGATCATCTTCTGCAGCTCATTAAGTCGATCACACCAGGGAGTGGGCAGAGGAGTGTTACACGGCTCTTTGCTGTCATAAATGGGCTTGAAGTCTCCGGGGCTTTGAATGAAAGCCTCTCTGTAGAATAAAACACACTTAGATTCACTCCATTAGACATAAAGAATGTTTGGTAGAGCGAGTTTATGATTGGTTATGTCTTTTTACTTTATTCCTTGTATGCCAGGCAGATCACTGGCTCGACAAATCTCATCCCAGCTCTTGTCCTGCAGCCAGCTGGGTTCTGGATTGGGAACAGTGTTCTGAAGACCCACTCCTCCGGTCAGTAGGAACATGAAGTCAGAGTATTCAATCTCCTTTTTTGCTCTGGATAGATATAAAAAGATAAACCAGCCTAAATTTAATATAATTTAATGTGGTTAGAAGCTAATGCCAGTTATAAGAAAGTTACTCGTCATGGGGAAATATCTCTTGAGGACTCACAGGAGTAGATTGCAGCAGAGGAGGAATGAAAAGAGGAGTTTGTCTTTCTCAAACAGAGAGCGGCAGACATTACAGTAGAGGTTATAGGTGAAGTGATCGATCAGATATCGAAGTCTTCGCTCGAGGATCTTTGACTTGTTACTGATGGATGAGAAATAAAACAAAGTCTGATCATATTTCTCATCTGCATTACATTTCTGGGCTTCATGTGCGTCACTCACCTGTCCTGAATAGAGTTAATGTAGAGGTTGACAAACCAGCTAAGAGAGTACTGGTACATCGGGTCTATGTTGGTCAGGTCAGCAATGCTGAAGAACAGGATGGAGGAATGTTTGGCTATAGATCTGTAACCTTCTCTTGATTCTGCGATCTTGATTTCTGTCTTTTCTCTGCGATCTGCAAAATATCGAAAAATATTACCAAATATCACATTCCTCAAAACAGGTCTCATTTTCTCTGCGATTTTCACATCTTCCTCACCTGCTGTTTTTTTGTAATCTCATTAGACATGATCTTTGCAGAGTCCAGAATCTGAATGGCACTCTCATCCTCCAGGATATTCCCCTCTGAGGATTGCAGTGTCTCCAGGATCTTGTCCTCGATTTCCTTAAGCTGCCTTTTATTAGCAGCTGACTGCAAGATCAGTGCATTCCTCTCCTCTTCCAGCTCTGGCCTGTCAAGAATATCAAGTGGAAATATGACCCCAAAAAGAAAAGGATAAGGATTATGTCAATGCTATAAAAACATGACCAGATTGTGTGCGCTACCTCTCCTTGGCGACTAGAATCCCCAATAACTGGTCCTCCAGGCCCTCTGGAGTGATCATGAAGTTAAGAAGGGACACCTTGGTTGCCAACTCTGGTAGGTAGTGTGGGTTTCTCAGCTTAGTGGTGATGTAGAAACGGAACTCAGGCGAGTATTCAATCACACTCTCACCAAGCCGGATGCAATCCACGCCACCTAAGTGAGAGGAACAATTTTAGTTTTTCCAGATTCCTTCTGGGATTAAAACCTGAAGTTCCCAAGAGCTTCATAAAACTCAGGACACCTTGTTTGAAGATTTGTTTGAGCAGCAGTGGTTCCAGTGAAGGATCCAGCTCCTCTCCTACATTCTCCAGGAGCAAAGGCGTTCCAAACTGAATACAGTTCTCCAAAGTCCTCATGTAGTCCCCATCAGTCAGCTTGATCACACTCAGGTTGTTGTCTTTCTCTGAATTCTTCACCCACTTGTTGGCCTGACCTTGAGGATCAATCATCAAGGGCCTACCAGAACAAAAACACTGTTTATTTTTTGTCCAATGCTCCTAACATAAATAAAGAATTCAGTTCAAAATAGCTTACCATCTTCGTGAGTTGCTGACAATTACACCATTGTCAACAGAGAAAGAGTCACTGGGAAGGCCTGCGATGTTCCAAGCTCTGATCTTAATGGGATCTCCTAAGGTCTTACTGAGAGAGAATTCATCCGATGATGGGATATTCCTCGACTAGAGATTTGAAGAGAGAGCAAAAGGAAGAAAGAAAGCAACTGGTTATGTCTCAATAGAAATGAAGCAACAGAAAAAGACTAGATAAAACTTTGGAGGACTGTTACTTGGCAGAGTTTGGTCCATGATTTGGTGCAGTCCTGTCTGAAGCCAGCAGTGAAGGCCCCTAAATAAGCAATGACCCCAGCAGAGATGAGAACATCCCCAGTTAGGTTGTCATATGTGTTCTGTAGATCATCTGCTGCCTTTGACCATCTTAAGAAACCAAATAAACTCAGTCAGTAAGTATCACATTTGGATTAAACTTTATAAAATGCACATGGGCTTCGTTCTGACCTTGTCTTCTCTCCGCCAAGACCGCCGATAAGTTTCTCCGCCCGCTCCAACTTCCTGGCACACAAATCAACCTGAAACTCTAACTGAGCTTTCTCCTCTGTCTTTTCCTCAAAAGTTTTCTGGAGAGCAGCGAGACGGTCTTCCACCTCTTTTAGTTCGGCTCTCTTCTGATCCAGCAGGGCCATGGTAGCAGCCAGGGACTCCTGGGCCTCGGCGAGGTTAGCTTTCTTGGGAGCCACGACCTACAGCCAAAAGCAGGAGTTGTGATCAAAGAAAAGGGTCGATCACGACACGCAAAGAGAAAAATCGATCCTTTCCCAGAAGATAATCACCGCACCTTTGCAACCCTGTCATACACCTCCATTGCTTTGATCCATTTGCACAGGCCCTCAGCTGCAGAGGAGGCCTTTGCCACAATACTGGGGTCAAAGTCGGGATTAGTCATATACTCAGTACGGATTTTTTGCATCACAGGAACCTGTAGCAAAGAAAGAGATGAGTTTATAAAAGCAGTGTTCAATAACAAATAATAAACATATTTTGTTGATACTCACAGGAATGTTGTCTTTGTCATATTCTCTAAGGTCACGCAAAAAGTTCATGTCACCCAGGAGCTTTTTGCTCGGACCCCAGTAGTCCAAAACCTAGACAAAAGATAGAATCAGTTTTCATAAGGTGAGCTTTAGCAATGTTGTTAAAGGCATCAAAAAGAAGCTCAACGCTGTGATTTCTTGTTCAGATATCATGTCCTGAAGTTTAACCTTTTTCCCAGTCCCAGCTGGGTCAGCTATCTTATCCGGCTTTATCTCCTTCATCACACATACAGCTGCCATCACCAGTTTCACCCCTGAAGGCGGATTTTTCATGGACTTCACTATTGTAACATCAGAGGGCTGGAAGAGAAACAGGCAGCTCAACGTACTTATCTATATCAACTGTGATGTTCTGAGTAGATTAAACTGTCACAGCGTAGCGGCGCAGCTGAAGGGTTTCTTACCTTCAGCGTGTCCAAGGCTGAGAGAGCAGCCTCCAGGGCAGGGATGGCCTCAGCCAAGTCACTTTCACACTCATTCTTCAGAGCCTGAGCCTCGCTGGCTTTTACTGTTGCCGCTTCCTCATCGACACGCACAACTTTACTTTTGGCCTCCACCTCCACAGACTCCACTTCAATCACCTGAAAGTAGTCAAGTGGAATTAAACTCCTTTTATTTTTCGAACACGCAGCAGGTCAGACTGAACGCTATTATTTTTTCTTACCTTCATCATATTAGTGTTGTCTATTTTTGCCTGTTCCAGTTTGGGCTGCAGGTCAACAAGCTCCTTCTTCATCTCGCCAACCTGCAGAAAAAAATACGCTAAAAATAAGCTTTGCTAAAGAACGCAACAAAGAAATTCCAGTACAAATGGTGCTGCTGCAGGTACCTGAGATTCAGCAAAAGCTAGTTTATCCAGGCCGTTGGTGTACCTCTGTTTTGCTTTCATGACCATGTCTCTGTTCTGAGTAAGGAGCAACCTGAAAGCTGCAATCAGTTCCAGGTAGGAAGTGGGAGTCACGTAATTGTGGCGACCCAGCTCAGCGAGGAATCTACAATAAAAACAACAAGGTAGCTCTAGGTTATTAGAGAAACGCTTAACCTTTTGAATATGCAGGTCATGAATAAACATGTCATACCTGTGGGAGAGCTGTTTGGCTGAGGTGTGGAAAGTTTTGCAAATTGGTACAACTTCCTGCCTCTCATTATCGCTCATGTCTAGTGACTCCAGGAAGGAGTTGGCCACCCGCTCAAGAGCCTCCTCTGGCCATGGCTGCACAGTTAAATGAGATAATATTAATAAGACTACTAGTAGTATTTATAAAAGTGTCTAATAGTTGTTGTAATTTGACACCAAATGACCACTACAATCATTTCACTCCTGAAACCAACTCAGTACCTGAAACCAGTCAATGGTACAGCAGTTGATAAGAGATGGAAATTGGCGCAGACGGTTTCGGAAAGCGTCTCCTATTGGACTGAAGGCTACAACAATGTGCAGGTTCTCTCTACAGCGTGCCACAAAGAAGGCAAACAGAGTCAAAGGACTCAACTCCAAATTCTTGTTTCCAGCCTGGGCGATGGGACGTACTGTCTGAGGACAGAAAGGTTGAGAAAGAGAAATCAAACGTGAGTATATATGTCTTTTCAGAAAGCATTTGTAGTTCAGTGAGGGTTTGCAGATTGATTATTTCTATCTCTACCTCCATGATCTCCTGCTTCTCGTCAACAGCAAACAGATTGGGCACCTCCCCCGTGTTCAACACACTGTCCACATCTTCGAGAAAAGCCTCGTCTTTTATCTGGGCATCAGTTAGCAGAAACACTGTTTTCTGACCTTTCACCCCAGCATTTTTCAGCAGCATCTAAAACAAAAGGAAATGTAAGAGGATAGTTTGTTGACAAAATCAATCAATCAGAGATCAAAATAAGACAGAGACGTCTGCCCAGCAAAATAATCTGACTTTCAGGTCATCTCTCCACTCCGTCATGCCGTAGCTCTTGGAGATCTCAGGTTGGAACATGGTCATGTGGGCCATGGATGTAGCCAGACGGGTAATCGACTGACGACCACTGCCTCCCACTCCCACAAGAAGGGCATTACCTCCTGGCTGCTTCAACACACGGCTGATTCGAGATAGGTGCTCAAGGACATACCTTTATAACAGAGGCAAAGTCTCAGTTACTCAAGTTATTATGAAAAGCAAAGATATTAAAGAGAACTTAAAAACATAATGCACTAATAGATACGTAGCTCAGAATAATCCTTTTTTTTGACTCTGTAGTAAAAAAAAAAGGTGCTTACCTGAAGATGACAAGGTTCATGTGATTCTTGTGCATTTGGTTGTATTCTTCAAGACACGACTGCACTACTATTTCAAAGCTGTCCATCGAGGGCACCTCAGCATACAAACGCTCATCACCCTCCAGGTCAGGGGTCATGTAGTCACCAAACAGAAGATTCCTCATGTCTTCTTCCACCAGCTAAGAAATATGAAAAATGTTATGCTTATAAAAATATATATGTGTCTTAATTGTTTTATTTGCATATGGATCTTTAATAATATTTGGTTACAATAGTTGTTCAGTATGTGATAAAAAAGCAAAAATAACTTTATCCTCACTTACTTTACTGCCTTGTTTGAGGTGATCAAAAATCTGGTCGAAGTTCTCTTTAAAGTGGTCTTTGAGGATGTCTTTCATCAGCAAGTAGAGCCATGCTCTGTCTTTGTCATCCACCAGACGATCATAGTAGACGCGGAAGACCTCGTGGACAAACAAGCGTATAACTGTGCGCTTGTTCTCCAGAGACTTCTTCTTCAGCAGCAGGCAGCCCTGGATGACTCGTGAGAAGTCCCGCAAGTTAAAAGTGTAGTGAGACTTTGCCGGAGTTGGGAGCAGGTTTTCCATGGCTTTCTTATACACCTATAAGGACAAAAACAAATAAATTAAAGACATATATTTGCTCATCTAAACTAAACAGCTCAGATGATATCAGTGTGTGTTTTTGAGATGACTTACCTCCATTGTAGCTGTCACTATCTGGCTGCCAATAGTGAAATATTCAGGTGTAAATTCATTATTTTTCAGGTAGAAGGCTACGATGCTGGAGAAAATTCGAACCATAGTGTCATCACTGAAGGCATTAATGCTGCAGATGTTAAAGTGACGGAGGAACCGGGATGTCACAGCATTTCTCCCACCACCAGGGGGACCCATAGCTGCGATGAGCTGCAGGTCCATGAGAGTGATTCTGGAGGTGTCCTTCAGGTCGTACCTGTCAGGGTAAACCAGGTACGCTCTCGTCAAACAATCCTCAAACTTCTTAAATCTGGTTCATATGGTCATCTTAATTTTTCATGTCATTCTTTTTCTTTGTATCTAACAGTTATTACCAGTTTCCATGGTCCACAAACTGTCGAAGAAGCTCCACAGGAGGCTGAGCTCCAAACTGCTCCAGTGCAGGCATGTTCATGTCATCCACAAAGATGACACACTTCTTTCCCACAGGAGGCCCAAACACTCCCTTTCTTCTCTTATCTAACCTGGACATGATGATATTCTAGAAATATTACAGACAAAGAATTATGTTTTCTTGTTAGATCATTGCAGCTAATAAAGTATTTCAAGCAAATTATATTTTTATTCAGGAACATTCAGTCTGTTTTTGACGCTGACCTGAGTTTGGTTGGCGCTCGTTCTGGCAGAAAAATTGATAAAAAAGGGGAGATAGCGGTCTTTGTCCAAGTTGTTCATCAGTTTCTCCTTCACATACACTGATTTCCCTGTGCCAGTAGGACCAACAAACAGCAAAGGTCTACAGAGACAGAGAGAGAAAATACACACGGCAAGATTAAATAACACTAAACTCTCGGTTAAATAAAATGAGGAATATTTTGAATCGACTAGTCACACTGTGGAGGCAGAAAGAAGCTGTATTTGTCTAATAATGTGCCTCAAGCATTTGTGTATCAGTCGCGCTGTGCCTCCACAAAATACTAACACTCCATAGCTGATGCAGAGGTCCATGAGGTAGGTGTAGCGAACTGTGTCAATGGTGGGAACAATGATCTCCTGCACTTTGGTGTTTTTATCCCCCAAGTTGACATTCTTGATGCCGTCGTTCCAGGGAACCCAGCGGCCTTTTCCTTTAAACTGTGGCAGAGAATAGAACCTCAAAAATGTGTGAAAACAAACCTAAACACCTCTAAACGATGTGTTCAGTTAATACCTCATAGAAATAGTCATACACCAGGCCTTTATCATCCATCGGGCACTCCCATTTCCCCACAGTGGCAGGGATGGGATGTTCTTCTGCCTTCCCGGATACAGTCGTCCTAAAGAATTCACTGAACCTTTCTCTGCTGTCTGCATCACAACTGCCCCCCACAGACCAGACCAGGGAGAATGCAAAACCCGCCTGTAATTACAAAAAGGGGATGTATATAAAATAAATGAAATACTTGAGTGTAAACTCTATAAATCATGGCAAATGTCTCAAAGCTAAGTTAGTGCAAAATAGGTTTTAATGAAAGAAGAAGATTTAGTCCTTTTACCATGACCCAGGTGCGAATATTTTTGCCCCCTGGAGATTTCTGCACAGGTTCAGTTAGCAGCATCTCAAACAGTCGACACAGGGACATCACTGTGTTACTGTTGCTAGTGGAAACAACTTCCTGTACACAAAAAGCAATTCAGCGTGTCAAAATCCACCGATATTGTGTTTGGGTTATTCTGGGGGCCTGGGTCACTTACTCTGCAGTGCTTTCGCAGCATCCTGAGAGCAGGCGGCAGGAGCCAGTGGAAGAGCTCCAGCAGCAGAGATCGGCTCTCTGGGCTCTGCAGGGCTTCAGGGAGGGTGTTAATCCAAGAGATTACTAAAGGCTCCCAGCCTAACTGAGACGGCTCCATGTAAATCATGCCACATCGGCTGACTGTGGCAGGCTGCAGTGAGAGTAAACAAAACGTAATATTTAAAAAACATATTTATCATATACAAAACATGGTATTACGTTGCTTACCAATGGAAAACCAAAAGTAGCCTAACTTATTGAACTCACAGAGGCTTGTGATAGATCCATGGCTTCAAAAATCAGACTCATCTGACTAGACATCTGGATGATCTCACCACTCATCAGGCACAACTGTGGAGGAAAAGTCAAACAACAAACAGTTTTAACTCAAGTAAACGCATTATACATGTAACAGCAGAGGTTTCTACCAATCCACTATGTACCTTCTTGTTGTCATCCAGCACAGTATTCATGCTCTCGATCCACAGTGTGTCTATGGGGCCATCAAACACCACCCATTTGCGATCTGGTGTGTCAGCTGATGCAAACTCACGAAATGTGTTCGCCACTATCCCATCTGTCCACTAAAATAGAAAAAGAGTGAAATGGCGTCCTGTTATCTTCCATTCTACAACTGGGATTTACATAAACGACACTCCCATTTATCTGTGATGCTGAATAAAGAACGGGATCTGAGGTATAAAGGTCTACCTCATGAGAAACCAGGTCAAACTGCCCAAAGAGCTGTCCCATGGTGATGGACTTTGGGTTCAATGTCCGGAAGATGACCTTCTCTTCCTCTCCATACCCTCTCTCATTCATGAGCGTCAGCGTGTCAACGAGAACATGCAGCACTTTGGTCTTTCCAGCGAATGGTTCTCCTACCAGCATAAACCTGATAAAGACAGTGTGCTTTAAAAGGGTATCATACTTCATACTTCAAACATATCAAACAGGATTCCTTACACAGAGACACTTTCATTAAAATATAACATACCCATGTCTGACAATCATCATTTCATAAGTCTGGATCATCTTCCCTAAGAAAACTTGCGTGGGCTGCACATTGTGATTTTTACAGCACTCAGCGGCAGCTTCCAGAAACAGCTGCAAAGGATATGAAAAAAAACACAGAAGTTAACAATTATAAAAAGCATATATCACAGCCACTGTTCGATAGAGAAAAAACAAAAACATATATCACCTGATAGTCGGCCTCAGGGAGAGAGATGCCTGGGAACAAATCACTGGTGATTCCATTGAACAGAGGAATATCATGGGAAAGAAACTTGGGCTCATTGACGTCTTTTATGGACCTGAGGAGCTGGATATTTCATTTTGAAAAAAGAGACAGGGTCAAAAACTTTTCTCCAGGTAGGAAAAACACTAATATGATTAATTTTATGGTCCAATTTCAGCACAAATACCAGTATGTCCTCATTCTCCTCAGGATACTTGAGCTTGAGATTCCCCGCAGCCACAAGCACAGCTTTGACAGCCCTCATGCCGTAATCATAGTGGAATTGGGAGGACAGCTGCTCTGAGCAGAGCCTGTAGGTCATCACAATCTTTACAGACAGTGGTTTGGCATTAAGGAAGCCATAGGAATAAAGAGAGATCTCTGCAATCAGTGCATAGTTTGGGACCATCATGGCCACTGTTCGGAACAACACCTACAAAGAGAAACAAAAGAAACTTATGGTGATGTTTTTCTGCCACTGTTTGTCACTCAAAAACTTCTTGCTAATATTCTGAGTGGGTGTTAAAGCGTCGTCATTGCATCACTGTGAATAATTCAAAGCTGGCAACCAGTTGGAATGATTCAAAGCACTGGGATCAAATAAAGTGATTAACTTCATCAATAATGCAGGAGACAGAAGAGCCAATGCTGACTGACAGTGCAGACCCACAGTGATTGATGTAACGTAATGAAACTGACGGAGACCTTGAGATTGTCTGGGAGTTCTGAGCGTCCTGCATAACCAGGGTTCATTGTGATGGACACAAAGCAGTTTGGGTTGAGTTTGAGCATCGTCCCTTCAAAGTCAAAATACTCCAGTTTCAGCTCGATCGCCCTCTGGATACACAGAACCTGCTGAGCCACTACGGACAGCACCTCCAGCTCAATTCGGTTAAACTCGTCAAAGCAAGCCCATGCGCCGGATGACGCCAGACCTTTAAAAAACTGAGATAATGCAACAAAACGCATTAGAAAGGATGATATGCGATCACAGCCATGACACCACAATAAATAAATGTGAAAATTTCAAGTTACTTTGCCCATGGCGAGGTAATCCAGTCCATCAGAACAGTTGAAGACCACACACTGTACAGCTAGAGCTTTGGCAAGATCTTTGGTGGTCTCTGTCTTTCCTGTTCCAGCTGGACCCTCAGGCGCTCCACCCAAATTCAAGTAGAAAGCCCCAATCTGAGAAATAAGGAGTTTGATGTTTAAATACTACAACACAATGTAAGCGTGTCTGTGCATTGGCTGTTTATCAGACTTTACCAGGGTTCTGTAGCATCTGTCAGTCAGCGGGGTGATGACCAGACGTGGAGAGTTCCCCAGGTACTCATAGGCGTACTTCACGTCACAGTTGATTATGCGAACGCGGACATTGTCGTTGTTCCAGTAGTAGCGAAGTTGAGCAAGCCATTGGAAATCTGTTTCACTTGACACACCTGTTTCAAAAAAAGGCAATAATTGTGTTATCTTTTTAAAAACATCGATAACTTTTCAAAGTTAAAAATAAATGTTATTGCTGTTTATTCAACATTCTCTGCTACCTTTCTCAATGAGCTCCATGACCACATCCCTGGCATGGACATCGATTGTGACCAGGGCTCCTAAAGTGATCCTTGTTTGTTTGGGTAGTTTTCCTCTCACGAGCTCTACAATATCATTCAGCTGACTCTGCAGCTGTTGATAGTAGTTCTTTAATCCCTACAAAAAGAAAGCAAAAAGGTGTTTTACACTGTTTTTGCTATCGTGTCTTCAAAAATCGCTAAATTGGTGACTGTAACACTATTTACCACCTGTATTTAACTCAAAGTCATTTATAAATATTTTTAGCTATCCTAACAACACTGACTCTTCATATTTAGAACAAATGTAATCAAATCTTACGTCAGTCCCTGATCTAATTGCCTCATGAACCTCCAGGGTCCAGAAGATCTGGGAGGTGCAGAGCACCACCTGTCCAGGCCACTCCTTCACCCACTGACTCCGAGGGATCTCTGCATAGGCCTGTAAAAATGACCTCAATCATCATCACAGTTCCTCAACATGATGGTGTCAGAATTTGCACACAACAATATTTTGGATGAGAGAAACAGTTATCCTACCAATCTGGACCGAGCCACTACATCTCTGACGCTCCGGATCATCACATCCTCCACCTGCACCAGCCACTTCTCCACTGCTCCTTTGGCTTCAGACGTGGAAATATTCTGAATCAGCTGCACACGCTCTCCTTCACTACTGTACATGGCCTGTGCAAAACCAGAATGCATTTAACTAAAGCTCATCAACCATGGTGCGATTTAACTATAACATCAACATGTGTGATTGTCTTGCCTGAATATCAAGGTTAGGTAGGAAGTCCAGTTTAGAGATGCCCTCAAAGCATTTCTTCAGATGAGGCTGCACCCGTAGGGGGTCCTTCGTCTCAGACAAGATTTCAAGCATTTCATCATTGGACAAGAAGAAGAACCTGTGGAGACATTTGTTGTCATCATCAACGCATGTTTGACCAGCAAATAACTAAAGAAGAAACTTTTCTATATCGATTTCGGTTACCTTGGAAAAAAGAGACGCTTCTTCTCCAGATAAGCATTCAATCCTTTCATGATGCTTTCCAGGAGGTTGTTGGAGTCTTGCAGTTTTGCAAGCAAACCAGGCGGTGAGGTTGCCGGCAGAATCTAGGATCACAAATCTGTTGTTAAGAGAACAGTAAATCTTAAAGTTTAAACTATATTTAAAAAAAAAAATCAAGTTCACCTTTGGGTCCTTTACACAGTGCCTCATAACCTCTTTCCAGTTTTTATCAACGGTTTGGAAAAGTCGTCCTTCTTCAGGAATCTGCTGCATAATGTCCTGGGAGGAGAAGATGGGCTCCAGATAAAGCCACTGGGCCTGCACCCTCAACCATTCATCAATGGTTTCCTGGATACGCAGAAGGCGCTCCTCCCAGTGCTATGGTGACAGAACAGTTAAAAGTCTTCAGGAGATGATATAGGCAGAGTCAGACCTAATCCATCTCTGTGAACTGTCAATATCAAGTATGTGGATAAATTCTCTTGAATTTGACGTTTACCTTAATTTCTTTTTCGAATGGTTTGATGAATGGTGAGCCCCTCATGGTCTGAGTCTTCACAATCTGATCATCCAGCATTGTCTGGATCTCATCCAAAGCTGTCAGGATGGACACTCCAGTCTCCCTGTAAGGTTGATGGTGGAAAGAAATGCCGTCCCAAATATGCACCATGGTTTTCATGGCCTTTTCCAGGGAAAATTCCTGTTGAGACACACAGAGGGGTGATTTGCATTAAGCACTCTGATTGCAGATTTTAACAAACTCCGAGGACAAGGTTTCAAGGAGTTCTTACTTTACTAGCAGCAGCACTGATAGACTCAAACTCTTCCAGGTATGGAGTCAGGTTTTGTTTGAGAACTTTACGTAGCGTGGTACCGGAGTCAGGGGTGAGGTCATACCCAACAATATCTGACATCTGGTCCCAATGGCGAGATCGGATCCCCGGATTACACAAAGTCGACACTAAAGGGATGTAGTTCTGTTGACACAAACACAATCCAGAGAGAGAGAGAGAGAGAGAGAGAGAGAGAGATAACCACTAATAAACAAATAAGTCTTCCTGACATTATCTCATTTAAAATAACAGAAACATACACCACCTTGAAGTCTTTAATCTGCTCCAGAACAGTGGAGCACAAAAGGATTGTGGGGTTTTCCCGCTTCCTGGGACTATCCACACCAGCCTGACGTTTAGTCGGCCCTGACATCTTCTCCATCTCTTGCTCTGCTTTATTCTGTTTCTGCTGAAAAAACTTCAGTGTCTTAAAGACCTCCCGAAAGAACTCATCCACCTTCCCTTCCATGCTTTCGCCATCCAGGTCCTTGAAGGAACCATCCATCCATCTACTCACAGAAAAAAAACAAAAGGTTAACTTGCTATGTTTTCATCACATCATAATACGTGGCAGACGAATATACGACCTGCTCTCTGAGCGCTGCCACTTCAGGACAAGTCCAAAGAGCTTATGATATGGCTCAATGCGGTCTTTGAAGACCTCAACTTCTGGGTAAGATGTTTGCTCCCATTTGTAAAAGTCCTCTTCTTTGTGAATGAAGGCAATGGTCTCTTCAGCATCCTGGAGAAGCTTCTGGACTGTTCTGACATCTGTTATATACTGCTCAAAAGAAATAAATATTGAATTATTTATCCATTTGATTTCATTATTTTGCTGACAACCATAATACAATTGTGCTTTGTGGTGATTTTGTCAGTATTTTCCAAAGCTAACTACTGAGATGTTATATCAAGGAATATCCAACCTGGAGATTTTTGGTGAGCAGGCTTTGTTACATAAGTGGAGAACAAAGGTCACTGTTTTGTAACTGTTTCAGGTCTTACGCAAATCAGGCCAGCTGTGATAGCTTTTTCCTTTACAATTATGGGAAGTATTTATTTTTTCATCTAATAATTAACAAGAAAGCATTTGCATATGTTCTCCAAAATGTCAGAACTACTTCAACGGTATCTGAAAGTCCCGGTAACTCTACCTGCTGCATCATGTCCAGCTCAGAGCAGCATGGGAACTCCTCTATCCTGCGTCCCAACTTTTCCAGCTGTATCATTAAATGTTCTCTTTTGGCAATCACCTCCTGTTCCCCTTTCTGCATGGCTTTTTGCAACACCTAGAAAAATTGACCAAACCATCCAGACAGAGTTGGGTTATCAGTGTAAAAAAAAAAAAAAACAACAGCAATGATAAAATGTTGCCTTCAGAGACAGAGGTGTTACCTCATCACTGAGCTCAAAGGCATGAAGGATTTTCCGCGGCCAGAGAAAGACGGAGGAATTAAGCTCATGATCCTTTGCATCAATGACGTGGACATCCAGGAGGTAGATGAGTCTGTGGTAGCTCTCCTGTTGAGGCATGCGGCGAGAAATTATTGTAGAACTGATGCAAGATTAAGCATATCAAAACACACTGGTGCTTGATGCAAGAGGAAGTGATAATTTTACCTTAATTTTCTCATTAAGCTCTTTAATACCCTTTGTCTTAATGACATTTATGTAATCAATGAGCTGAGTCATGGCCTCTGTAGTCTCTGGTATTTTCACAGCATTCTCTCTGATAGTTTCAAATTCAGAGCAAATCCTGTGATCAGACATAAAATAAAACTGTGAGTAAAGTCTGAGAATGCTGAAAAAAGGAGGTAGACTTTCAGAGCGATGTTACTCACTGAAGATTTTGCTCACGGTGATTGGTAATGAGTTTCTTCAGAAGTATTTCGGCGTAGCTTTTGGCTTTGTCGGCCAGGCCTTGCTTCAGCTCTTCACAGTCCAGATGGACCATTGTGAAACGCGTTTTGGCAGGGAGGCTGACGATCTCCTTTGACAGTGCACGAAACTCCTCCACCAGCTTTAAAAAGAAGCAACATTACACTCTGACAGTCACCAAAAAAAAAAAAAAAACAGAGTAGTTTCATAACATATGCAGCCAAAATTAAACCTCCTTTTTCTTCTTACTTCTGTGTACTCTTCAAAAGAGTGCTCCTCTTTCATGAACTTCTCTACCCTGGCCTTTGCGGTACCATTGACGAGCCAATCATACTTCTCAACTGCAAAGTAAAACAGGAAAAATCAGCATGAAAGTCAGCCAAAGTCACATAAAAAGTGATTTGATTCTGAATTAATCACCATATTCCTTGAAATGTTTATCAGGTCCTTCTAGATTCGTGCATAGAGCTGTCTTGACAGTGTCCTTAGCCCATGTGAGAATATGATCAGCAACTTTTGCATCCACAAAAATGGATATGCCTTGTGTCAGCCATGACTGGACAGTCTGTACTTTCTGTTGGTCACAAACAAAGGTTTTAAAATAGTTCACACTAATAAAAAAAAAGCGACACTTTCCTTTAAATGACAGTCACATCTTTTAACCTTACCTGCAGTGTCTGTGTGATGGCAGGAAGCATCTCAAAAACAGCAGCTTTCAAATCTTCTAAGGTGGGATAGATTTCCATCTTTTCATCATCAAATGTCAAAGCCATGCGAAAGACGGGTACGCGGTGACCATTGCTTGGATTAAACAGGCCGACAAATTCCTCCACATTCCTATGAAGCATGGATTTTAACTGGGAATTCACAGGGGACAAAAGTTTACCATTTGAATTTACTGGTTCATATTCCTGGCAGTTTAGTTGCACTGTATATAAACATAAACTTGACTCTACTCAAGGAAAAGTCTTACCTGATTTGAAATGAGGGTTGATGTACATCTGGAAAAGGAGTCCAGCTTCTCCTCTTTAACTCTCGCCAGGATTTCCTTACTTGTCAACAAACTGATTACTTTAGGAAACCAAGTATTCATGATGCGGTCTTCTGTCCTTTTACACTCCACAGCCACTTTGTTTTGAAGGCTCTTACAGTCTACAGGTCCCGAAGCTCTGAACCAACAGAAGCAAACATTAAAATCATCTTCGATCATTATGTGAAACACTATAGTTGTGTAGTGTCTCTTCTTACTGAGACTTAGAATAGTCAACCAGGACCAGAGAAGAAAACGTCGTGTTGCCGATGTCAAGGATAGTTTGCATCACCGGATGAAGAATATGCAGATTTTTTTGCATCAGCTTGCGGCTTCTGATAAAGCTGTCATGCCATGGCTGGGGCAAATCAAGTATCCTGCAAAACAACAGAAAGGTAGTTCAATAAAAGGTATCTGCAATTTGTTTATTTTTTATCAACCAATTTTTAATAGAAGTCGCTCACTTTGTTTGGATGGCTGTTTGTTTTTCAGAATCTGGTCCTTCTTTCAGTGGATTCTTCAGCACTGTGTCAACTAAAGGGGATGAGAGTAATATAAGACATGGTTCACCTGTGCTCTACATACACTCTGTAAGTCCACATACATACATTCAGAGAGCAGGCAATACCTGTGTGGCTGACAATAACGCTGTGGAAATTGTCACTGACTTCTTTGCAGAGTTCTTGTAGTAGTTTTCTCATCTCAGGGTCCTCTCTAAGTTTAGGAGGAACTCTGGCAACTATGGAGTCCAGCCATTGTTGGTTGATTGGAGCCAGTGGGCGACTCTCCACACAGCGCTTCAGGAACATGTAATTCATCTGCATATGGAATGTAAGTTTATCAAGATTGGCATGGCATAGATTTAGGGGAGACCGGGGCTTGTTGTCACGTGGGTAAGTTGTCACATTGCAATTATCTTTGCCACCAGAGGACGCGACTAAAAAGTGAAATACTAGTTTTCTTCCTTTACATGGTCAGGGGTCATGTCCTGTCTGACAAGAGAAGAGCATGTTGTGAGCTGAGATGAGCATCAATTAACCATTTTGCACAACCCAAAGTAAAAATAAATAAATAAATAACTTGATATATTTTAAAATAAGCTTCTTCCAGATAAAAATCCTAGCTGTGATACAGGATAGAGGAGAGATTAAGGCATTCTGTCATACCTCAGTCATTGTTCACTTTTAAGCTAACTTTAAGCTAAAGCTAGAATTAGCAAACATGCTAGTTTGGGGTAACATGTCTCAGACATTTTAGGGTTAGTTGTCACCAAAGACTGTATATACTATGGACAACTTAGTTTCGCCACCAGCCAGTATACGGATTTGAACCCAAAAAGCTCTCGGTATTTCGGCGATCTTTCTTAATTTCCTGAAACCAGCATTGCGCAGTAGCGTTGTGCGCATTCTGTACTGACTCAAGATATGAAAATGACATCAATACGAAATATATATCTGAGACTTTGGTCTTTCATCTGGTACACATTTTGTTTATATATGATGTATTAATTATGAGAAATGTATAAGAGTGTAAAAAGTGTGACAACAAGCCCCGGTCTCCCCTACATAGTGTTTCATTTCTTGAGAGGTATGACTTGATAAAAAAGTGAACTCACCCTTCGCTTACGCTCTTCACTGAGCATCTGCAAAGCAAACAAGGCAAAACATAGCTGTATTTACAAGCAGATTTGTATTTATAATGTGTATAAAGGTAGATAGATAATTCCCATACAGAAGCTGGCAACTGTGGCTCTGGTGACTGGCTTTGCACTGCTCCCCTCTCTTTACTCTGTCTGTAGGCTTCCATCGCTCTTGAAACCCTGTAAGGATTCATTGATAAGACTCATCACATTGCATGAACCCTTGTGGTCTACATAATCATTCAATTAATTAGATCCTGGAATCATCCTCTAGCATTTTTGTCTATCACATGACTACTGGCAAAGCAGCTGTCATGGCTGAGTCAAAAACATACAGTATCTTCTGGAGTTGCTCTTGTTGCACATCACTCCGTCTGTGCAGCAGTAGCTTCCTCTGTGCACGTATACTCTGCTCGATCTTTTCCTTTGCTGCAGTGGCCTGTGCGACATCATCCTGCTGCTGCTGCTGCTTGGTGATTTCAATTGGGGGCAAGACAAGAAACTTCGACATGCCCTTCACAACTCCGGGAGAGGTGGCCATAATCGGCGACGAGCCACTGAAAGAACCAGACGCAAAAATAACCACTTCATACTTTACCACCAAGCATTTAACGTCAAACAAGCAAAGACTTTGGCACTAAAGTCAAATGTTTAAACATAACCCTAACTGCAATGGTTACCACCGGGTCTAATTACCCTTTCCGTCGTTCAATATCCTTCCAGTGGGATAAATATGTTGTTGTAAATCCAGAAAACTTGCCGTCAAACCTCCGAGGCAAAAGTTGGCGTCGTAACCATGGAAACAGTAAACGATTCGTCTGTGAAGAGGCGGGGCTCATATACTTGTTGCCACTTCAAATATCTTTGGTTTACTGTCTGAAACAAAACTTTTGAAGAATGCAATAGAAAAAGATAAGCAAGAGGAAACATAAACTATAACCGTGTTATGTTATCTAGTAAGGTTAATTGGTCACTGGCAACAACAAAAAAAGTTTTATTTGCAGCATTATTTTTGTAAACAAATATATCAGAAATACTTGATTTATCCCAAGGCGAGAAATTTAGGCATTAAAGTTGATTAAAAAAACAGGCACAAATCTGTAGGCCTAAACCATAGCCAGAGCCGACCCAAGACATACGAGAACAAAGTGCCTGCTTGTGGCCCCATAGTTATAAACACTTATAAATGATCATAATGCTTTATAGTAATAACCATAACACATTATAAAGCATTTTATCATGACTAACAAAGTCAGGCATTATAATGTGTTATGCCTATTGTTATAAAGCCTTGTGATAATTAATGAGTGTTTATAATTATAGTTTTACAAGTTTATAAGCAAATTATAACACATAAATATATGTGTAATGCATTATCTATGTGGGTATTGTCAGTGAGTTGTAAACAGTTATAACACATTAACATACCTGACCTTGCTACAATCACTATGATCATTTATGAGTGTTTGTAACTAAAGTTATACAGAGCTATAACGTGATTATAACGCATTATACATATATTTATAATGCGTCAAAGAGATAGGCGTCAACTTATGTATTACCAAAGTTTGTTTTATTTGTAGCTTGACTTTTCAACATGTAGACATTCTGATATCCACTTTCAACGGTCATCGGATAAACATGAATTACATGTGCTATGGTTCTGAGAACCTCTAGGGGGCAGCAGCGTGTTCGGTCGTGTTTTTCGTCTAACAGGAAATAGAAGAGGGACAGGCTTTCTTCCGCTAGCTAGGTAGCTACTGCTGGAAAGTAGCGACAATTTTTTCAGGTAATGTGAATTAAGCAGTCTTTCTTTTTACCCTGCACTTAAACTGCATATTGAGATTGTAGGGAGTCGTGTACATTTGCGCAGGTTTCTGGTGTGTTTTTGTCGATATTTCTGAAACGAAAGGGGGAAGTTGTCTTTGTTTTGATGTGTGTTGTCGAAAAGCAGGCTTCAATGTTGTTCTTCATCAAGGCCCGGACTGTTTGGATGGAGGATTTCCGGCGCTGTGCAGCTGTCAAAACGAACGCGATTTATAAATTAATCCTTATTGTTTGTATGAAAATTCAAAGCATGTCATCATACCATCTTACAGTGTTTAATGTCTTTATTTCTTAAGGATATATTCATGATGAGTTATGCTGAGAAGCCGGAGGATATAACAAGGGAGGAGTGGATGGATAAACTCAACAATGTCCACATTCAGAGAGCGGATATGAACAGGCTCATCATGAACTACCTTGTGACAGGTGAGGATCCTGCTCATAAACGCTATCTGCATTTAATGTGCAAGATTTGAACTCAGTTTCTGTCCAACAGAGGGCTTCAAGGAGGCAGCAGAGAAGTTCAGGATGGAGTCTGGGATCGAGCCCAGTGTGGACCTGGATTCTCTGGACGAAAGAATCAAGATCAGAGAGATGATTCTAAAGGGGCAGATCCAAGATGCTATTGCACTGATTAACAGTCTGCACCCAGAGCTGCTGGATACAAACCGTTACCTCTACTTCCACCTACAGGTAAGAAAACAGAGCATTAGACCTCCATGACTAGAGAAAAACATGCTGTGTGCTCTGTGCAAGCTAAAGTTAGAGTTAGCCATCTGCTATTAGCCTTGCTGCACTGTTAACCGTGCCAGTAATGGTAGAATAAATGAAAGTACACATAACATGATCAAGCTACTTCGATTACTGAGGCAGCTTCACCGATCGGCGGGGGTGGGATTAATCTGTAATCAGATTTTTTTCCACTTATAATTGGTATAGGCGTCGGGCCCTAGTTTGTACAGCCGTACACAACGTGTATCTCATTTTGCTTTGACTTTAGTATAATTTTTAATTTTTATTTATTTTTTGCTGTCTGACAAATTCTGTTCTTTTCAATATCTCATACACTCCACGACTGTTTCTCTTTGCAGCAGCAGCATCTGATTGAGCTGATCCGCTTAAGGGAGACGGAAGCAGCCCTTGAATTTGCTCAGTCCCAGTTAGCAGAGCAGGGAGAGGAGAGCCGAGAATGTCTGACTGAGATGGAGAGGACACTGGCCCTGCTGGCATTCGACAACCCTGAGGAGTCACCTTTTGGAGATCTGCTCAATATGATGCAGAGACAAAAGGTGAGGTCAATGGTTGTACTTTTTACAAAGCAGTTGATGATCACATGCCAAACAATGAAAGCTGCTCTGTTTTTCTTTGCGCCCTAAGGCCACTGTTTGGTCCAAAACCCTGACATTTGCCGAGCATTTTGATATTTCTTAAATAAATTACCCTACTGAAAATCTCCACAAATAAAATCTCCTTCTTGATATTGACAGTGTACAAAGCATTTAACATGTCTTTCTGTTTGCCTTCCAGGTGTGGAGCGAGGTGAATCAGTGTGTGCTAGACTATGAAAACAGAGAGTCGACTCCCAAGCTGGCCAAGCTCCTGAAGCTGCTGCTGTGGGCCCAAAATGAACTCGACCAAAAGAAAGTGAAGTACCCCAAAATGACAGACCTCAGCAAGGGAACAATCGAAGACCCCAAATAAAGATCACATTGGAAACATGCCACATCATCACAAAACGGACACATTTCCTTTATCTATTTATACCCCAACAAACAGACTTACAGAGAGTTCAACCTTTTCTTTTTGTAAGGGTTGCTTTTTGATACTTACATAATGTAGAATGTGAAGACTGGATTGATGGCATTTTAAGATGACTTCTCACACTAAAGTAACATGCAGACCATTATTTTACTCTGTATTATTATTTACATATTTGTTTATGTAAAATTAGTTCACTAGTTTTTCTGTCTATTGGCAGGGAAAGTTGCTTGCATATGAGGATGTGAATTAAGCCTAAATTAGGCTGTCACTTTTGATGTGACCACTAAGAACAGGCATACTTTGATGTTTCAGGAAAATTGTTGGCTCAGTGTGCACTGCCACAAGTAAACACAAACCGTTCTGTACAAAGAAACATGAATATATTTCAGCTCGTAGTTCATTTAGCTTTATGTGGTGGCAATAGCCGAAGCGAGATACTTGGGATGTTTAAAACTACTGTGACATTAAAAGTAAAATTCTGCTTTAGAGTCATAACGCATAATTGCTTGAGACATTATAGAAAACATGCTGAAATAGAGGAGAGCAAAAAAATAAAGATTTTTTTTTAAATGGAGCTATACATTGCAGTAGCAGATGACAAGTTGAACAAAACAAGATTCATAGACTGATAATAATCGTTGGAGCGTACTGTGACAGTGCAAGCATAGAGGCAGCCTCAAATTCACACTGTTATATCACTGATAATACAAGATGTGAATGAATACATTACGTCTATGTCAGCAGACATGGAGAGACTTTTACAGATGGATTATTTACATGTATGAAACAAGTAGCTCTTTTTGCATATTTGATGTGCTTTTTTTGCTGGGATGTTATTTTGCAATAAAAGTGAATTTTTAAACCGGGCAAATCTGATCTAAAGCTTGGTGTGTTTTTAACTCGCCAAAGAAGAGAAGAACATTATTTAAAGTATAGTGTTTTCTTACAGTTTGGACGTCTTTTAGTATTGACAATTTCTTTTAACTACAATTCAATGAAGGCTAGTTTTTGTGGGCTGTTCCTTGTCTTCATTAGTCTATCCAAAGTCATCCAAGGAAGGAAAACCAGGATCTCCTGTTAGCCTCTGGAGCTGGATACTGTAGTTTACCTTACAGGGTTCCTATGCAAGTATGGAACGTATGGAAAAGTATGGAAATAAATTTGATCATTTCCAGGTCTTAAAAAGTATGAAAAATGAAAAATAATATGGAAAAATATTTTTGTTTCCAGACTATTACCACAGTTCTGAAATACTGTTTTCTAAAACATAAAAGTAGGTTTTTCCAAAAACAATTCTAAAAAGTAGGGTATGCAGGGATGCACAACATCTTGAAATATATGCAGATACACTAGTTAGAAACAAACTATGATTGCCTTGATGTAGTGATCTGAAATATGAAAAATGGCTCATCTTACCCCACTCTACCCTACTTTAAAATGTATACTCTTTTTGAATAGAAAGATATAACCCTCTAGTAAAGATAGGATATTACACTTAAATATGCAAAGTAGGCTATTAAAAATAACATTCTTTAATAATTTATCAGTCACACAGTAGAATACAAAGTTACTTTGACTTCAGTCGCTGGTGTAGGATAAATATAAGGTGTACAGGTGTAAAAATTGTGGTGTCACTTTAACTTGAGTTAAGGATGTGAGCGCATTTTCCGCCATCACGCTGAGCGCATCTAAAAGTTGAGCAGACTGCAGGGTTTTATGTAACCATGTCTGAAAACTCTCAAGACCAGAGGGGCAGATAGATAGACTATCAACCTTCCAGGCTTGGACTGCGCAGATCTGTTTACCACAGCTGCAGCTTCACCTCCTCCTCCTCCTCCTCAGCAGCACAGGCTTCATCACTTCTTCTTCTTTATCCGGCGTGTACAGGTCAGGAGGAGACGACATCCTGGAGCTCCAGCGCTACTCGTGGAGATGCTTTTTTCTCAATAATGCACAGTCATGATGGGAGAGGGGCCGGAGCCAGAGGCGTCTCCCAGGCGCTTTGTGAATGATACTGTTATGGATAAATCGGCTGACTAGACAAGTGAAGAGCTGGCTTTGGTAGACAGAAATCACTTCCTGATTAACCCTACCGATCAGAAGAAGAACTGCGCGGCTGGCCAGCTGAAGGAGGAGGAGGAGGGAGAGAAAAAATTGACACGTGGATTACTCCTCCTCGGGCATCAGGAAAAACAAGCCTCCCTCCTCCAGCCTATCTTTGTGAGCACATCAGCTCTGTCCCCGCGAGTCCTGTCTTACAGGTTATGGGATTCATTTGAGAAAAAGCGTGACGTGTCCTCGTGGTTTCTTGCTTTCTTTTCTTTCTTTCTCAGAGGGTTTGCTTTTTTCTCTCTGATCGTTTACTTTCTGACTGATCGACCGGAAAGAGCCGAAGCGGTTGAGAGGGGGGCTGCTGTTTCCTCGCGTTGAATGGCAGTAATTCAAAAATATGGCAAGAACTATAGTCCAGATTTGGTCTGTCACAAGGAAAACCACCTGCCTGACAAGATCGGAGCCCCTGGATCTCACAAGAAGTGGACTGAACAGAACACCAGCTGGTCCAGGTAACAGATTAGTTGATCCATTAGAGCTCTTATCGTTTTTTCGTGTTTACTCATATCATAGCAACTCAAATAGCTCACTTATCTAACCAGTTTTCCCCCCATTAGAAACAGGAAATGTTTCACTTCAGTCAACAATGTTACTTTTTGCGACTTTTCTTGCACGAGGAAACAGGCGAGGTAAATAGTTCTGGTAGTCAAATGACACGTATCACCCATGGCCTTTCAGTGGGTATGCCACATAGTATATCAGGAAGTTGGTGGAGAAATAAGTGGGGTATCATTGTTTTTTCACTTATTTGAAACCAAAGAGTAAATGACATCTGATTTAATGTCATAAAGTAAGAGTAAAAATAACATAGAAGCTATTTTAGGCCATGTTTGATGTAGTTAAAAGTCCACCCATCAGTTAGATCAGTGGTTCTCAAGTCCAGTCCTTGAGGTCCACTGTCCTGCATGTTTTTGATGTTTCCCCACTCCAACACACCTGATTCAAATGATCAGCTCGTTATTAAGCCATTACAGAGCTTGATAACGAGCTTATCATTTGAATCAGGTGTGTTAGATCTAAAAGAACTATCATGCTTTGTTGTTGGAGAGCAACATCTGATAACTTATCAGTTAGTTTTGGCTTCACACAATTCAATAACAAGCTTTCTTTCAAAAACTTTTACCTTAATAACTGAAGATTAAAACATGATAAAAACACATTATCCGCACATTAGCGAGAAAGAAAATTTGGAAGAACGTCTGAGTCAATCATATTTGTCAACCAGAGATGGTGTAACCCCTCACACATGACGGTCAAGGAGAAGTTGTGTTGTCCATATATTGAACTTTTGGCAACATCTTAATGGACCAAAGGGCCAATAGTGGTGGACGGCTTCAGTCTCTTCGCTGCAGGACAGAAGGATTCAGAAGATCTTTTGTACCAACAGCCATCAGACTTTACAACTCTTCTGTAAATAGTAGATGACTTTTAGAGACATGAAAAATGAGATGACAGGCAATTGAATGTCTCTTCGAGGATTAATAAAGTTCTGCTTATTCTTCAGCACGTCTAAATGCATGTCAATAGCTTCTTAATGAGTTTTAAGCTGGTTAGCAAACAGCGTAAAATTAAAATTGATGTTTGTTTTGTACAGGTTAGCAGAGGTAATTAAAATGGGTACAAATAAACAGTGCCTTCACAGGAGCATTACACTTAAAACTTCTATTTATTTAACCTCTAAACTGGGAAAAAAAGTGAGGGCATCTAATAGTTACTGTAAGGACCTTTAAAAAAAAAAAAAAGACTTACACTGTACCGCCTATCATGCAATTCAATGTAATTTTGCACTTAGGCACTCGTCTCTAACAAGCTGTACTGTGGCAAATGGCACTTAAGACACCTTTAGCACATGACACTCCAATTAGCACTTTAGCTCTTTACAATTCTCTTTTAATGTTTTTGGTCCCCTTACTATTGGTCACTTAGTTTTTGGTCTGTGTACAAGTGCATTAAGTGCATTGTTTTACTGTATTAGTCATGTTGTTTGTACTTTTAACATTATTGCTTTTATGTTTAACATCAACCTGCCACTGGAACTGGGGATTGAAATTCGCCATTTGGCAATAATCCCACATAAAACATGTAAATGTTCATCAATATGTACTGTTCCCATTTTTAAAAATAAATAAATAGAACTAGAAAATAGTTTCAGCATGAGAAACTGTCGCATTTTCTTTTTGCAAGAAGCTTCTTCTTAGTTGCGGCCTGTTATCTCGATCATTTATGTTTAAGTAGTGATGAAACTGTGGTCTGTGCTGCCGAGCAGCTGCTCAGTCCTGTGTTTTATAGTGCAACAAAAAAGACAGCAGCAGTTCCCTACCCTAGTTACATAAGACATCCCCTGTCAGGTGGCTTTAAGTCCAAAGTTTCTCCCTAAATGCTGCCTCCATTCAGCTGCACTCAATCCACTCTCCCTCTCCTCTGTACAGGCCAGTGGCGAGGGTATGGACGGTGGTGCTGCTGCTCGGGACCTGCCTCCTCTATTGCGCCCGTGTGGCCATGCCTATCTGCGCAGTCAGCATGGCAGAGCAGTTCAAGTGGAGCAAGAGGGAGTCCGGGATGGTGCTGGGGAGCTTCTTCTGGGGATACTGCTTCACTCAAGTGTTCGGAGGCTACGTCAGTGACAGGTGAAGAAGGCCTTTTGAAGTGAAACATTAGCCATGTTGAAAGGTGATTCAAGGTGAGGGATGTTTGAGTCTTTTGTGTTCACACTGATGGCAGCTATGATAGGAGTACTGATATTTACTTGGCTCGTGTTCCAGCTCTCTGCTTGTGCGGTGTCATTCTAACACAGATCACTGCAGACAATAATGCGAGCAGCCCTTTTGTGTTTGCTTGGCTTTGACAGATGATGCAGTGTGGAGAGCCTGATGATCCCTCTGTATTTGCATGTTAAGTCTCTCATGCTCTCAGTATCAGAGAGAGGGCGTATTTTAACCGGAATCAAGCTGTACATCATTATATCTGCAGTCAAAGCATGTAGGTTAAATACAATACAAACCTATTGTTTTCTGTGTCCTCAGGGTGGGAGGGGAGAAGGTTCTCTTGCTGTCTGCAGCGGCCTGGGGGTCGATGACGGCCTTCACCCCGATACTGGCCCACTTCTGCTCCCAGCCGATCCTCTCCATGACACTGGCTCGCTTTCTTATGGGCCTCTTACAGGGTAAGATCGACAACTTCTGAAAGAGAGTAAATGGATTTCATTTCTCTTGTCTTTATTTCTCTTGGTAATAACAATCATATTCTATTTTATATATTTAGTCTATTCTATTTCCTTCCTTCATTGTTCTCTTTGTTTCGCCTCTAACTTTCTCTTGTTCGGTGTCCTGGTTTTAGGAGTTCATTACCCCTCCTTGGCGAGTCTGTGCTCTCAGAAGGTGGTGGAGAGTGAAAGAGGCTTCCTCATGAGCACTGTGGGAAGTGGCTCTTATCTGGGGTGAGTGGAGTGTTGCGCAACAAATGAGAGGATAGTGGGAAAAAAGAGTGTTTCTCTGAGAAACAGTCAGGAAGTGCAAAGAGGAGAACGGATCTTTGAAAAATTCCTTCATTAAGTCTCTTGAAGGTGTGGACAAATTCTTGGCATGATAACAGATGCAAGTTTACTAGCTTTCAAAGTTTAGCTCAGGCCATGTATGTGTCAAATCTAGTTTTTCACTATGTTGAAACATCTCGATAAACCGTTGTGTTTATGTCTTGCTGTGTTTTTAGCACTCTGGTGATCGGAGGGGCCGGCTCCCTCATGTTGGACCTGTACGGCTGGGAGAGTGTTTTCTACGTGTCCGGTCTGCTCTCCGTCATGTGGGCCTACTGCATGTGGAAATATCTGCTCAAAGGAGAAGGTGAGGGAGGTTGTTACAGTGCAGACAGTCTATCCACTGTCTCTTATCCTCTAGCTGCTTATTTGTATAATTGAAGTCACTTGTTCACTGACCTGACCTGTGTTTGCCTGTGTTTGCAGGACCTATCATCACACTGGAGTCCCTGGGAAACAGTGGGCCCCAGTCCAAACTGTCCAAGAGACATTGGCTCAGGCTTCTCAAGCAACCTGCTGTATGGTGAGTTAAAGAGAGAGTTAGTGTGAGTGAGTGTGCGTGCAAACCTCAGTGTACATTCTGTTTGTGTTTTGTACTCTCTGTCTAAAGGAGTTGCTGTTTTTTTTGTACTTGTACTCAGAAGAATAATCAAATGAGTTTCATCCAGTTGAAGATAATTATACTGCAGTCTTTTCTCAGTATTTTCAGACTGAAAGTTCTGAAAGTTTTCAAAGATATTCTTCTGCCCTGAAAAAGATAGAAAAAGCGATCTGTGATGAAGATTTCTTTTGTGTTTTTTCTCCTCTCCCTGTCAAGTGCGGTGATCGTGACGCACCTTTGCACAGCTAGCACCTTCTTCACTCTTCTGTCATGGCTGCCGACCTTCTTCAAAGACACGTTTCCAGAGGCTAAGGTAACCAGGACATCCTTTTTGTCCTCTTGATAACATTTTGTGATGCATCCTCTGGAAAGCATTAATGTGTGAAAAAAGGTTGGTCTGGCAGTAGACACAGTGTTTATTATAATTTGACCTGCTAATGGAGCAAGGTGAAAAGTTAAAGCTCCTGTAAGGGGTTTTACACTGGTTATGAAAAGGACTTAAATTAACAGCGATGTCTCTTCATGGCTTGTAAAATGAACAAGGCCACAAAATCAATTCTTTCTTTTTCCAGAGTTTTTTTTTTTTGTGTCGACCATGAATATTTCTACACTGTTTTCTAGTTTTTAGATGATGCATTTCAGTCTCAACCACAATCGTGGACTGATTGACCAACCCCAGTTAAAAACAACAACCAGATACATACCTTACAGGAAGCAGGAAATTTTCCTCTAGATGTCCTCTGCCATCTCTGGTCAACTCTTTCATTGTGTTGTCCCTCAAGGGTTGGGTTTTCAATGTCATTCCCTGGTTTGTGGCCATCCCTTCCTCCCTCTTCAGCGGCTGCCTGTCTGACCACCTCATCAGTCAAGGTAGGGCATCTTAGGATGAAACAGCAGAATTATTTCACTGATGAAACATTTGCCTGTGCTGACACATCTCCATATCCCTGTAGGATATGACACGGCGTCTGTGAGGAAGTTGATGCAGGTAAACCACAGTATTTGCCTGTTTGTTTGAGCAGTATTTATTAAGTATCACTGTGGGTTTGTCACTACTTTGTCTATGCCATGTCATTGTTTCATCTGTACACCTGTTTAGCTTATATAAGAGTTAAATCTATTTGTTTTTGTGTGCATCTGTACCAGTTTTTCTCCATGGGTGTGTCCAGTGTGTTTACACTTCTTCTGTGTGGCACTACCACCTTCCCTTGGGCTGTAGCGTTTGTGTCAGCCACAATGGGCCTCACCACCTTCAGTCACAGGTACTGACACCCAGAATGTCCTCAGATTGGTGTTTTAGATTTAAATGTGTTGTTTCCCATGGTGTAGTGATAGAGATGTGTCTTTTATGTTTCTGTTTTCTCCTTCTTGGTACTTGTGTGGCACTATCCTTTATATTAAAGAGAAATCTATTTGCAAAAAAGTCTGTAATTTGGCTAACAACATTACTTTTGGGCCCACCAAGCTCAACTAAACTTCACCAAGGAAGATGTCACCGCAGCTTAGCTTAAATTTGGACAGAGAATACAGTTGTAGTGTTTGGTGAATAGTTTTTTTTGCAATACTGGAGCTCTGTGGTGCAAGAGGAATTCAAAATGTCCGGTTTTGCAGGAGGGATGAATTAATTGTTGGTTGGAGGCTTCTCGTGGGATTTATCGGTAATTAGACTTACATATATACTTGCATATATCAATACACGGATCTAAGTGTATGTCAGGACAAATTAACACACTTGAATACCAAAAAAGTGATGAGGGAATAGTTGTGGTTGAGGGAACAATTCAATTATAGAGAAGCAGCTAAGAGTGACGCATCTCACTGTGAACATCCAGGACACACAGTTGTCAGACTACATATCTAACATGATTCAAGGGCGTAGTATCCAATCCAAACTGCTTTATTTATAAAGCACATTTTAAAAAAACATTCAAGTTTGCCAAAGTGCTGCCCAGTAAAATTAAAAGAACAAACACTGCAGAAAACATCAAGAGAAAATAAATAAATAAAAAGAAATACCATTTTTTTAAAGAAATAAATAAAAGCAGGTAAAAACTTTAAAGATGAAATAAAATAAATGAAATAAAAACACAAAAGCTTAAAAGAAATGAGTAAAAAAAGGACCATAAGACATAAAAGGACAGAGATCACACAACTATCATGCTGAACTAAAAGCCAAGGAATATAAAATGAGTTTTAAGACATGATTTAACAGTAGAAAGTGTGGGGGGTGTTTTAATCTCGAGTGGCAATTCGTTCCACAATTTGGGAGCCACAGTTTTGAAAGCTTGGTTGCCATGGGTTTTAAGCAGGTTTTCGGGATAATGAGTTGGAGCTGATCAGCAGACTTCAAGGAACATGGGGGGGTATAAACACCTAAGAGGTCAGAGATGTACTGTGGTGCTGATCCGTTTCAAGGTTTAAAAACAAATAATACATTTTTAAAATGAATTCTGAAATGAATGGGAAACCAGTGGAGGGACGCCAGTAGCAGTGCTATATATTTTATGTTAAAAGTTTTTTCATAAATGCAATTCTACCTGTAATTCTCTTCATTATAAACCATAGAAATGTTGATGGAAACAGACAGGAAATAAAAAAAGACAGCCACAGGAGAGATATATTCTTTTCAAACTAGCTTAAATCTATGTGTTTAGTGCCATTTCCTCCCCCAAAAGTCAATTTGGCACCCTTTGAAATGATATTTCTTGTGTTTCCTTTAACAGTGGTGTTTCTGTAAATGTTCAAGATCTGGCTCCTTCCTGTGCCGGAGCTCTTTTTGGTGAGTTCAGAGTTATTTCTAGAATTTAGCCACAAGCTTTTGAAAGATTTTTTTTTTTCCAACTTTCATTAAACACCCCAGCTCTATTCTTACACATCATTTTTTAACGCACGGGTGAAATTTTAATCAGGTTTTAAAATTTCAACATGTGTGTCTGCCTTTCTTTTAACAGGTGTTATGAATACTTGTGGAGCTTTCTCAGGTGAGTAGAAAACGCTTGTGATAAATCTTTCACCAGCTGGATAAGATACTGTTTTTTTTTTTGTTCACGTTAAACATGTATCAAGCGAAATTATTCATCCTCTTCTTTAAATCTAAACTTTGAGCTGATGTGTCTCCCGCCAATCACCCCGGCTCCTATGTGCCATGCATATTTCATCAAGGGAGTGTGGCAGTTTGTGTCAGATGAATAAAACAGGGGATAGAAAATGACAGTTAGTGCCCCTGTGAGGAATGTGTAATAGACTGTGACATTTTCCCTAAAGAAGACTCAACAATTACTTGAAAATGCTGTGTACTTTTAGTTGATATGCCTTTAATGATGACTATATGTGAATGTGTTTCTATGCAGGGGTCCTGATGGTGTATTTCTCTGGGTATCTAATTGAGGCCACCGGCTCGTGGGCGACTGTGTTCGCCCTCATCACCACAGTGAACCTGCTGGGCCTCTGCACTTTTCTGGCCTTTGCTGAGGCTCGGCGAGTTGACATCGAGTCCAGTAAGGTGCGCCACCACAATATCCACATCTAAAAAATCTGTCATCAGGGGGACAAGGATGCTATTCCCAAGGAGTATATACAACCTCAGGCAAGGAACAGTCTGCAGGACATTGGAGAAAGAGTGCATGGATTGAGAGGCACACATATAAATCCTGTGTGTAACATCTGGAAAACTTAAAGTCGTCTCTGTATGGATGAGGAATTACTGCAACAGTCTTTGAAAAGCACAAAGCAGAGTCTGCACAATGTCACTGAAAAATCCTCCACAGCGAGAGTGTTGAATCCTAGAAAAAACACAGCTGTGTCAGAAGATGCTCTGGCAGTTCAGGCTGTAACAGGAAAGGTTACAAGAAAAAAAGAAATGTCTACACTACCTCCAGGTCCCAGCTTGTGCGGTGCATGCTGGGTAAACAGTCGCTTGGATGCTGTTTACCTTCATCTTTTACTCCAGAATGTGTCACAGAGAATAAGAAAAGTCATGGAAATCGTAATCTAGTGTGATTGTGTGCGAGTGTGTGTGTGAGTGTGTGTGTTGGAGGAGCTATGTGAGTGATGGATGTGTTAGTCTGACAGCTGTGACACACCAAGGTGGTGTGTTCTCACCCTGCGGGAATGAATGGGAGGCAGTGTGGCCACACGTAGCTGATGCAGGGAGAGTCCAGCCTCTGTTATCTGAGGTCTTTTTTTAGTGGGTCCCACTCAGCCGTCACTGAGAGGACTGTGTGAGTGACAGCTCATTACACAGTCACTAATTACTCTGCGGAGCTCCGTGTCCTGTATATGTCCTATGTCCTGTACCATTTACCTTCTATAGTTACTGTTGCCGTGGTTACAGGCTTATCTTATCATAAGAGTTTGGGGAAGGTGATGGGGGTCATGGGAACAGTAATGTCAGCAAGACCTGGTTTTCCTCATGAATAATGCGTTTCAGGACAGCAGACCAAAGGTTGTTAATTATTTCTATTTTCTTCTTGTGTGATGGCATGTAATATAAAATACCTCACTAAATTATTTTGAGTACTTATATATTTATACATGGTTTCTTTCTTTTCAACTTGATCTTTCAGCAAAGGAATATATCTACATGTTAAGTTGTTGAATGATGCTGAATACGTAGTCCTTAATCTTCACTTGTTCTTCCTTTAAGTCCTCTCTCAAAGGACAAAGGAGATACTTAGAGGGTAAAGAAAGTTTTCCACACCCCACTTCTTTGTTTTTTCAGTTTTATTTGGTTTTTCATTCTTTGTTATCGCACTTGACGTCCTTTACCTTTGTGCAGTGTCCATATGTGACATTTATTTGTTAATTTGCAGCCAGAATTGTTGTCTCACTGCTGTGTCGAACTGTGGCAAATCCACGCATCAGACTCTCCCTGACCTGATGAATGTTGCGTGACAGATCAGGTGGTATAAACCAATGTCATGGGTTAATGATGTGATCAGCTGGAGAACATATCAAGTGTGGATGTTACAGCGATCGCGATCAGCGTGTGTTGCGACATGAAAGCTAGCTGCGTAGCTCCAGCTGAATGTTTAATGTGAACTTAGCTTTTCTCTTTACAGCACTATTCAACATTTAGGAGATTTCATTTACACTCTAGGAGCTTACTTGACACATGAACTTTAAATCTATGCATTTATTATTTTGTGCCTGATTTATTCAATGTGAGACTTCTAGGAAATGTGAGCTGGGGTCTTAAAGTTTTGTTTGTTAACATTGTACATCACTTCTAAGGAGATAATGATTCAGTTCAAGCTTTCATTCACATGCACAGACTTACAGGCTCTTTCTCTTGGATTTTTCCATACACACTTACAAAAATATCCTTTTGTTGTACATTTAATTGATTGATGAAATATTAGATAATGTGAATTTATTTCCATGCACATGATCAGTGATAACCTAAATTAAATGTAAAGTATTTTTGCCATATTTAGACCCTCGCTCCCTGACTGACAAAGGGAGTAGAGGAACAGTACATTTTATTTACATCAAACCTATTAGGATTATTTATTTTCCCATAAATTAACGATGTAGAAATACTGATTTCTTAAAATGAAATGTATGCCAAATGTTAATTTCACTCTATTTATTTTTGTTTGTGTAGATAAAACACGAATCGTATGCCTTGATACTTCAGACGGACTATCTACTGTAGACAGTGTCCAACCCACGCTCCTATTTCCTCCGCTGTTTGCCTGCTTTAGCATATGTGTTACATTTACAGCTGCCTTCACTTTCAGCTTGTCCTTTTTTTTGATACTGTGTTACCATCCTGCAAAAAAATCAGATAGTTAGATATGATGTAGCCGGACTTTTGTTCACCATCATATGCCTCCTGAATGCCTTCTGATGGGTCGTTTTTGATGATGTGAAAGATCTGTTTGAGGAAAAAAAAGGTGTACTAATGCAAAAAAAATGCAGTATTCTAATGCTTTTAATATATGTTGTATTTAAAAGCCTATATTACCTTTGAATAAAAATATATTTTGTCAACATTTGGGGTCAGTCTCAGTCTGCTGGACTACACTATGTGCGTGTATTTCCTCTGCAGGGCCACAAAGGGGCAGCAATGTATCAGTGACGAGGGGAGCAATGTGACAGTGGACCACCAAATAGTTTCTACAAAATACAGAGTCAAGAGAGACCTTTAAGAAAGCAGCCTGACAGCCTTAAGAAAAGCTTATTGATGTGAATTTCAACTTTCAGACAAAAGTAACCTGTATTAGCCCCAGAACTGGAAAAAGACAAAAACCTAACCTAGATATAAAGAAGAACTCTGGACACCTTAAATTTTCACATGTATCAGGTGCCGAACAGGTCCTCATTCAGGTCTGTCCCGTTTAAACCAGCGGCTCACTAAAGGCCCGGGTCCTTAGTCCAGGCTAGCGCGACGTATGTGGTGGCACCATATGGCAGGATGCTGTGTGCCATGTTGGCTAGCTGGCACTGCCCACGTGTGAACGGCCAGACGCTCGTCAACCCAGCCCACTCCTTCTTTCTCCTGGGACCGAGCGGCTCTGGTTACCATGGAGACGGGCGGCTTGTAGCTACTGCTGTGGCAGTTAAGACGAAAGGGAGGGGAATTGGGGGGGTCATAAGGAGTGAAAGTAACAAGTCAGGTAAAAGTCAACGGAGAGTTGGCAGTCAATTTGGTTTTTAAAGTTGGGTTCATACAAAAAAAAAATTCAACCTGGGTGTTAAAGAGGTGGTCGGTCACTTATTGGAGTGGAGAAAATGATGCTGTAAAAGCAGACATAATCATGATGAGTGGCCCACTATTTAATTAGCTCAGATGAAACAGTGTTCGGAGGAGAGGAGAGGAGACAAGAGGAGAGTGAAGGAGAGATAAACCCTCCCCCAACTTGTGGGCTTGTTAGAGTAACCCAGTAAAGGCAGGGCCCCATCATAGAGCCACAGATACATGTAAATGAAATAGCCCCATTAATTAGTAATTAACATCAAGTTAATGACATTTCACTGTGTCGCCATTTCATCCTATGTCCTTCCTCTGTGGTGGAGGGGCTGCCTCAGCGGGCCCCTGATCTGAATGCTAATTAGCGCAGAGCTACGGTGCCGTACAGGGCTACCTAATGATATAGAGGCCCAGTTTAAGAGTGGTCATTGTGTGAGAAGGATTAATCACTTTATAGTAGTAGATCAGGAGCTTTATAAGTCTGACACTCCTTAGAGGGCTGTGATATTGAGGGCCATTGACAGGTTTTATGTGCTAATTGCGTTGCGCCTGTTAGCTAATGTTGGGTTATCCCTCATGAATTGGAACTACTTTTATCCATTCTCCTACTTTTCAAAGAGAACTCCAAGAAATATCTCTTTAACACGGGTGCAAAATTGTTCAACTGTGTCCTATCTCATTATTCTAGTGTCCTGCATGCTTTGATTAAGTTTGAGGACCAGGCATTGGATACACTTTCATTCCTTTCGGGTCCCCTCCTGAGCCTAAATCCGCTTTGTGACAGAGATAATTTTACATGATTTAACCGCAGCCCGGGACGGTGTTTCTGTGAAGCCAGATGAAACATGAAGTTAACACTCTGTGCACAGCAGTGGCCCTGAAATGGACAAGAAGGATACTGGCTGCAAAATGAAGTCAATGTGCACACATTGATGAGCAAGGTTGTGTCCTGTAATGCTAAATTGTGCTTTGAGTCTGTGCCTGCCCTCCATTATGGATTCCTCTTGTCTCCTTAAGCTGTCAACATCCCTCTGTCTGTCTCCGTCTGTCTTCTCTTCTGCCTTCTTTCTTTTTTTGTCTCCTTTCTTTCCAAACTGTTCTGATACATAATTGACCCTTTAAAGGGATTCCCTGAAGCCTGAGCACATTAGCAAAGCAGCACACACACAGGCTCACACACACAACCAAATATGTTGATTTCTGTCAATTAAACCCCATCAGCTGTTTGCCTCCTGCTAGACATATGGCCTGTGTTAAATCTAAAGAGCAAATGGAGCCACCATTGAGAGGGGCATCGTTTTAATGGAACCCTCAGGGACGAGACCCACACCTGCGCAATAATAACATTAAACCATGCTCAACCCACTGGCCAGATGAGGACAGCGTTGGTGTATGTTTGTGTGGATGCACATGGCGCTTATTCTTGATCTGGAATCAGCCCCACCAGTGATAGTAACATTTGTCTTTCCAGAACAAAGAAATGTCCGGCACTGACGGCACAACTAACAAAATAACAAGTCCTCAGGTTTCAAAGGTATGTTTGGTGGATATTTTCTCATGGTATTTGTTTACTGCATTCACAGTCGCACTATTCGAGGGGCAGCTTAGGCAATCTTGAGTCTCTACTATTATATAAGGCAGGAAAAAACAAAGACACAACTGCTCTCCATCATTGTGCACCACTTCTCCCTGCAGTAAGAGTCAGAGAGTACAGTTATATTTATATTTGCCAAATAAACGGTTATGAGGTTCACAGGTCTTTAGTTAGAAACGGAGACAAATAACTGAACAAATGTTTAGAAATATAATTTTAGACAACAATATGGTGCCTTGCCTTTGGCAGGGAGCGTCAGATGCTTACTTACTTACAGTTTTAAGACGAGAAAAGACCGCATGAAATCCTCTCACAACTGTGCAAACACAACTAATCTCTTCAAACAACGCATGACACATCAACTAAATAAAAATGTTAAATAAAAATGTTTCTCTATTGCTATAGAGCACAGCTACCTTACCTGCCTGACAATTACTTTAGTTTATTTGACTGTTAATTGTTCAAGATGAATCTGCTTAGTATTTTCTCAGTTAGTCATCTAGTCTTTAATATAGGAAACATTCAGATTTATGTCACTCAGTTTACTCTCTCATAGACAAATAAAGGAATTTTTACAATTTTATCAAGCTGCATGAACCACAAATTTGATGCATTTTGGCTTTAAATAAACGTATATCTGCATTTTTTATGGATCAAAACAATCTGGTTCAACACAAATACTTGGTGGAATATCGAAAATATAAGGCGAGCAAAGATACATGGTATAGACGTTCCCATCAGACTACAATTCTTACATTAATAGTAGATGACTTTTTTAGATATGACAAGTACGACTAAAGACAAATGAATTTACCTTCAGGGATACAATAAAGGTATTCTTATTCTTATAAAGTTATTCTTATTATCCTTTACATTTATATATATCTAAGAAAGCAAAGAGTTGAGTGGATGTATAGGAGATACATAAGAAGAACAATCACATCAAGTGCTGATTTCCTAAATAATGGCCGAACAGTTCTTTAAAATACTGATCGGTTTTTAATGTTTTACTACAAAAACATTGATGAGGAAACTTTTCTTTGTGAAAATCATGATCTGAAACCTGTGAGAATATTTAATGAACAATCCTACAACATAGAGAAGCAGCAAATCTTTTAATCAGACATGTGATATTAGAGAAAATCTAGCAGTTTTTTGTTTTTATTTAATTTAAATAATCTAAAACAGTTTACTAGTTACTGAAAAGTGTTGATATATTTTGCTTTGTTGATTTCTATTATCTTCACTCATAGCTCCTAACAATCTGCAGCGTTCTGTTTGTGCATGCACATGAGGAGGTTAAATACCCCGCCCTCCCCTCCACCCCCCCAAAGCACCGCTCCACTCATCTGCTCCAGCTCTGCCCAGCTTCACACCGCTCACATCTCCAACACCACCAGATCTCCCCTTTTTTCCTGCTTGCTCTTTACTAAAGTTTGGCTGTCAATCAGCTGTGGCCTCAGGCAACAGGCACTGATGAAAAGACCCCTGAGACAAGGAGACCCAAATTAGATTTCAATAAGGATGTTGAATATTCATATCAGGGAAACATCTAAAGGTAAACGCTTTTTGATCTGCTGCGCACAAATATCACTTCTGTGCATTCCCAGGTCCTGGCGCTCTGGTTCTACACTGTTTTCTCCCCTCAGCCCGGTCCGGCCTCGGTCTCGGCTCTGTCTCACTCCTCGGGGGATGCGGTGGAATAATGATGATGGAGCTACAAAGGAGAAAACGAGCTATAATGAATGTTTATACTAAAGGGACCCAATAGAAAGGGCATCCGTACTAAGTATTCAGTAATTAGTATTTAGCAGAAGTTGATCGCTGAGTGCACACACGCTCAGACAGACACACACACACTCACATATCCAGGGCAGAATCACTGAGGCAGAATCATTTGCTGTGTAAACTTTAGACATGGGGAACCTCCCTTGACAGCAGCAGTCATAACAACAGTTTCATTGCTCCTGTCAACATGCCGCCTTTATTTTTATAATTGACAACACTTAGGGTCTTTCTCCCCGAAATGTCTACAGAATTCTAAAGGTGGCTGTTTGTTTTTTGGGCATACCTACGTTCTGTTGCCCTCCAGAATAATAATTACCCCTGTAACATGCTCATTGAGGATGAAATGTCTCCTAATTGCCCCTTTTTGTTTGAGATTTATGCCTTTTTGCTTGTAAACTGTTATGAGATCTTTTAAAAAAAAAAAAGGGCCAACATCCTCTAAATACCCTGAAGAAAATTGCCATCACTTCCATCTTTGTGGAGATGGAAATGTGCAGGGATGGTGGTGGATAAGGGGGGCTTTGACTGGGAGGTGGAGAAGAGGAAAGGGGGTGGAGGGTTGGGGGGTGGGGGGTATTGCCTGAGGCTCTTTTCCCCACAGAGTCCACTCCGCTCGGGAACACACCATGAAGCCGGTCCCAAAATGAGACCAAAGGACAGATAAGAACGCCACCGTCTCTTGACGCAAGAAAGGGACCGTCCAAGCTAATCGTCCACATCAACTTCTATCATCAATAATGCGTGGAGAGCGGCCATGATAGTCCTGATCAAGTCACTGTGGCTCATGATGCGGGGAGACAAGCCAACTCCAGCCCAGCGATTAAAAAGAAAGCCATTCTCCTCTTACATTATACTTTTCTCTTGTTATTTCTCTCACTCTGTGTTCCTCTCAACCTCCCCCCCATCCTTTCCTTACAACATGATGGTCAGTCCATTGCCAGGCAATCTGCTCTGTGATGTTGTTCACACCTCCATCTAGCCAAAAAGACCAGAAAAAAATCTTTGACAAGATATGATGACTTGCCCAGGTGGTGTGTTTCACTGGTCTCTTGGTCCTTCAGTTGAGGGCAGCCAAACAAGGTATGTGTGTGTGCGAGTGTGAGTGTGCGTCTGCCTACAGTATATGATGGTGTGTTCACCCCGGGCCCTGTGCTGCGGTGCTGTGATGCCGAGTGTCACCCTGCTCCGGCCTGAGCCCTGCAGCCAGAGAAACCAGCTGTGAAACTGACAGGTTTGTCTTCTGCACTCACCTACACTGTTTTCACCCCCCCAACACACACACACGCATACACACACGCATGCAAACACACACTAACACTGGTGCAAACACATACACGTAATGAGGCACACACAGTTCTATGGCCTGAGGTTTAAGTACACATGCACACACAAGCTCGCCCCCCCTCTCCACACATCCACACATATCCACAGACCATCACACAAGCTGCAGGCAGTCTCTCTCATGCCAGCTACAAACACAGTGCAAAAGGAATATGCTCACAGAGCTGCGATACAGAGCAGCTACTCGTAACTTGAACACATTTTTACAATTTGATGAAAATCAGCAGAGATAGTGAATATCCGAGTGAAATAGTCTTTAGACCATGTTTTCCATCGATATCCTTTGTCATTCAAGCAACAGACTTTGCTTTGTCTACTTTTAGATTGCTTTATTAGAAAACTGAAATCTCTAACTTCTTCCATATGCATCAATGAGCAGATTTATATTCTTTACATGAAAACATAAGGCAAATTAAATTGAGATATACAAAATTTAATGTCTTCTTGAAATCATCTTTCCCATCTAGATTTGTCGAATTAAAGTCTAATTAAAAGTATCAAAGGCAATGCATTGATTTTCTTTTCTGCAAGCTGATTTTTATTTTTGTTTTGTTCAGGATTTTGTGCTTTTGTTGTAAATGTACTGTTTTTGGAGATAAACCATCTTGATTTTTGAACAATAATAAGAAAAATTGCTTAAAAATCCCCTTTAATGTTCAATTTTTCCCAGGTTTTGTGACACTACTAAGTCCAATAAAAATAAACTCATGAATTTTGCTCATGTGACTCACCTTGATAACCCCAGTTACCTGTGAATTCATAGGAAGTCTAATTTGATACTAATCCGTCCCATCCTTGTCTGCATTTAAAAGGCCTCCTTAATTAAATTGGACTCATTCTCCCAGGTGAAAGCATGAATCTCGCAGTATACACATGTATGTTTGCATGCACACACACATGTTTATTCTGTATCATGTAGGTCAATGAGGACACTCAACATCGCCACAAGCGTCTGAACTCCTGCTCCATCCAGGAAAAGCTGATGAGTTACCCTCGGGAGATACTTGCTGCCTTCTGTGGCACCTTCCCCCCCCTCCAAACCTAACGGACACCTAGCGTGCACATATACCCACACACACATAGGCACGCGTGCACGTACACACACGTGGACTTTGACACAGAGTAGTGAAGGATGCCATGTGTATCCAGGTGTCTGGCTGTGCTGTAGCACCCTTCAGATGTCACCACGATAGAAATCAGTCCTCTGACCAGAAAGTCTTCAGGCAGGGTGCATGTGTGTGTGTGCACACGCGCCGCATTCGTGTGCATGTGTATAGGTGTGTACTTTAGGTTGCTTATTCCTAGAGGGTGGGGGTGAGAAAAAAAGCGAGAAAACAGCAAAACAAGTTAAGAGACAATGAAGAAAGTAACAGTGGCACCTGTTTCCCCTCGGTGAGGAGGCCGAAGAATTCACCTCAGGAAGGACACATCTCCTTCTTTATTGATGTACTCATAATGAAACCACTGATCATTTCATCTCCAGATATCTCCGTCCCACAGCATGCACTTTATCACCTTTATCCCCGCATCTAACCCTCCATAAACATGCTCCTTTCCTCACACACATGCACATTTTTTTTGGGTTCAGTTATGTGGCCAGATGTCCAAGTTGACATAGCGCTTAAGGCGTTTGACTGGATGAAACAGTGCATTGGCTGCGGGTAAAGAGGGATTAAAACAGGGCCTGAGGCACTTGTGTTATATTGAAAACATCCTGGGCTGCTTTGTATGGAGATTTGCATACATTGGGGTCTGTGCGGCGATGGCCCATCTGCTGAAGTGCATTGTCCCCAAACAACAAAGTGTGTTTAAATATTTCACATCTCCATCTACTGGGACACAGGTAAGAGAGAAACGAGCAGAGAGATAAGAAGAGAAAATAGAGGGCAATGAAGAGGGGGTGATAAATAATTATAAAAAAAGACAAAAACAAAAAAGAGGAAGGAGTAGATTGGCACAGCTTTGAATTTGAACTGCTCCCAAATGTGCCTCAGTCAGAGCCACAGTAAATAACACTACTGCCGGCCAGGATCCGGGGAAAATGAGGAGAATCTAAATATAAAATGTTGTAAATCTGAATTCTGGTGGAAAACAGGGTTGTCTGAAAACAGAAACGAAGATGTGAAATGTATATTTTGGGATATAATTGAGCTTGGAAAATTCGGCTAAATATAAAACAGGTTTAACAAGCACATATTTGAATTAGACAAACTAACAAGTTCTACTCTTTTCCTTCATTTTTATACAGTATTCATAGTTTTATCTCGCATGCAGGCACTGTCAAATTAACTGCAAGGATACTGATTTGCTGAAAAATGAAAAGTGGCAAATATCCACAGTTTATTTCCGACTAGTCTAGTATTAAGTTATCATCCCTCCAGCCCAAACCCTTTTTATTGAATTAATACCATAACTCTGGATATCTGTGACATTTAATGGCACTGTAAAATTAGATAATTACTATAATATATCTGTGTACTCATGCCCGTTTCCGAGGTCAGAAACATAAAAATTAATAAGGAACAAGTGGGAGAAAGGGGGCAGAGTAGTGAGATCAAATGAAAGAGAGAGAGAGAGAGAGAGAGAGAGTGTGTGTGTGTGTGTGTGTGTGTGTGTGTGTGTGTGTGTGTGTGTGTGTGTGCGAAGGAGTTTGAAAAGTTAGTTTTATAAATGCAAAGAGAGCAGAGTCTGAAGTTACTTTGACATCCAATGTTGATACATCCTCTCTCGATCCCCGTGCATTTTTATTTCTCCACTCTCCTCTCCCCGTGTGTCTTTCATTTCAACCAAAACACACATCAAATGAAAAACATGCTCAGGGCAGTGGATGTTGGATGGAACAGTAAGGTGATTTAACGACGGGACGGTTTGTGTGTAGGCTGGACAGCCTGGTGCAGCCTCCGTCTTCACAACCCGAACACACACACACACACACACGAAAAAGCCCATGCACACGTTTACACGTACACACACACAGAGACAAGGCGCACACACACACACACTGACACCAAATATCTGAAAAAACAGCCAAGATGGACGTGAGGAACATGTTGCCTGCACGGGGGAGGATTTTTGGAAAGAAGAGCGTGGTCAATCTGTTTGTTTCTCTGCCACATCCAAGAAGAGTGATAATTTCATTTTCTTTCATTATTTCTTCCTCTTATTGTACTCCTAATGTCAGATTTTTAAAGCTGCTGAGGTTTATGTTTAAGAAAAGAGCTTATCAGACAATGGTTTTTAATTATTTTGCAACAAATATCCGTCTTTTGTCTTCTATCTCCCACATGATAGAAAAACAGAGACAGAAAAATACAGACGAGACACTGATGCCACCTGAAGCTTGTACCTCTGCCTTGTCTTCCTCGGTCTCCCTCACAGTCTAATGGTGTCTCATGAACCGGCTCATTTGTGCCAACCCTTTAGCGGTAGAAGGTCACGGCTGGAGAGTCTGTGAAAAAGTATAACAGATACACATTAACCCCCATTTAATCAGGATTACAGAGAACAAGCAAGCATTATTTAACACACATTACAGAGCATGACAGCAGCAGGGAATATGGGACACACACACACACAGACAGACACAGACACACACACACACAAACACAAATCCAGCACAATCAATCTAATGGTGTGCATTAGTTAACTGCCAAATGTTGGGCTTTTTATGGCAGGATCACCCGTCCCTTGAAAAGATAAATACGGTGCACAGATCCCAGTAATTACAGCAATCCCCTTACACAGAGCGGCCTTGCTCAGCAGCCTCTGTGCAGTACCGTCGGCTTGTAGATTAAGTCATTTAGGACAGTTTTAGGGCACAGAGGTGACTGACAGGAGAGGAGCGGGACGGTGAGGGGACAAAAGGATAGACAGGGGTTGTGCTAATGTGGTGTGTCTTTACAGTGTTTTTTTGGGGGGAGGGGTTGTACTTTGTGAAAACTGCACGAAAAAGTGGATAAAGCTCCAGCTGAATCCAGAGTGACCTGATATTTAAGGTGTTATTCAAGGCAAGATAAAAACATGATATCATGATGTTTCTAAGCCAATAGAAAGGACCGTGACTTTCTAAAAATGAACTGACTTCAACTTCACCAATTAACAAATTAAAGTAAGACCTCATAGACTTTGTGTGTAATATACAAAGTGTAATATACGATGTGAAATTAAGCTTTTAATTCATATGCTTTGATACTTCTCAGCACAGCCAACTTGTCACACTGGAAAGAATATTATCATTTATGAGATAGGGAGTAATAGATGCAAAATGTAATACAACACAATCCCATTGTTGTGCATTACGTATGTGTCTTTACACTGAATAAACTCATCACTCAGCAGGTATGTTTGTATTGGGTTTTTTCTGTCTAAAATTTCAGTCATCATCCGGTGACAAGTCCAGAAAAAACATGTAATTGCAAGATATTACAAATAAAATTCCTTTTCAGGGTTTAAAAAAAAGGAAAATGTTACAGGAGAAGTTTCTTAAATAATGCAAGAAATGTAAAGTCTTATTTCAATAAACTTAATAAGCAAATTTTACTTACACTGCCAGCAGTTCAATCTCAAATTAAGACTTATAATGTGAATGTTGCTTATATTCAGTATAATGTGATTTTTTTTTACTACAAATGAGAGAAATACACTCACTAAGATTTGAGTTTCAACATTATCAAACAGGACAAAGGACTGCAGAGATTTGATTTTAATGTGTTTTAATAACTGGCACATGGAAGTGGCCAAACCAAACAGGCACCAGAGTGCTCTGGCTCAATGCAAACTGAGACCATCTCAAGCCTCCTGTTTTTGTTCTACATATATTATCACCTGTGAGTCATATATTACTGATTTCCAGTAGCTTTTTTGGGCTGGCATTTGAAGATGTATTGTTAAGCTTAGTCTTTTAAACTAATAAGAGAGATGAACATGTGAGTGTACTGACCGAGACACTCATTTAAAGCTCCTGTGAAGAACTTTCAGCTTGTGTCAATTTTGGCCTATCCCTCTGTGGATAAAGTTTTCTTTATTTATCTTGTCCTCTACATGCTCCAGAAGTGAATTCAGACAGAAAATGTCATCCAGTTGACTTTATTAAATTTATCATTCATTGCGAACATGGTATATGATTTAAAAGCAGGACTGGCTCTTTGGCTGTTTGTCTGACATTTACCCTCTTACAGAGATTTCAGGCATTAAAAACTAAAAGTCATTAACCATGTTTCTCACGTTCTTGTTGACTTTTGTATATCGTGAAAAGGCATACATATGAATTTAACTTTTGACATAAACACTGGAATATATAAGTTCACAAAAGGCAAGGCTCTAAAAGGCAGATATGAGGTGTCAAAACACTATAATATATGGTCTAAGTGCAGTAAAGTAACCACAGTTCTGACTATTTTGACCAAAATTAGTAAAGTTTGTAAAATCTAGTGCATCAGAATTACACTGTAGACTCAATTACATCAACTCAACACTGCAATTACTTTCATGGGATTCAAGATTTGTTACTTAAAGTTACACAGAAATTCAAAGGTGCAGTTTCTATCTTTAATAATGAGCTCTGCTCTCATTTGCTATGAGCCAACAGGAAGGATTGCAACTGGTCATCTGTAATAAACACACTGAATTCATTTTCATCTACATCAACAAAGAAAATAGTCTAAGCATATTTAAAGCACTAATAAGGAAGTTTTTGTTTGTGCTCATTTTGGCGCCCCCTGAGGACAATACTGTCACTGCTTCTTTCTCTACAAACTTAAACAGTCTGTGAAAAAATCTTATCCTGACAACTTTTGTCAGACAAATGCATCATTTATTGTGAATCTATTATATGTTAATTGTAAAACCAGGATTGTATCTTTAACTGCTTGACTTCCACCTTCCACCTTCATTGGTTTCACGCATTACAAATTACAATATAAAAACCCTCAGTCATATGATCTTGTCTACTTTTTGGTATGAGTCTCTGTTTATGTCATAAGTATCAAAAAACTCCCCACAGGAGCTTTAAAGTCACATTTTGTATGCATCAATATTTCCTTTACACTCTGCACTGCTCCATTTAATGATTTTTCATGAGTTAAAGCTGCCAAACAGTTGTGTGCATGGAACATAAAAACAGGGAACTGCTTGGTTAAAACATTGTTCCTTAAGGAGAAAACAAAACTTTACAGAGGACTTTAAATCAAGGCTGGTTGTGCTGGTTTTACTCTTGCACGTTTTCAGCAAAAACTAAAAACTGTTGACAAAAAGAGAGGACAATGCTGCTTAAAACTGAATGTTCTGTTCTCATACACACGGTCAAATTTTAAGCATATCCTAGACTCCTCAGAAAGCCTCGACTGTGTCTGTGCAAGATGGTCTGCAGGAATGTGTGTGTGTAAGTGTGAGTGCGAGTGTGCGTGGAGGGCAATGATGGGTGCAGTTAAGCAACAGGAACTGAGTAAAGCCTTCAGGCCCTGGTGCGATTGATGTCCGGCGGGTGGCTGAGGAACAGTAACTCACAGTGCTCTCCGTCTGCATCTAAAACTCTCATTAGTCTAAGTGTGCGAGAGTTCTCTACCCCTGCACCTTTTGGAGCGCACAGAGAGGGGCACAGGGCCAAAACCTCCTCAGACTGCTTTTACTACAGGGGAGGCATGCAAAGTAAAGGTGCATGTCTAGAGGAATTCAACACAAAAAAACACATTTTTTTGGAAATGCACTAAAGTCTTCGCATCTATGATTTTTTTTTGTGTGTCTTAGAGCCTGCATGAACACAACTAGTGGCATGCAGCTTAACAGCGCGGCCTAATGAGGTCTGAAATATGAGCGGTAAACATTTGTATGGACAGATGTGGATTAATGTTCATCTTTTCTTCAAGCCAGAGATTAAACCTGATTTAGTGCCTAACAGGTTTTATTTTTTTTTTTCCTATTTGATTAGAAAGGAAGCAAGGCGGTGAATGAGTGGGAAAGAGAAACAAAGGAAGACAACAAAAGCGAGTGTGTCTCTTACTTATGGGGCAGTTGCCAGAAGAAGCCAGACAGTGAAAGTGGAAGGAACAAAGACAAAAAGAAAAAAATTGTAGGATTGGACGGAAGGGGAGGCAGAGGGACTCGTCAGATGCTCCTCAGTCCTGTTGTGGGCTGCTGAAAGTGAAGGAGGAGAAAATTTTGAGTCATGGGGACGGAATCAGAAATGTCAACAGATTGAGTCAGAGCAGAGCTGGGACCGTCTGGAAGGAGAGAGTATCAACACTGACGGAGGGGCATGCAAGATTTTGGGACCGTCACTAGGCTAATGGCAAAATTATTGGACATTATGTGTGTGCGAGTGTGCTTGTGTGTGTGTGTACGTGTTGCATGGGGGAGGATGTGGGATTGGCTTAGTCTGCTGTCTATAATGAATGGTTAATGTTAGTCGGGGAAAAAATGAATACGGTCACCATCTGCTCTATCTTAGTCTGTGTTCTGTGCGTGTGACTGTCATACACACAAACACACACACACACACAAACACACGCACGCACACACAATGTGCTCTTGGAGAGGGATTTGGAAATATGGAATGGAAGAAAAGGGAGGGTGGAAGAAAGAGAGACATGCAACAAAAACCTGCACAAAACCAAAGAAAGAGACACAGAAAGTGAGAGAAGAAGAGAAATTATATTCTTGCAGGAAACACTGTGTGTATGTGTGTGTGTGAAGTGGAGATGCAGATACAGGTGAACACATGTAGGGCACAAGTCATGAGTTCTGTCAGGTCTCACAAGCACATGTAGCCTATGGCTGAGCACACACATGCTGCTGCAAGATGTAAACACAAAAACAGAAAAAGAAAAAAACACTCACAACATGCTTTCAAACAAGGTTAGATTTTTGCATCCAATGCTGAGAGGTAAATTCAAAATTCAAACTGCATATATTCTAAACACACATTTGCATGTTTTCCCTTATTTTACCTGTTACATCAAAGTAACAATGACACCGTGTAAGATTACAATTGGGTCTTTAACTGTCATCCTTATCATTCCATGATCAATACTTTTCTGTCATTTGGTGGAGAGCCACAGCAACATTTTTTAACAGTACTGGTTTTGTTTTAAGTGTTTTACAGGTGAGTGTAAATATTGCTACTGTCACAGAAAACAGCCTAGATAAGGATTTAAGTCTCTGAAGAAATACTGAGGTGTGTCCCTTTTCCTCAGAGTTCTGACTTAATTCTCAAAATTCTCTCCCTTTTCCCTAAAAACTCGGACTTTTTTTTTTCAAAACCTGGATTTTTCCCCCTGAGATTAAAGTCAGAACTCTGAAGAAAAAGTCAAATTCTGAAAAATTGTAGTTACTGTAACACTCGTCTCAGAATCCTTTAATAAAAATAAATAAATTAATTAAATTCAAATAAAAAAAAAATTCTGTCCAAATAAAAATATTCATTGGCCCTGATTCAAAAGGCCAATAATTTCACTGAACAATCCTTTTACTGACCGGTGCCTGAACACATCCTATCTTATATTTATGTCTGCTCGCCCTGTGAGCTTGCACCCTGAACTACTATTTTTAACAAATGGATTGATGACAAAGTTCTCACTTTGGCTGATTGGAGTAGATAAGGAAGATGACTGTGCCAAAACATCAGTACACTATCAGTCGGAGTTGACGGAGACGTTTCTTGTTGGAGACTGTCGAAGGTAGCTGATGTATTTTGTTTTAGTTTGACGCTTAATGCTAACATGCATAGCCAAGACTCTTGTGCCCCTGAGATTATTATTTGGACATTTTTCGTCACATAAATTCTTTTCGGTTTATAAATTACATTTGGCTATGTCGTTTGCATTGGTAAATATAGATGGCCAAACCAGAATTTTTAATCGTGTAGTTTAATAGCCCACCTGTCAGGTGGCAGTTTTTTTTTTAACCTTTATTTAACAACTGATACACATTGTTGTAAGTCATTATCCTCTGCACTGTTATAAGATCTATTCCACATACAGGTTATTGATTGTTATTTTAAAATTTTAAATACCGTGGAACTGAGTCTATGTTAGAACTAAGAATTACAGGAATCAATACTCCTAGTTAAGTAAAGAGCCAAAGTTCTCATCATTCTAGATTTCCTTTTTGGATTTGTTTTCTTAGATTAACTTTTATGTAGCCATATGGAAAGACATTAAGAATATCTATTTAATTATTAAAGTATTTTTTGTCTTAGTGCAAACATTCAAAGTTAGCAGATAAAACAATTCTACACCAATGATTTGAAATTTACAGATCTGATTGCACATATTAATGTGTAAATGAACTGTGACTGTCAAATAATAATAATAATAATAATAATAATAATAATACAGGGAAGCTACAATATTTTCTGCAATATTTGTAGATGAATTATGAGTACAAACAAATACGACCTCTGCACGGCTCTATTACTAGACTACCCTGTGAATTCACAGTAGCAGTATTTGAAGCTTTAGGGGGATTACAAGTGTTGAGGACACTAAAACAATATCATCCCTGGCTGTGCTCATATAAAGACACACTTTCTCTTGCCCACTCACACACCAACACAGAACAAATGCAAATCCTTTTTTTTCTGTCATATTTTCTCCAAAGTTCAGAACTTATAAAAAAATCTTCTCTCATGCATCATTGCGCTCTTGGGGAGCCATGATGAAGAGAAAACTGCAGCGTTGATAAAACATTTGTGATACATCTCTGAACACTAGGGTTGATAAGTAAATACAACCCACATTGATAATCCTCTCTGTATTATGCAGTGTTACACACATACACAAACACACACACACATACACACACTGCCAGGTTGTGATTAAATTCTCTGTGGCCTATGATCCGCTTCTAAATCTTTGCAATTTTCATTTTATGCAGCTTTAATATGGATCATAGTTGCTCTCAGAGTGCCCCATCTCCTAATCTGGAGCAATCTGAGCTGAGCCGAGCTGGGCCAACAGCTGATGCTAAGCCAACCAGTCACACTCAAACAGCCAGCAAGGCAGCTACGAAGCTTCGCTGAAGTCGGTATAGGCTTGAAAAGCACTGCAAGTGAATGAAAAGTTAGAATATTTTAGAAATTTCTTTAATGGGAGAGTTGCAGGTGTACCGCAACGTCATGCATGCAGGTGTGCATTTCTAATTCACAACTAAAATAATTTGCTTTTCAATTCAGGATAAAAGATACTGCTACAAAATGGTATCTGCAGAAAACATAGTGTACAGATAATGTAAAAATTTTTAATAATAATATGTATATAAACGTACAGAATATCCTAATGGGATTTTGAACTGATGGGCCTGGTTGTATGTCAAAGAAGGAGGAGGAGGAGGAGGGGCTGATGGGTAATATTTGTTGAGGTCATGTATCTGCGTGTGTTTGGGTGCTGAGGCAGCGTGTCAGGGGATATTAGACACACACACATACAAGAGATTTTTCGTATGATATTCATTACGTACACACGCACACACACAAACAAACACACACACACACACACTCATATACATACTCATGATGGTGACCTGCTTTTACAGCACTGAAGGGTTCATAAGAGGATTGAGTAATTAAGGGTACACAGTTAAAAATGTGTATTAATAATGTAATGCTTACGTCCTGGAAATCCAAACCCACTTCACAGTTTTTCTCAAAATTTTATCATTAAAATCCAAGGTTCATCTAAGGTTTTTCCAGGTATTTCAGGAAGAGGAATTTACACGCTGGTGTCTTATCTCTCTCGATTGAGAGTAAAATGTCATGTCAAAATACCATCCAGTAACCAGCTGAAGGCCCAGCTCAGCAGCAGACCCCCTGCTGGGACTCATGTAAATAATACTGCAGCTGATGGTGGAAAAACTACAAACTGAGCAAAGCTAATGCTAGGCTTATCTCTCGCGCTCTTATTCACACACATACTTTATTAGAAAACGTTTTATTACATTTCACATTCGCTTAGCTTTATCCTCACGATGCTGGAAAAAGCTGCAGATGAATCTACGCGGCTTTGATTGTTGTATTTTAGTCGACTGTGATTATGAGGAGCAGAGAGTGAGAATGTGGGTGGGAGAGTGAACATCAGGAGGAAGGGGAAGTCACCCCTCCACCTCAGCCCGCTTAATCCTCCCAGTGGCAGACGGCGAGACCAGTTAGATATCAGGACATCCTTATGGGGCATATTTAGAGTCGTGCATTAACAGTGACACCTTTGTGGACACATTTGTCGTGCATTTTAGCTTTAAAAGAAGTATGAAAAACTACCAAAGTAGAACAATTATATACTTCCAAACAAAAGGGATTTTTTACTTTGATGAAACAATAAAAACTTGTTTTCTGTTTTGCCCATTTGAAAAAGAAAATGAACTCTGAAGGGGTAAAAATGAATACTAAATTCACCTTAAAAAACTGTTGTAATTTGATATGATTAAGTATCTGTATGCTGTCACCTTTTGTGCTTTGTTCATGGCACCGTTTATCCTCCTGACATTTGGTCATCCTTAATCTGTCTATTATCTGTCTAGGGATGTATCTCTCACTAATCCATCTTTGCTCACATCACATTAAAAATGTTAAAGGTTCAACCCATAACAAACTCAATCCATCCAGAAATCTGACCTGATGAACCCAGCACTTTCACTTCAACCTGTGCAGCTAAAAAACAGATTTAAAAAGAGAAGTCAAGTAATAAAAAGAGAAAACCCGAGCCAAAAAGGAACTCATCCCGTTGAATATGATTGCCTGAGTACACCGACACTTTGTCAAGAATTGCAGTGAGCCTCAAATCTGCTGTATGTGATATGTGTGTTAATTACACTCAACAAGGGCTGGTAGTTTATTTAAGTGATGACACATGCTTCTACCTGCTGCAATGAGGACTCGGCTGCATGCCGAGAATGCTGCTGAATAAAGTCCATCATAGATGCAATTTGTAAAACAGGTTGGTACAAATTGTCATGAACTCCTGTGCCCAGATGTTCATCTTTTGTAAAGGAGTTATGCCTAAAAAAAACAACCTTTAAAAAAATAAAAGTAAATTACGTCACCCATCATGACGGCACTGACATGTCCTGACATACACTCTAGTCCTTTATGAATACCAGCGGTAGGATTTAATTGTCCCTTTACTAGACTTTTGGCCTTGTTCAGGAAGCGTACAAGTGCAGGTTCACCTCTGTGAACATGATTAAATCACACAATAACCTCCTTCCCTCATCAAATCCTCTTAAGCAGGCTGCATTACATATCTGCCAAACAAAGAAAACTCAATCAGAACAATCAACCAAGCCAGGCCGAGCCCGCCCTGCCAGCTTGTCTGATCCCATTGCTGTGATTAAAATGAAAATGGAGCTTGGACATTACCAGAAATCCCATGTTCACCTTATAAGGAAGATCAGAAGTCCGTGTGTGTGTGTGTGTGTGTGTGTGTGTGTGTGTGTGTGTGTGTGTGTGCAGACTTAAAGGGATAATATAAATGTGTCCCGTGTAATTCCCAGGCTTGGATCTCAAAACACTGTTTTATTGTTTTGCAATATTAATAGAGAAAGATTACAATTGATGGGATTGGATTAGTGACATTTAGCTTTATAAATTCTCAAAAACTGATTAATTAATTTGTTTATGAACGGCGTGTTTTGAAGAAAACATGTTTTTATTGTGCAGCACAGACACACCTGTGCAAATGAGTGATTTGCTAAACAACAGCATAAAAAATGCAAAAGGGATTTCTGTTGTAGGAAAACATCAAATAAAAATTTTAGCTCCAGTGTTCAATTTAATCAGTTTTTAATAGGGCTGCACCAAGTGATCATTTTTATGATGGGTTAATTCTGTGACTGTTTTAATATTTTATCACATACATAACATATTTAATCGGGTACAAATTGCGCCAGCGTGACAAAGAAGAGAATCACTTTTTTAAATGCTGACATCAGAAATTGTTTGGTAGTATGCTTATGAAACAGCTCAAAGATTTGTTCTGTTTAAGAAAAAAATGTTTCCAATTTTAAGTTTTTGGTTAGATGTCATCCAAGTTTGCAAAAGTTTCCGTTTATCTCATTGTGTAAAAAAAACAACTTGCAGGCACTTGAGGCTTAAATAAGAGTACTGAATATTTTTATTCCATTTCAATTTTGGATGCCACGATCAAAATCACATCATTTGGCCAAAAAGTGTGAATCAAAGGATTCAGAATTTTAATTGTGGTGAGAAAAAAAGAAGAAAAAAGAAATCAGAAGTTTTTAATCTCTGAAATATGTATTTTTTTATTATCATTATTGAACAACATCAAGTTCACTGAAACTGCTGTGGTTGTTGAGCTTTAACGTAGTAAGGACTGGTGTTTTTTGCATATCCCCATGCACAGACAATAGTCCTCATTGTATCAGTCCCTGGTTCATAGCCCAGTTTTGTGTCTCTCTTCAGCTGTCTTATCTAGTGAAGGCACAGTTCCCTAAAACTATGGCTTATAAAATTAAAGCTGTAACATAATAATCATGCATTGTCACAGTTGAAGCTCTTTCGTCAATCATTTTGATTTAAATTTTAATCATTTTTCCCTTTATGTTTTGTTTTAGGGGTAACTCACACACCACAAAAATGTGTATGCGTTTGTGTGTGTTCTTGCTTTTGTGTGTCACAGTCTCCTAGGCGGGCTTACAGTAAGAGGCGAGCTCCACATTACTGTTGCTCCACTTCACTTCCTGTGATAATCCTTAACACAACAGAGGGAGCTGCAGGTGACCTGGACCAACAGCGATACAGTATGGGGCTCCATTAACAAACACACATGTATGTAAACACACTTTCACACACAGCGAAACCATCCATTCATAAATAACAACAATATGACCCTCCCTTCACCCTTCAACTCCATTCTCCTGGTGCAGCATCCTCCTCCTCAGCTCTTAGTGAAACATATTGTCGCCTTACTGCCGGAGATGACAGAGTGTCATTCATCCTCGGCTCCAAAGTCATCGCCTCCATTAACAGCAGTGTCTAATTAAAGCTGTAAATGACAAACACCCCGACACAAACACAGGCTCTAATGACCGCTCTGTAGTCGGAGACTGATGGGCAGCTGTCTGGTGTCTGTCCACTGTGCTGATCAACCTTGAGACACGAGGACCTGTGGGCCATCTATTGCACCGCTGAGATAACACAGGAAGGCGAGTGGAGCACTGATAAGGAGTGATTCATATACACTCGCATGGACGTTAATTGATTAATAAAGAACAATATTGTCTTTTAACAAGGTGGTGTTAGGTAGTGTTTGGTGTATCTCACATATGACTTCGTGCCTTTTCTGAATTCATTTTAGCAAAACAAAAACAGCGGGGTTTACAGCAGGTGAAACAAACAGGAGGTGTTTTTTTGTTGTTTGACTCAGAACCAAAAACAATCAGAGAACAATGCTCATCGCCGCAGATCATATCTGGCTTTTATTATCCTCTTATTTGCCTCCTTTGAAAAGGAATAACAAGGTAGTGGAGCTATGGCTTATCTCCAGCCCCTGTATTAACCACTGTGGCGTTAGCACTAGCTGCCCAAAGCTGACTCTTATACGTGGCGTATCAAGTTAAAAAGTGTGATTTGAGTCAAAAGCCTGGATGTTCACTCTCCCATTGATAATTGAATTTTGTTGCATGACAGTTCTTCCTTTTTTTTTCTCCTACAGTGCAGCACCGGTGTTTGTTTCCATCTCTTTTTCAATCACTCAAATCATCCCCTCCACTGTCACACTGTCCCAACAAAACCTCCGGATGAAAAAAAACTAAAAAGCTGAAATCCATTTCCATATTAGTTTGAAAATGTTCGAATATTTCAAAGGAATTATCCCCTCCACAAAACAGAATAAAACCCCTCTTATTCCCGCTAATCCCTCAAAGACTGTGATATTACCTGATAGGATGTTGTGCTGTGTGAATACTATCAACAAGACAAGTCCGAAATAATGTAAGCAGGTCCCCGTTGTGGAGATTAGAGTGAGCATTTCTTTCTCCCAATTTATCTCTTCCCCGAAATGTAACGTCTTTACTTCATGTATTACCCCCTCTCTCTCCCGCCTCGGTTGTCTGTCCTTTCCTCTGATTCCAGATCAGCTTCTCTGGAAGCTTCTCCCTTTGTGCCACAGCTTACAAGATAAAAATAATTTACAATAAATACGAGACAAGGGTTTTTGAACCTGTCTGGCACGTGACACACCGCCCAAGTTAGCATTTATTTATTATCCGTTTTATTTATAAGGTCCCCCCTGTTTTTTTTTTCTTTTTACATATTTTAATCAATGGAGATTTTTAGCTCTACATGTAAGAGAAGCCAAGGGACGGAGATGTCAGCATCAAGTCTGTTAAATTTGGACAGACGTTCGTAATCCTCAGAGGATATTTTTGTCATTCTCACAACCCTCTGATACCTCCCCCTCAAAAACAGGAAGTTGAAGGTTTCTCATATGCAATAAAATAATATGAGATCAATTTGATAGATTGGCTTAAAATGTTGTACGGACATTCATGGTTAACGGAAGACATACTCTTAACGTCTCCCCTTTTCCTCACAACAAAAGCAGGTTAAAGTTTTCTCATGTCACTAGATCAATTTTATAGATTAGCTTAAAATATTGTCCAGACATTCATGGTTCCCAGATGATGAATCCTAATTACTGAAGTAACCCTTGAATGGGGATTTTTAGCTCTACATGTAAGAGAAGCCCAGGGACGGGGATGTCAGCATCAAGTCTGGTAAATTTGGACAGACATTGGTAATCCTCAGAGGATATTTTTGTCATTCTCACAACCCTCCGACAGCTCCCTTTCAAAAACAGGAAGTTGAAGGTTTCTCATATGCAATATAATAATATGAGATTAATTTGACAGATTGGCTCAAAATGTTGTATGGACATTCATGGTTCCCGGAAGACATACTCTTAACGTCTCCCCTTTTTCTCACAGTGAAAGCAGGTTGAAGTTTTCTCATGTCACTAGATCAATTTTATAGGTTAACCTAAAATATTGTCCAGACAGTCATGGTTCCCAGATGATGAATCCTAATTACTGAAGTTACCCTTGAATGGGGATTTTTAGCTCTACATGTAAGAGAAGCCCAGGGACAGGGATGTCAGTATCAAGTCTGTTAAATTTGGACAGACATTCATAATCCTCAGAGGATATTTTTGTCATTCTCGCAACCCTCCGACAGCTCCCTTTCAAAAACAGGAAGTTGAAGGTTTCTCATATGCAATAAGATAATATGAGATCAATTCGACAGATTGGCTCAAAATGTTGTACGGACATTCATGGTTCTCAGAAGACATACTCTTAACGTCTCCCCTTTTCCTCACAGTGAAAGCAGGTTGAAGTTTTCTCGTCACTTGATCAATTTTATAGATTTGTCCAAACATTCATGGTTCCCAGATGATGAATCCTAATTACTGAAGCACCCTTAAATGCTCTATTGGTGCAAATATATGAGGCTGACATAAGTAAATAAATGAGGAATATTTGGTTGACTACTGGATTGATGAGAGTCAAATTTGTCAATCGTTGTCCCTGTAGGAAGAACAAATTTGTTGTTGCTGCTCTAAAGACAGGGCTAAAAAAATTCACACTTAATGGAAATAATAAAATAAAAAAGGACAAACAGGAGATTTCTCTAACACATCCAAACTCATGGAGCGAGCAAACTTATAATGTAAGGCACTCACAGCAACAGGAATTGCTGGGTATCGAACCTTAAACTTTGATAAATGAACCCACCGTTCTACCTATTGAACCAGCTGGCATGTCTTATACAGAAAACAATTCAATACAGGACTCCCCTGATCTTGTTTTGCTCCGTAAAACTCACTTGTTTTGAGCTGTAGGAGATTATTGGCACAATTCAACCTATTCAAAACAGATTATGTACAGCAAGGTAAAGTAAATGAATTGCGAGTAATCACCTGCAGGATGGCAGCGATTGACTGATGTACGCTAAACCTCATCTCGGTGTAACATGGACTCCTCATGTCATAAAGCAAACTGCTCAAACTGTTTGTGTGGTAATTGGTCCTGGAGAGAGAAAATCCCCAGAGAGGCTCGGCTGCAGGACTCTTAAAGCCCCTAAGGTCCAGCTCTTTCCTGCTCCATACATATTGAACAGTGGAGTCAGGGGGCTAAGAAGATTATCACAATGGGATGAAGAGGCCGTAAGAGCATTTGTAGCCTCATTGTTGGGATCACACAGTGAAAGTTGTTACAGCACTCTCAAGCCTTTAAACTACTTGACCTTAAAAGCTCTGTTTATGAAAAGAAAAAGCTGTGAAAGACGTTGCGAATGAAAAGTAGCAAACAAATTGAAAAACATGTAGATACCCTACATTAGCATCGCACGCAAGAAACAGAAAACATGTTGTCAGGGAGAGATGAAGTGTCGTCAGGTGATCGCCTGGAGCAAAACGTTATTGTCCAACTTCCACTTAAAATGTAAAAACCCTTCCTCCTTTGGCACGGGGTTGTTTCGTGTGTCTTTGTGTGTGCGGCGTGAGGGACTGAAGCATCGAAATGACATGAAGAGTTATTTGGGCTGTAATGAAGCTGCTTAATGAAATCAGTGCCCTTGAAAGTTCTTCATCAATTTTAGCTCCCTTGCTCACTCGCTTGCGCTCGCACCATTGCAGCCTGTCAGCTAATCCACACGCGCGGCACAATATTAATTAAACACAGCGTTTCCTGAAGTACTTAAGTGAAGCGCTATCATTGATAATGAGCAGGTTTAAAGGAGTCACATCCCACCAAAATTACTTTTTAAACCGGCCTTATTAAGCAGAAAATGAGGCCCAAATCAGCCTACAAGCTCCTCATTAAAAGCCACTGATCCTTGGCCAGGCGCATGTTCCAATGGTTTTAATTAGGCTAGCACGAGATCGGCGGCGACAGGAAGTGCCATTAATCTTGTCTTTTCATTTGGAAATAGGGGGGGTGGGGGGGTACAGCATGTTGCAGACTCAAATGCCAAAAAAAGACAAAAATTAAAAAAATCATGTGACATCCTTTGAATTGTTCTTCATTTTTTGTAGGAGCGCTCTACAGCTTTGGGAATAACCAGTTTTACACGTGGATCCTTTTGAAACACTTTGTCATTACAAGCCAGCCCTGCTAAGTGCACCATTAGCTACACACACACACAAAGAGGATGATCTGTGTCTTCATTTTCTCCGTGTGTGTTTATGAGTTGCTCCCTCCGTAGACGATGGTCCCGGCCCTGCCTGTCACACCTTCTCCGCATGGAGGATTATGGATGGCCAATTACATCGCTTTTGTCATTAATTAATGAGGATAACGAGCTCCCCTTGCTCCCCACAAAACCATGGTGCTCCTCAGCTGGTACTGAACAGGGAGACGGGTGCTGGGCCATGTGTGTGTGTGTGTGTGTGTAGGGAGTGTGTGTGAGTGAGAGAGAGCTGTACAGAGAGTAGTGAGCACAAAAGGCTGAACACATAGATGATTGTTGACCTCAGGGCTTTGCATGTTGAGAGTTGAGTTGTCCAGTTAGTTGAGGTGTGTTTTCATGTGTGTGTATGTCTGTGTGTGTTTGCCCGACACCAGCCCTGTATCTGCGAGGACCATTACAGAGATTAGGCAGTGCAACAGTAACGGATGCCCCCGTTTGTCAGCTCAGATCCTCTATCAAGACAACAAGCTAAAAGCGAAAGAGTGAGAGTGATGAGTGCAGCGGTAGAAAAAGAAAAGGGGGGAGGGAGGAACATGGAGGCGTGTTAGGAGGAGAAAAGAGGAGGGAAGACAGGTTTTACAAAGTGGAGGGGAAGTCTTGCAACAAAACTGAGACATCATGAGATCTATCTCCAACAAGGCGGCGTACAGAAATCACCTGTGAGGGATAGCGGGCCTTAGGAGCACTAAATAAGACATCTTGTATAACAACAACTCCGACTGTTGTCATCCAGTGCTGCCTCTCTCTCCTCCACCTCCACTTCCACTTCCTCCCACTAGGCCCAATTTGGGCCCTGTTACACTGTCTGGGTCCACCATGCGTGGTGTCAGGTGCCTTGTGGCGATAGGCAAAACGCTTTGCCTGACTGCCATGTTTTGAGGTTTTGCAGCCATATGAGCACAAAAAAAAAAAAACACACACACATACACAATGCACAAACACAGACACATGCAAGCAGACATCCCCCTTCTCCCTCTTTCAGCCCCCCTGTTTTGGACATCTGATTAATGAATGAAAAAGGCCCTGGCCCATCCTGCTGCACTTGCAGCAACGTCGCCCCGAATCACATGGCTCCTCAGAACCAACTGACTCACCCGCTCATCGCTTCCGACAAGGCGGGGCTGGGAGGGACGAGGGAATGTGATGTCATGGTGGAGCGAAGAAGTTAGGGGGTCCGTGGGGGATTGGTGCTTACGGTGCAACTGATGGCGTATGAACACTAAGGCACCAGCACCTTTCTTCTTACTCCACTTTTTTTGCATCAAAAGACACACACTTTCTGGTTTATATGTGCTTTTTTCCTCAACTCTTCACTCTTAAACCTGCCTGTGACAATGAAATCTTCTCTTTAGCTTGACTTCTTAAGACAAACCGAGCTTCTGCGAGCAAATTCTAATAATATAAAACAGTCTTAATCTTTGTTTAAATCCCCTCTGTCCCCAACTGTAAGCATAATCAGAGCTGAAGCATGTTCATTTTCCTCCCAGGCCCCTGTTGTTAACTACAGTCTGTATGCAGGCCTGTGTGTGTGTGTGTGTGAGATGGAGTGCTACAATGTGCATCAGACACACAGAGAGAACTTAATTAGAGAAAACAGCGCTGTCACATGCATTAGGCAGAGGTACGCACTTAAGGGCATATGGTTTTAGTACTATACCATCGGGTTGGAAGAAAAGCACACAAACATACCTCAAAGCTCCGAGCCATGCTAATGAAATCACTCCCTTTCTATCCCGCTGAGAGCAAACACAAATGTTTACAGACATCACACAGTCTGTCCGTACTGCTGCACCACACTGGGCTGTCGGGAGAGTCGTAGTGCCATGGCTGCATTAAAAAAGCTGTCAGGAGACAATAGATAGGGTTACGCGTTAAGAGGTCGATTTATGTAAGTTCAGTGACATTATCTGAATCATTCTGTTTGGATCTAGGAAAAATCTAACACCCTCATCTCCTGTTTTGACTGTACGGACAATTATAACATATACGTTTAATATCAGAAGAGTAAAATATAAGCTTTTACTATATAAATCATCAATTATAAACTTCTGATGGGACCAAAACAAAAGACCGATCTGCAAACGATAAATGACAATTAAATGAGAATTTAGTATATATTTTGAATTTGTCAGTTGTAATGGTTCAAGACAAAAGTAAATTAATCACACTTACTTAACTACTAAGAAGTATTTTTCTAAAACCCTATATGCTTATCTTAAATAAGATGAAGGTAAAGGTTGAAGAAACATTCCTACCCCACATTTCTTAAACTACAGAGATTTTTTTTTAAGACGAGAAAACTGCAGACAGAGTAAGTCAAACATGTCCTAATTAGAGCGTGTATATTTACACTAGATTTAGTTTTGTGAAGCTGTTAATTACCAACATATCAACTAAGTGCAGAGTAAATATTTAGTTTGTCAAGAGGAAACTGTGAAGATAAGTGTCGACTCATGTCAAGATAAAAACAGTCCTATGACAGTGCGTTTAGTTTTTATGCAAGAACTGAGGTTTGGTCTTACTGTCCCTTTATACTCTTTCACTCTTTTTTTAAAGTTGTACATTTAAAAACATTACTGAATGACTGCAGCCTTTTAGATTTTTTTCTTTTAGACAGGTTCGATTGTGTTGTGTTTTTGTGTTTTATGCCCTGACACACATGACAGACTTTGTGCGGGGGCATGCCCAGGGCATTCTGGGGCATTGAACTGTTTGCCGTGTTGCTTTCAAAATGTCTGTGTTTGTTAAATCCTAATTGCAGTGCTATAATTCATCCTCTTTTTATTTGTTTCACCTTGATTTAGATGAGTGCTTCTCTCCCAGGTGTAACACAAACCAAGGTTCTGATCACTTTAGTTTATTAAAACACCAAAATGATATAAATTGTGTATTTATTTTAATTAAAACAAGAACATTATTTCCTATTTAACTTGAAGACCATCAAAAAAATCAACAAGTTTCACAGATATTAACACACATCAGTTATTTGAGGATATTGTTTACTCTAAAAGGAGAAAAACACAGTAGAAATGTATTTTACACACCTTAAAGTTATCTGTTACAGAGATAGAAGAAGATAATGAGTGGTTTCAGACTCACAAGATCCACTGCTGATAGGCTGGAGACATGAACATGTGACCAGCAAATTACAAATATGTCTTATTATAAAGATAAAGTCTATTTGTAAAGTGACACGCTGCCACCATGCACGCTGACGCCCATTAAGATAATAAGGTGACACAGAAAAACATAGAGTCCAGCAGCTAAACATTATAGGCCTATAGGGAGAGGGAGAGTGACCACCCAGCCGTCCGTGCAAAAAGGCAACCGTCTCATTTATGACAATTAGGCTGTGCAGGGACTGATTGAGTGCAGGGCCCTGAAGTCCTCACATCATCGGCTGCATTTGTCACATTTCATCCTTCCTGCCCTCAACGTCTCGTGGGACCTCAGACAAGACATGTGTCATCAGAGGGCCAATTTCCGATGCCATGGGTGGCCTGTTGTTGTGACAAGAAGCTAAATTGTGAGAGAGAGAGACTGTGGTGGATTACTTAGTCACTCTGTGGCTGGCAGAAATAGACCGGTCTGATGTCAATGTATAATCTGCAGGGGTTTGTTTTATAGAAGAGACAGCGAGAGCACCTGTTGGATGTCATACAAATAACTATTTAAGTTAAGCATGTTCTTTAGAGTTTAAAAAAGATAGATGGTGTTGATCACTATATTTGTTGTGGACTGGCTTTTGATAAATAAAATGTTAAATACATGTTTAACAGAATTGTTAAAGCAACACATGTGGGTCATATTTAAAAATAATCTCTTTTTCTGGTATTTAATGCATAAAAAGAGTGCAGGTGTTTGTGTATCTCACTGTCCTGAGGGCCCGTCTTAAAATTTACAAATAGAAAATCCTGCATTTGTTTTGAATCAGTGAAGATCATTCATTTTGCACAAAGTCTAGATGTAAAGCCAGAAAATGTCAATTTCCAGGTGAAGGTGGCTACCATCAGACAAATAGTCAAAGCACTACAGATATTTTAAGAATACAAATATCACCTCCCTAACACCACATCAAACAATCCTCCTTTTCCAAATCTACCAGCTCACAGAGCAAAACCTGCAGACACAACAGTCCCTGCAATGCTCTCTGAATTAAGTGGAGCAGGGAGACAGAAGCTGAAATCGTGTTAATAGCTGTCCAGACTCTAAGAGCCCGCCAAGGAAGCCTGCAATCACCCAAATCCCCACAGACAGGTCCTGGGTGCCCCGGGCGGCTCTTGCGCCCTTCCCCTCAGCGCCACCGACCCTGCTGCGTGCCAAACAGGCCCCACCAGCCCCTGCGAGCACGTTCAGAGCCGGCTCTGCTTGACAGGGGCTTCTCATGCAAAGAAAATTAAGTTGCCAACTCATTTTTTTTTGGTGGGTGAGAGATGGGAATTATTGTAGCATCGTGGGAGGCATTTAGAGACATGGTTTTACTTTATTTGACGGCAGCACCAAAAATATCCGGTTAAATTTGAAGCACTATTTTTTTCGATATGAACTTTCACTTTTCTTGGAATAACCTCAACATAGAATCAAAGAATAAAAGCAAAATGTCTCTAAATCTCCTTTCGTGATAAATTTCACAACAAATAGAAACATACACGTCACTTAAAGTTATAACATTAAATGCGTAAAATGTGTGCGTAATGTTTGGCGCTATATGCAGTGTTTGTTGAAATGAAGCAAACCGGGTCCAAGCATATATATGTGTTTTAATTATAAAGACATATAAACAATATATGAAATCCATGTTGCAACACAACCAGAACGCTTCTTCAGTGTTTCAATGTATAGGCTGTTAAGTTATATAACTGTTAGTAGAGCCGGAGTTTCCACAGTTGTACAATACAATCATGTGAGATGTGCAGCAACTTAAATTTAAATAAACAATTCAAAATCGTTTTCTTTTTTTAAACAAATCGACAAATTATTAAACTAAATAACTCAGCCAAACATAATAGCCTACTTCCCCCCTCACAGCATCAGTACAGTCAGTAAAGGGAATCGCTTCCATGAATAATAATCTGAAAATCGAGATTAGGTCGCAATACTTGGCATTTCTACTCCTCGAATTGTTGAATGTTGCATAGATTACAAATGAAAGCTGATTACTAAAAGTGAATATTCAAACATGGCCTGTGAAGTACACGAGCGACAAAGTGACTTATCAGAAGGCCTACACTTTTTCTTTTATGTGTAACTTTTTTTTCAACTGGAGGACACATTGCTGCTGAATTACTTATCCTTACTTAAAGTTAATGCATCAGACTAAACTTGTTTTATTTTCCACAGAATGATTTAAAAAGAACTAGAGTGGGAGAGAGAGAGAAAGAGAGAGAGAGAGAGAGAAAGAGAGAGTGATGGACAGGGGTGCAGTAAAGGTTCAAAAGTTCAGGAAAGAGAAAGAAACCGCATCAAGGCTTGTCGTTACAGTGTTTGAAGAGGGTCGACGGTGTCCCGGAGTAGGTGCTGCACTTCTCGGCGCAGGTGGCGAGCGCAGAGCCCGAGAACGGGTAGACTGCAGCCTGTCCAAAGGGCGCCAGGGCGGTGGGGATGGGTGAGGTTATGGTCTGTCCCTGGTTCAGATAAGCCACGAGTCGCCTCATCTCCTCCAGAGCCTGAGCCTGCATGAGGATATAGTTCTTGGCCAGGAGGAGAGTGGCTATTTTGGAGAGTTTTCTCACCGAGGGGCTGTGGGCGTACGGGATAACCGAGCGAAGGCCGTCCAGCGCGTCGTTCAGGTCGTGCATCCTCCTCCTCTCCCGGGCGTTGATGCTGAGCCGCAGGGAGCGCTGCTCCTTGGACTTTTTGGCGAGGGGCCCCCCGGGCTTGTCGTCCCCAAACGATGACCCCCTCTTTCGGGACTCTAGCGAATCGAAACCGTCCTCATCGTCGCTCGTGTGCTCCCCGCCGCTCTCGTTGGACTTAGTAGTCTGCCCGGAGAGGAAGTCGGTCGCCGGTGTGAGCGGGTACCGGCCAGGACTTCCAGCACCATGGCCAGCGCCGAACCCGAAGGCTGATTGGCCGTAGCGCTGCGTCAGGTCGAGGAGCGCGTCGTTGCTGATGGACTTGAGCAGGTTCTCTTCGCTGGCATTCATTTTCTCTTCCAGGGAAACTCTACTTTTCGGTCTTTTCCTCTCTGTCCTCTCTGTTGTTGATGGAACTCACACGTAGTAGTTCTCTCCAAGAGTCGTTGTTTTCTAGGAGTTCCCCTCTCCTCTGACTCGTTTCCTCTGTGAGCGCAGTGACTCTTGAAGAAGGAGGCTGTGAGTCTGAAGCTGAGCCTCTACATGCATTCACCTCCTCTGTACTCTGCGCTCCCCCCTTGTTGCGTACATAGCCCACGTTCAACAGCACTTGTCTAATTGCGCTCGCTGAGACGCGGAGCGTTTGTGTTCCCCCCTTCACACGGTCGCTTTCTCCTCTTGCGCGTGTTTCTTGCCCTCCCTCGCCTTGGGCAGATTGTGACTCGCGCTCTGCCCTGCTCGCAAGTTAGTAGGAGCACGAGGCCCACCGGGGATTATCAGCCCGTCCAATCAGGGGGGCGTTTTAATTAACTCGGGAAGAGCGCAGGTCTGCTCCCACTTTCCATCATAATGTGATAATTGCAGCACAAACTGACACGCGGCCATAGAGCTGCTACTATCTACTTATAACATGATTTAACCCTTTATAACAACAAGTTCACAAGTTTGATGTAAAGGCAACTTTAAGGTTACAACACCTCAATGCAAACAGAGTAGTATGTGAATAAATAAGACTCACCTGTCATTAGAGGTCTTATAATAAACAGAAACCCACAGTAGGTGATGAGTTACAGGAACAGAGACTGCTGTGAGGTTTGGTTCTGGTCTTTTTCTCATCCAGCCTTTTTTCTTAACTTGATGTTTGTGTGCTTAAACAACAGTGGAGGACAGGGAACGAGGATGACAGTGACAAACATCCTGGGTGTGTTTGGTAGAGATTTCAAGACAAGTCCAAGACAGGGTCATAGACCGGGTACACCTTGACACCACTCACCTCACACACTATAGAGGAGTCAGCATGGTACCATCAGCTCATGGACTTAGACAGTGGGTCACCTGTGCAGGAAATATGGTCTCTTACATTGTATGAACTTTGTTTTTATGTTCAAGAAATCTCATATTATAAACTGTGTTGACTGCTTTTGAGATATGTTAAGATATGTTGAAAACTTTACAGACATGGTCACTGTAAATAGTGGCCAAACCATTGTTATTCTTTTGACTGGGGTCGCCAGACAAGGTAAACAATAGGGGCTTACTCCAAGCTTGGAAGGTTATCTCCACTTATCACATCTACAATAACTTCTGTTATACAGACATCAAAAATGTTATATTTTGTATGTTATTTAAATGTAGGTGCAAAATTTAAATCAAATGCTTTCACTTCTTAGAGCGCAAAAGAAAAGTAAGTTAGTCAAAAGTCACTATTTATGGAGCCAACAAAAGAAAATATTCCACATTAAACTCAAAGACACTCAGCTAACAATCCACAATATTTGGTTTTGATGTAAGTGCCAGCTCTAAAAACACAGATAATCAATCCCGGGTAATTTGGATTTTAGGGTGGCCATGTCAGATTTGAAGGGTGACCCCTCTCTCCACTCCTGGCTCCTTCCTCCTAAAGCCACATCTATCAAAAGGTGAAAACATAACCATCAGTGTGCACTCACTGCTGGATAACCCCCCACACCAATGTTATGAAGCCCTCCGGTTAGTGAATCAGCCACTGTTTTCAAAATAATCCACAACAGCAAAAAAGAATTACCAGGCAGGTAATATGAAAACAAATCATTTTGTGCAGAAACAAGGTCTCCTGGGGCGAAAAAAACAGGTGTCTAAATATGGAACTTTACACTGAAGGCAAGGTTGCCCCCCAGTGTCGGATATAGCTCAGTACACTGTGGACAAGATTCAAGTGTGATATTACACAGTGCAGCATGTAGAGGACAGACTCATGAGGAAAATTTAGGAGATGGTGCCCTCTTGTGGAAGACAGAGCACATAACTGTTAAAAGTCACCACAGCCAGTCTGAGGTGGTTTATTGCATGAAGTATGAGTTGTTGAGTGTGTTGTACATTTTGGCAGAATACTTTGTATGAAAATAAATAGACTTAAAAACGCATAAATAAGACAAAAAGATTAAGAGAAATTGACTTAAACTTACAACGCAAATATGAGTCGGTTCAAATCTACAAATAAAGGAAAAGATTGAAATGATCGTTAACCACTAACTAATGCTTAAGTTACTATGACTTCATTCAATGAGTTTGCCTTTACAATACTAACTGTGAAGAAACCTTAGTTTCCCATAGTTACTTCAAAAATCATTTGGTATGGACCACATTTGCTAAACAGCACTTTTTTAAATGAACATGTATTTGCTCTGCCTCTTACATTACTAACACTTCTTATGTTAATAGACAAAGCTAAAAAAATCATGATCATGCAAAACTTGAGCATCAGTAAAGTGTCAAATATATGCCTTTTTACACGTACGTTGGCTTATAATGTGGGTGGTCATATTAAAGCTCCTGTAAGGAGTTTTGTGGCGTTTATGAAATTGGCTGGAACTCATATCAAGATAGATTATTTTTATTTTGCAACATTATATCATATGGAAACTTTTTTCTTTTTGTGCGTAAAAACCACATCAGTCAAATACAGCATGTCAAACATCTTTATATCTGTGTTGATGTGGTCTAATATTTTAGTATACTATGATATATAACCATGCACTGTTTTATAACCCTCTTCACCTGTTCTGTATCCATCTATTGTCTACCACTCTTGTCCTGTTCTATGGCTGGAGTCTACAATTGCAGTCAGTGGGTGGGAGGCAGAGTACACTTTCGGGAAGGTAACCTAATGAGCACGTTTTTGGCGTAGGAGGGAAAGCTTACCTGAGAGGAACTCAGACATGTTTGGGTAGAACAAACAAATGTCGCACAAAAAGGGCCCAGACATGTTATCTCGTCTTCACCTGTATGTAAACCCAATAATTAACTAGTGATCACAAGACTTTTATCAAATTCACATGCGATTTTATTCATACTTGTCAAAATGTAATTATAGCACACACACACCTTTTACATTCTCTTAGCTACACAATACTCAGACTTGACCAGCATACTGGTTTTAAATCTAATTTAGATCATAAATAATCATGCTGAAAGTATTGCCTTGTAAGTACAAATTGTTAATTAATATGCATGTGTATTGATAAAAAATATGATTTAATTGATTTACTGTATTCACTGTGCAAAAGAGGAAACTGAATCTAAGAAAATTATGAAAAAAAATGATTTTTGTGTGTGTCCGAGATAGCAATAAAAAGAGAACAAGGATGCAGGGCACAAAACCTAACACTGAAACTAAGGCAGAATTCATCACCATCGTTTTTATCATTTACACTTAAGCATTGCTGTGACCTGCTAGAGTGTCTTCAAGGACAATTTCAACTATTGAAAAAAAAGGTGGAAAACAAAAAGAACAGCATCAAAACTGAGAGTTGCATTGCATCGCCCTATTTCAGATACACAATCTCTGACTCTGAACTTTCAATTTTTTTTTACACTATCAGACTTCAACAACGATGTGCCTGAAAGGAAAACACTTTTTATAGATGCTTAGATGTCTGCATGCTTCAGAAAGTAAAACCTGCAGACTGCTTTTTTTTCCGCTTGTTTAATGATTTTTAACAAGCACATGATGAAGTTTAACACTTAGACCAGCAGATGGCAGAAAAGCCCACGAGTTGAGCAATATAATGCCACTGAGGAACACAACACATTCATACAGCCAATTGATTAATTTAACACTGTTGGTTTGATTTTGTAATTGATTTATGTTCATGAGATGTTGTTGACATCTTGACTTAATTCAATATTGATGTTCATTTTACAACAGCACAGTGATTTGTCAAACAGGTGTATACAAAAAGAAAGCGCTAATATCTGAAGGTTTAGAATAAGCTGAATCATAGAGAACTATCAATCTAGCATTAAAAACAGAAACGCAGTGAAGGTGATAATGGTTCAGTTTTAGTCTGGAGCCCTCTGGGATCACATCACCTAGCGTTCAAGTGTCAGCACTGCACCGAGCCGTCACCTTTCTCCTGGAGGAGCTCGCACTAAAAGCCTCTGATTCACAGAGGGATGGAAGAAAAAGCAAAAGTGTCAACAGACCAACTAATAATACATGATGCTTTTAAAGCCTGTGCTGCAGCTCCACGTCGCCATGGCAACTGCACTGCTCAGCTGCCTGTACAATGGTGGCATACAGCATTTGGCTGTGACTGTGTGTATGTGTGAGCGAGTGTGTGTGTGAGTGTGTGTGTGTCCGCTGCTGAGAGGTAAGCTGGCGTTGCAGTGACAGAGGAGGACCACCATGGGGCAGAAAAGTATTTTGTATTGCAGGTTATGTGGCGGGGTTGTCAGATATGACATGAACAATGCATGTGTGCAGGAACACAAGAGTGTGTGTGTGTGTAACTGCATGCTTGCAGACATGTAGTCGTTTATGTAGTCATGCTTTGTCAAATTTACAATAGTTGTGGTTTTGTTGTTTATTCTGTGGATGCAGTGCAATAATGTGAGTTTATTAAATAGCATTGATATATTGTTGATGGTATTTTGGGCTCAACAGTGTTCAGAAATGAGTGTTATTTTCTCCAGGCTAACACTTCTATCCTAATTTCCAGGCCTTGTCTCTCTCGCCCCCCGTCGCTTTCTCTCTCTTTCACACACACACGCACACACACGGTCTCATGCACGCCTACACACATCAAAGTGCTGCTCTGAGTAAAGATGGAACAGGGTCCTTTGATCTCTCCCTGCCGGCTCTGATTAATGTGTGGATTTACAGTGCAGACCTACAGGGACCTGGCAGCCACGACAGCCCCTCTGCTGCACTGGAATCTAGTTTTTCCTCGCAGCCAATCACAACTCTTGATCTTATTCATCGCTCCAATCATGATGCTTTTCACACAGGCACTCACAAAACAACAAAACAAACCCAAGTCTTGCACTCAGTCAACCTTAAGCGGCCAACGCCAAGTCTGAAATCCCACCACTGTCACAAATCACAGGATGGCATTCACAGTTCCTGTCCAATCAGAGAGACTTCTCCAAGTCTCCCCAATCCAAACCCTTCTTCTTACAAGAGACTTAAAGTTACATGAGATAGATGAAGATGGGCGAAGTAGATGTTTAATTCAGCCGTTCTTGGCAGGCACTTGTAATGGTGGGAACAGTGTTGGTGTTTGGTGGGAGGTTTGCTGTCGAAGACGGAGCAAATGTTCAAATTTTTTTTTTTCATCAAGCATCAAAGAAAGTGTTTGCACGGCACACATTACACAACGTACTTTGTGCATTGCACATGGCACCCACACTTCATCACAAGCCAAGCCGAAATAAGTCAACAATGTACACACTCTTTTTCTCTTTCGACTCTAACCCCTCTCTCCTCCATGTTACCCCTCGATTCGTATCTTTTGCTCTCCATTTTGTTTCC